TGACAAGTGCATTTAAGCTTTCAGCCACTCAGATTTCCCCACAATCGAAAGAGTGAAGATAGAGTCTGAAACTGCTGATTTCTTGTGTTATATCAAATGCTTTAACGAGATACATAAGAAAATTAAACCGCGACTCATGGAGAGGACTTTATTTAAAGCTGGCCCTGCGCTGTCTGCGTACAAAGAATTAGCCAGGACGCCAGTAATTTATTGGTAGTGTTATGATCCCTGTAAAATAGCTCCAAGCTTGTCGTGAGTTGTGTCGAGCATACAGATAGATATTGGCTTTGCATGACAGTGATCTCAGATGTTGTGGCTCATTATATACTGAAATAAGAATTTTGACCAGTCCTGTTTGGTGAGCCATAATACTCTTTAGATTGGATGTTCAAGCATTCATTTGGGGAGTTTCGGGGTCATCTGATACAGAACCGTGATCAATGTGTAATTACTCACGTTTATGCTACCTTTGGTAATGTAATGTCAATTCTCATAAATTACGGGCCAAATACTCGTATATCGTGTTTCTCATCCATATTTCCAAATCTTTCATGCAATGCTAGTTATTGTCATGCCAAAACCAAGAGCCAGAAGCCACTCTGTTTCCTGACGGATCCTAATATGGCGAATCATGTCCAATGCCAGGTTCAAAACAGAATCCAAACGCCAAACGCTATGCATAACCCAGTCATTCCTGTTGCCAAACCTGGCCGTCGTAAAATCCCACCGCTGTCATCGTCTTTCTTACTCTTTCCATCCTCTTTGGCATTGTTGTTGCCGGTTCCTGTTGCAACAGGTAACTCGTCAGACGCTGTTGCTTTCGCCTCGATGGTGGTCACAGTTGAAGCCCCGAAGGGGTACTTTATTGTCATTGTTCCGATGATAATACCGCTGGGCCCGATCGTGATGGTTTCACCACCGGCCTCTTTTGTTGTGCTCTTGGCACCAGGCCCGGCAGTGAAGGTCGTTTCATCGATTATCGCGTATGAAGGGTTGACTTTGGTGATGGTCGCTCCACCAACAATTCGATATTTGGTGTCAGTGAGCTCAGCGTCAGACCCGCCTAGAGTTGTTCCGTCGACAACAATACCTTCTGGTCCAACAGTGATAGTATCGTCATCTATTGTTTCCGTTGTCACGGGGGTGCCAGTTCCATATATCAGAGTCGTAGAGTGAAAGACAAACACAGATTTTCCAACTGCAGTGACCATCTCACCACCTCCAATGATCACGTCTGTCTGAGGACCACCAACCCCATGGTATGTGAGTGTTTCATCATCAACCACCACTCTACCAGGCGCAATGGACACTTGTCGCTCCTCCACAATAGTATTTGACCCGACGACAGAAACTTGAAGCCTTGTGGTCGTGCCCATGAGAGGAATTTTGAGCCTCGTGCCGTCCACAATAGCTTCCGTGCCCGAAACAGTAACAGGTATCTTTCCAATAGTCGCACTTGTAGGGCTGACAACGGAAATCACAGTACCTACAGGCTGCGGTTTCCTAACTGTTGCTCCTTCACCAACCACTTCTGTTGGGCGAATTGTGAATGTTCCATAATCGACAGTAACTGTTGTTGTTTGATCTGGTCTGAGACTGGAAAAGGTCTTGTCATTGACAATGACTTCTTGACCCCTGGCAGTCACAAAAAACTTCCTAGGGGGTTCAGGTTCGGTGTCAGGCTGTGATTGGGGCTGTGGACCCCCTTGTGGCTCGATTGCTGGCTGCGGTCCTGATGTTGGCCTCGGTCCAGATTCTGCTGAAGGTCGCGGCTTCACGTCAGGCTGTGGCCCTGACTGAGGACTCGACTTTCCGTGCCCTCCAGAAGAATCTGGGTGATTCGAGCCTGGTGCTTTAGAAGGCTGGGGCAGTTGTTTGTTACTCATAGGGAGACCCCCTCCACTAGTCGGTCGGTCGAAGTGCGGCGGCGGCTCTGTAGGGAATACAACCGCCGGGTTCTTGTCAGTCGTTATGAATGTCACAGTCATTCTCGAACTTGACATAGTTAAACCTGGCACTCCAGGAACGGCTGTCGGATTCGACCAACCAGGAGGCTTTTCTGAAGTACAAGATTTCCCCCGTAAGCAACCTTGAGGGGGCTCCTTAGTTAATTCAGAGCCTGGCCATGGGAATGTGCCAGACTCCTCGGAGCCATGGGATGGGACAATCTTTGAGAATGATGGGCTTGGAGCCTCTGTCTCGCAAATGTTGGGAGTACTGATAGTAGGGTAGGGTGGCGTGTAATCACTGCGGTTTCCAAAGAACGTTATCGTTGATGTATACACGATGGAATACTCGGTGATGGGTTCATTATCCTGCAATGTCGTGCACGGTAACACTGACGTTGGTGCTATCAGCGTCAATGTACCAGACGTCCATGGTCCAGGTGTGTATGTCCCATTTCCTTTCGAAGTAACCGAGGGAATCCATCCGCAGGAAGACTTGTAACCAGGGCCGCATGTTTGCGTTTTCAGTTTGGTGTTGTTGGGTGCGGCTTGTGTAAAAGAATGTGCAAATCCCTGGTGTGGTCTCCTCTGAGCCGAAGCCTGGAGATCGGCTTGATTTGCTACAGAGCTTGAATCTCTATCATGATCTGACGGGTTGCCATTCGCCAGAGCAGCAGATTTAGGAATTGTCTGGATGAAATGTGAAGCTGAAGGTTCCGAGAAAGATCGAAGATAAGTTTCTAGAGTAAATCGAGTGCTCTGAGATGAAGTGGCCACATGATCCAACTGTGAAGTTATTGGCACTTTCTGAACAGAGTAATCAGAACTTGTCTCTGCTGCTGTTGACAAGTTAACTTCTGTAGAAGATGCTTGGCCAGGAAGGGAGGAAAATTCCTCTTCCACTTGTGTTATTGACGTTGATGGTATCGATAGCAAGCGAGTGGTACTGCCGTCTGGGGCAGTCGCGATGGCCGTTTCATTCAGTGGAAAGCGCCGAGGGTTTGGCTGATTAGGTTCGGATGGGGCTGATAGGCAAGGTAATCTTTAGCTACGATTCTTCTCTTCCATCCCTTCATCTTTCAAGGGAAATGCACAATAATTAACACTGGGACAATTCGAAGGCTTACCTCTAGGTACAGCAACACCGACAATAGAAGGAACAAGCGTTGCGACTGAGAGCAGTCCAATAGCTTGCGCCCTCATATTGTCGATAAAGCACAACACACAGACAGCATAGACTGGCTGTTCCGTCCTGCACTAACTTTCGCTCTGATCGTTTCGAGCTCCTTTCGTCTGTCATCCAAGCTCACCAAACCGAATCGACTAGGACAGGCCTCTAAACGAGTGATTTGGGCCTTGCCTGATGAGTTGGTCTCACATCGGCCACCTATATGGATGGTTCTTCACGCAATGACCACAACGGCTTTCGACGTTGTCGATAATAACTTAGGGTGAGAAAATCAATCATAAGATCGGATGCATGACTGGGGAGGGGCTCAGAGGTTAATGAACCCGCCTCCAGCCTCTAGCAACTGGCTCTAGTGCATGGTGACAGGGGGTTACGTCGTCCAAGGCGTAAGCGCAAGCGAACAACCATGTAAGTTCAGGTCAACTGGGGCTGCTAATTGACTCGACCTCTCAGGGCCTTCCTCTCTTGTATTGTTTCATCTCTGGATCTTACTTTTGTCCTCGCTCTAGTAGAATAGCTCCGGAGGGCTTTCTTTGGTGGCGGGAGACACAAACAGCCCTGGCCTTTCATATAGTTGCACTGTGTGTTGTGTGCTGCATCGACACCCACCAAAAGCCCAGAATGCATGTGGCTGATGCCTTCCATCCTATGCGAAAACTCCCTTGTAAATGCGCCCATCAACTCTGTCCGGCCTGGCCCAGAACATGACACTCCAGAACGGTCGATTCTCCTTGGCAGGTCATCACTTATTCGGGTTTCATTTCATCTCTCGGACGTACAAAGGTCCCAAAAGTAAAAAATCGGAAGAGCCAGCGATAATTTGCACAAGTTAAACTCAGAGTGTTACCACCTCATCAGTCCCGACCTTCCGGGAAACATTCGGTGGGAACGGTGGGACAATCAAAGTTACGCAGACCCAATATGATGTCTCAAGTTACATCCAGCTGAAATTCAAACAAATGATATCCATTCGGGTTTCCACATGGAGCTGAAGAGCGACACTGGCAGACGGAGCTGAAGAAGATGGATCAGAAGCAAAATCTCGGTATTTGCAATTTTCACACCCGACCGGCAACAACAACTTTCGGGTCCGATTTCAAAAGATCTTCAGGTCGTCGGAAATTGCCATTGTGAAATAAGCTCTGGTTTATTGTGTGGATGCCCAGGCACTGGCTTAAAATTTCGTTCAAATGTTACAGTATGCTGACCAAACTACACTGGAGGGGCACTCGGTGATACCAGTTTATTATCGAAGTTGATATTGATGGACCCGTCAGTATTGATTGATATCGTTGAACCTGCAGCCAGGGTCTTACTAGTCGTGCAACGCTTTCCAGCCACCGACTTGCCGGCGTCAGGGTTCTACGCCGAGTATGCTCGCCATGTCAGACGGATCGAGGCCCTTTGTCGACAGGCGACAAGGATTGTTTCCAGAATTTCAAAAGCACCAAAATTTATTTTGTTTCCCTCAAAGGTGCCACGATATCACTTAATAATACAATTGAGCAACGTAGAGCAAAACACAGCCATGCATGGTGCAACAACATCTTGAAGCCCTGCAGCATCGACAAGTCCTGATGGCAATGCAACTTGAAAAGACCGGAAGTTCCCCTCCGACCAAACAGTCCTTCTTCGTGGATGCTATGTATTCAAGATGGAAGAGGGAACTCCTCGAGATGATAAGGTTGTTCAACTCAGCCAATAACGAACAAATTACCCCTACGACCTCTTCGGGATGGCCTAGTGAATGCCAAGGAACACTCCGCGCTCCGCACCATAGCTTTGGGGGCCAAGCCAAGCTAGAAATGGCCAAAGCCATGTAACGCTACTCTGTGGCTTTCTTTTCAGTCCAAGGCCACTGAGAAGGGGCACAAGACCAGAACTCGTTAATCTTCAGTCGCCTCGCCCTGGCTACTCCAACAAACTCTCAGTTCCATTGTCACCAAACTCACTGGTTTGCGCTCTTATCCGGCCTCGGCAGCTTCAACGAATCATTATTCCGTGCCAGTGTTGAACCATAGCGGCCATCACCAAGAAGGATTCGGCTCCCTGTCGCTCTGCTGTTAGTGTTAACTGCACTGCGACCCTTGACTGGACACTGGGATCGTTGTTTGGTGTGAATCGCGACGTTGAATGTGCCGCATTGCGGTCACCTCCACTCTATCGGCTCAATAAATCTCGTTGGATGTTTGCTTCGAACCTAGGATGACCTTTCTGGTGAGGGTCAAAAACGACAGGCTTTCTCACATCTCTCTGCCAGACTCGAGATGTGGTCAATCATCCTTGGATCGTACTTCCTTCTCGTGCAACTCGCACAAGCCCGTGACCCTGCACCTGTTTTGTTGCCCTCTGGTGGTTGGTACGTTACTCGGTCCTATTTTGTTGCAGTCGATGTTAATACACAAGACAGGACTGGAAGCGATGGCAATTGGTCTACCATCTCATTTTCCCTGGGTTCAAATTCACAGGCCATTGAGGTTCTGGTGAGCACGGCTCTCTCCGAATTCTGGGCCATTGGACCAGGAGGATGTCTACCCAGTATGTTTTCCTCACTTGGTCGTTCGTTCTTCAGCTTGGCTTCTCAAACCCAAGGAGTCATTGATACCTTTCTACTCTGGGTCTGCCATTAACATTCTATCAGAGGAGCCTCACTGTATCGCCGCTCGCGGAGGCATCTATAATCCTCAAGAATCTAGCGATTGGAGCCCCCTAGGCACATGGCAGTTAGGTTTAAGTTATCTTGGTTACGATGGGAATGGCAACTACGGGCGCGATGCTATCAGCACGCAAAGCCCTCTCAGTGATGATCCGTTTACCATGGACGGCGTGCTAATAGCGACCATAAACACGACCAACTACTTGAACGGTCTCTTCGGTTTAGGGATCACACAGAGTAACTTCAATGGCACTGTGGCGGATTCACCATTGACCCAAGCAGTTGGGACGTATGGACTGATTCCAAGTTACAGCTTCGGATATACAGCTGGAGCATACTACAGTATGCCGCCCTCCATACAACCTCTGTTGTCAAAGTCGCTAACATGACTAGGAAATACACCTGTATCCTTGACTCTTGGAGGCGTCGAAACGCCAAGGTTTAAAAAACATGATAACGTCTTCACACTCAGCCAGGAAGACAACCTGGAGCGCCCTATGGTCCGTGGCATTCAGATCACACCCGCCGAAGGCCAAGATGTTCCTAGTTCTTGGGAATCCCAACAACCTTTGCTCTCCCAATGGAACTCATCTTTCTTCGCCATCATTGATAGCAGCACTCCCTACCTGTGGCTACCAGACGAGGCTTGCGACCAATTTGCCCAAGCTCTCAACTTGACCTATAACAGCACCTTCGAACTCTACACCATCAGTGACGATCAATATCGTGATTATACAAATGACGAGTCATTCGACTTTACCTTTGTGCTTTCAAGCTTTGACGATAACGATAACTTTGGCGACCCTTACAATGTACCAGGCATCGTCAATATTACCATACCTTTGAGAGCCTTTGTGGGCTTACTGCAATACCCTTTCATGCCTGATACGATCCAATATGGCGACCCAGCAATCCCCTACTTTATGCTACGAAAGGCGAAGAACAGCGGCTCGTACGTACTAGGCCGTTCGTTTTTACAGGAGTCCTACCTTATAACCAAGTATGATGAGGGCGTCTTCTCAATCCATCAAGCTCTTTTCCCAGACGAGCCATCGACAAACTCGGAACTTACTGCCATCGAACAGTCTGACAACAGTCCCTATCCTCCACCATATGCAGAGGATGAAGGTGGGCTTTCAGATGGACAGGTAATTGGAATAGGAGTGGGTGTCGGGTTGGGTGTCTTCGTCGTCTGTGCGGCAGCTTTGTTTGTGTGGTTATACTTTCGACGCAAACGTAAGCGAGCAGCCAGAGGAAATAACCCGTCAGCAGAGGATCAGGACCTTACGCCAAATAGCGGATCGCGATCGCCCAAGTCCCCTTTGATCATATTGTTTTCGAAAATTCTCGGACGACACTACTCGACAGATGATGGCACCAATGGTAGAGAAAAGGTTGCTGAAGCTCCCGATACTCAAATCCACGAGATGTCAGCACCACTTCCAGTAGCAGAACTTGATGGCGATGATGGCATGTCGTGGAATGACGATACGGAGATGGGTACCGACAGCACGCATAACATGACTGCCTATGAGATAGCCCGGAGGAAATTGGATAAACAACTTCAGGGACCAGTCCCAACATATACTCCCCCTGCTGATGGGACGGAGATACCCGCAGAGAAAGCGATATACCAACCAGACCCAACAAATGGTCCGCCTGTGGCCCTACAACTATCGCCATCGGCATCTCTAAAAACAACACAACAAGGGGGCACGAATACAAGCTCAATACCGCTGCCATCTCCACTGACTCCGGGCTTCGATGCGAATGGCCGTCCCATCGAGGCACCTTCTCCAACTACTATACCAGTATCGCCAACTAACGACAGTATTTCATTACCAAACTCACCCCTTTCTCCGACTTCGGACCACCATACCATTAACTCCATGGCAATGGGTGGAACTCAGTCAGGCTGTGAACCTCACTCTCCATTAAAACGATCGAACGAGCTACAACAGCGAGCAGTTCAACGGACACCCATTGATCCATCAAAGGTTGTATTTCTTGGGGCACTGCCCAAGAATACGCGCTTCTCCCGCCACGCCGCTCCGCAAATTGTATCAGATGAAGACTATCAAGCCACTGATGAGTCCTCACATCGGCACGGCTCTGTTGATACTCTGGGAAGTAACTTCACTGTCGACGAGGAAAGGCGAAGCGCAGAAGAATCATCAAGGCGTTTGGATCTAGGTACAAACGGCTCATCCGTGAATGCTGTGATAGAAGATTCCCCACAAAATCCTTCGACAGATCAGCCTGACATTTCACGAAGTCGGGAGCGCATCAATCCTGGTGAGGATTTGGTTCATGTACCCCAACTGGCTGAAAGACGGTATAGCTGGGAGCAATAAGCTGGTTTCTGTGCACCTTATTCTCATAATGATCAGGCTAGCATGAAATTCCTGGCTTTGTTGACGAGAAACACGAAAGGAACGAGGTCTGCGGTCTGGCCTGGTATCGGCCGTGGACAGCGCGATATCCAACAGATTTGAGCAATGCCACAGATTGCCAGAACAATATCTGGCCCAGACTGGTTAAAACCCCAGTCCATTGAGGCTGGTATAACGTTTTCTTTGTCAAATATGCATGAGCGAGCGTTATGATTTGTCTTGATATGTCAGTCTCATATACCAAAGAGAAGAATAGTTCTTATTCAATTTATAATCAAACATATGATGATATGCTTATCATGTGCTCCTGATATTGTCATGGTCCTATGCTGGCCTGATGTCTAAAGTATGTACTATATTTTCTACTGATATTTTCTTACCAGATCTCCTGCCACCATGTCAACACTGCCAGAATCTTCTTGCGCTCCTCTATATCCTTTACGTCCTCTGAGAAGGGGTCAAATACTGCCTTCTTAGCCGCATCCGCCATCTTGGTCGAGCCACCGCAGACGCAGAATATTCCATTGTTGAAGATTATCTCTTCGATTCTCTTGGCCTCCTCGCGTAGCCTGTCCTGGACATATATCTTATTTCGCTGATCACGCGAGAATGCTAGAAAGACATTGAGATGTCCCTCACGCACGGCGGCGTCAAGCTCTTGCTGGAAGAAATAATCGGCCTCACGGTTGCGGTTCCCAAAGAAGAGATGCATCGGTCCTGGTGACGAGTGCGTGAGACGCTCGTGAATAAGGGCGCGTATTGGGGCAAGGCCTGTGCCCGTGGCGATGGCAACCAGAGGCCGTCGGGCATTCTGTGGGCCATGAATGGGTGAGAGGACTGGCTTGCGGGTGACAGTAAGAATGGAGTCCAAGGGAATGTTATCGAGATAACGAGAGCAGAGGCCCTCACGAGGTTTGCGGAGGACAGTTTTGTATTTGACTAAAGCGACAAGAAGCTCGATACGAGTCTTATCCTTGTCTGTCGGATGATTTTGATGCACGCCGCCATTGGCAATGCTAAAGTCTCGTCCACGGATGATTGGGAAAATATCGAAGAGGCGCTCGGCAGGTAGTTTGACAGATGTGAACTCCTCCAAGACCTCGAGAATAGATCGTCTTGACCTAGTTGCGTAGTCGAAATATTCATCTAGGTATTCAGTCATGGTGAACTCGAGAAGCCGCTCCTTGTGGTCTGGATTGGTGGAGAAGTAAGACATGTTCTTGAGGAATGATCTCCGAGGGATTGCAGTGAAGTCGATGTTATTCAAAAGGAGCTCTCTCAATGTGCATCTGGGGTCTATATAGAGGTTTGTAGGAAGAGATTCGCATAATGAAAGGTCAAGGGTTTTGTCAGCCACCTCTTCCCAGCCCATGAGTGTGATGAGCTTCTGGACGTCTTGGGGGAAGTTTTTCGGGTAAATGGTGAGGCAATCTCCAGGGACGCAAGATAGCTTTTCTCCATCGCGACGTGGAATGTCGAATGAGATGAGGCGGACATCTTGCCAGTGCTTCTCGGGGGTGAGTCTGTCGTTTCCAACCAAAGTTGCTTTCCAACCATTAGGGATAGGGAGGGGTGCAGAGGGAGGGAGGTTAGAAACTATCGGAGACGCGTGGCCGTTGCTTATTGAATTGCCACTGAGGGAACTCTTTAGGGACCATTTAGCGGGAAGAATAACATCATCAGGGATAGGCTCAAGTCCAGTAGGGGGAGGATGGTGTTCAAGTAAATGGTTGTAAAGCCGCTCACCCCAACGCACAAAACTTCCGTCAATACTATCCACAACATTAGCTACTTCAACTAGCGATATAGAACGATAAGAGCTGACCCGTCTGGAAATTGTTCGTCCGCCTCAAAGGGATCAAAGAAAGTTGTAGCACCAAGTTGATCGAGACGCCTGTTGAGCTTGCGAGCTGCCCAATTAAACCTGTACTGTATAAGCCATCGTGAACAACATCAAACGCTCTCAATAACTGACTTGACATAAGTACTATCTCCAAGCCCAAAAGTTGTATACTTGACTGAAGCCAAGCAACCTGGTGGTAATTTCTTCCGGAGAAGCCTTTTCCAGAAGACCAGTGAGTTATGAGGCATATCTCCTTGGCCAGTGGTTGATATGACGAATAATACGAAGTCAGGCTGAAGAAGTGCATTCTAGTTTAGGAAGTCAGTAATAATCATCGATGAAGGAGCTATATGGCCTACTAAATCTACTGCATCGAGTTCTTCAACGCGACTTTCAAAATGCAGTCTTTGACATATTCGCCCCAACTCTTCTGCCATGTCCTGGGCATTACCCGTCTCGGACCCGTACAGGACGAGCACGCTCCTATCGTGAGCGGCCATAGTGACTGACCGATAGATAAGGTATGTAGGCGATTGCAGGTAAAGACTGAAGTTGTAGTACAGGTAATTAAGCCAGGGTCCGGTCTCGCAGGTTGAGGTTGTTTAGTGGGATGGTTTGCGTCAGAGTTAGCGCCGGTTAGCGGATGGCCGATAGCGGGGCGAGGAATCTATTGCGCTTCGGGATCTTATCAATCTGGGGATTGATTAATGGGGATGAAATTCCAAATGATACACCGTTTGTTCACCATAATGATTGCTGGGATTGGATGAACATATTGTTACACATAGCCTTTGTCATTCAGGGCCATGTTCCAGAATAATATCTATTGTTCTTTGTTCAGGACCCAAGCAAACTATTCATAGGTGTCAATGGTCAATTATTAATGCCATTTATTATATATATTTTGATGGAGTCGTTGTGTACGTCAATTCAAGAAGGATAGGAGTTTGCATAGTGCTCCTTATGACAACAATACCGGCAATCTATCTCCGCCTAGCCCAACGTCCTTATTGAAGACTGACCGCAAACCCCAAGCCAAAGGGAACATTTCCTAAAACAGTTGTCATATTCAAACGCATTGACAACGGGCAAGTTCTAGAAGAAGAAGCTGTGGAGCAAGGAGCTGGCTTGGCTTTCGGGGACTTGAGAAACACAATCCTAATCCTGGCTTGCAGGGCAGCATTGGATCCGAGCTGCCGGGCATGGAGGGATCATGAGCATGGCGGGTGTGCACTATGAACATGGATGTAAGAATAGAATAGATAGCTCACCCCTTCTCGTGTAATTATTGGTGGGAGCTGGTAATGATCGATGATGCCCTGGTCATTTGGCTCCCGCCATGTAAAAGGGGCTTGCAAAGGGGGTGAATCGACCCGGTCAGGGGGCTCGCTCAGATGTGTGACTCGATAAGCTGTCAGGCTGTGAAATTATCCAGGGTATGCAATTTCCGCCATGCAGGCAACCAAGCAACTTCGTGAGCCTATGCTGTGATTATCAGGCAGTTCGAGAACCTTTATCCAGGTAGCAAGGGGCCGTTGGGGTTTAAAGGAACGAGGAAACTTCCAGGCTGCGGTATTTGGTATGGGAAAGCTTCAGAATCGGTAGTATTATATGTTGAACCGTCAATGATATGTAAATAGTAGATTTCGTGTTTCTGTACGGAGTACACAAAGGCACTTCAAAACCTACTAGAAAGATAATATCGCTAGTTCTCGAGACTTGCCATGATCCAAGTCTTACTATGTAGTCCAGAGCTTGAAGTATAGAAGACTATAAGCCTTATGACAACCCGATAAGTGCTATAGCTTTGCCAATCTGCTGATTTATTATGAACAAGATTCAATTCACACCAAGCTATGCCAATTCGCTGATGTCGTACTTGCTCATAAACCTATGCCGCTGAGAGGCTAGCAGGCACCCCACTGTTCTTGACCGTGATATCGATTCATGGATATCAACATGAGCGGTCAGCGCAAAGGAAAGAGATATTCTCTGAACACAACTCCCATTCTTGCCATTCTATTATTTTCAGTTTTTTACGCTAGGTGTTCTTTGGAGATCGGGGTCATTCATGCCATTCGAGAAGTTTTCAGCTTGCTTGCGCCTCAGCTCAGACAAAAGCCAACCTTTATTCATATTGACTTTACAGTCAAAATAGGTAGCCAACAGAGCATCACCGCACCACTTTAACTACACCGATACTGTACATAGAGTGACGCACATGATCCTTGGCCCGCAGCACCCACACGTCAGGCCCTAATATGAATATACTGTATTGGCACAATTCATGCATTAAGCAAGTAAAAATACGTGAACAATTCCTTCAAACGGGTGACCCTTCTCTCTCACTGCTACTGCCAAGATCATTCATCTTGAACATTCAAACAGCTACCTTTCTCATCTCCAGGTAAGGGCGTTTGATACAGGCTCTGGAAACAATCCCCCCGGCCGAAAGCGGTCTTGAAGTGTCCAGGATCTGTAACCACTCAAGCGGGAGAGAACCCACAAAACTGAAGCTCTCTCCGAAGCTCTCAGGTACTGAATACCGCCATTCACAGTGCATGATACATGGGCATCCGAACTTCAACGTGGAGTCGTTGCCGCCAACTGATCGTGGTTCTCGTACCTTCCTTCGTGACCTGTACTAAGCTTTCCTCCGCTCTTTGCGCCTGCCGTCGTCCCCCTAGCCCTGGCCACTTTCCACTTTCCACAACTCCTCACCTGCCCACACCCCTGACAACACGCCCCTTCCTCCTTCCCTCTGTGCCCCCCAAACCCAAAGGCCAGAAAAATATTTCAGATTCCGCTACCAGTCGCCCATCACTTCTTCCCTTTCTCTTCTCCATCACAACATCAAACACCTGTGTCTCCGCGCAACGCACCGTCGTCTGTCTAATCTCAACCTCGTTTCTAGGGCACGAAGCTACCCTGATCAAACTCCTCCTTATTGCACCAGAGTTCAACCTGTTCAACTCGCAGCCATCGTTTTCGAACGCTCCTCCACCACAGGTCCAAGTTCGAACGTCATAATCAATCTAACCACCAACCTCATCCACCTACCGCCATCATGTCTGCCGCCAACACTACCACCACCACCAACAACATGGATGCTGCCGTTAATGACGTCGCAAACACTCTGAGCAATACCTCACTCAACAACAAGCCTGCCGATGACAAGACGGCCGCCAACGAGGCCGCCTCGGCCAGCGCTGCTGAGGGCCGTCGCCTCTACATTGGCAACCTGGCCTATGCGACAACTGAGGGGGAGTTGAAGGACTTCTTCAAGAGCTATCTTGTGTAGGTGCCATCTTCTCTTCATCATATTCTCCCTACCCAGCTTCTTTTATCTTGGTGTCGCCTTCTCTGTTTCATGCGATGAGCGACTGGCTGGAGACACGTGTCTTCGCCATCGCGATGGGCGCCTTCCCTAGCCATCATATGACGACAAATGATGGGCAGGCACGCATGAAGCCCCTTCCCAATTATCAAGCCTTGCATTGGAAATGGGTGGCTACTGTCCTTACCTGTCGTGGCTCAGAATAGTAGCTACCTCATTGATTCCATTTCCTCGTTATTAACCGTCACCCCATCACTCCATCATGGATACACCTTCAGAAGTACTAACATTCTTGCCATTAGTGAGTCTGTCTCGATTCCTAAGAACCCCCGCACCGACCGCCCTGTCGGCTACGCCTTTGTCGACCTTTCCACTCCCACTGAGGCTGAGCGTGCCATCGAGGAACTCTCCGGCAAGGAGATCCTTGAGCGCAAGGTTTCCGTTCAGCTCGCTCGCAAGCCCGAGCCCGCTGGCGAGAAGTCAGAGGGTGCTAACGGTGAGGGTTCTGGTGCAGAGGGCTCTCGTCGTCGAGCTTCGGGACGTGGCCGCGGTCGTGGCCGTGGTCGTGGAGGCCGCACTGCCCGCGCTGGCCGTGTGAGTCATTCTCCAGTTCTATGATCCACGAGTATTGTACTGACCATGTCATAGGAGGGTGCTGAGAAGAAGGAGGGAGAGACTACTGAGGCTGTTGCCGCTACTGAAGATGCTGCCCCCGCAGCTGCGGCTCCTGCTACCGCTGAGGTTTTACCATTGACCGACATCACAAACAAGATCAACACTGACGCGAGCACCAAGACTAAGACTCAAGCTCGCCCCCAGCGTGAGCGCCGTGAGCGGGGCCCTCCTGCTGATGGAATTCCTTCCAAGACCAAGGTCATGGTTGCCAACCTGCCTTACGACCTGACTGAGGATAAGGTGAGAACAACTGCCCTATCTCGTTTTGGACACAGTTTTCTAACACTGCAACAGCTTATTGAGCTTTTCAAGGCTTATGAGCCTTCTTCCGCCAAGATTGCTCTCCGACCCATCCCCCGATTCATGATCAAGAAGCTTCAGGCTCGTGGCGAGGCTCGCAAGGGTCGTGGCTTTGGCTTTGTTACTCTGGCTTCCGAGGAACTCCAGCAGAAGGCTGTTAACGAGATGAACGGAAAGGAGATTGAGGGCCGTGAGATTGCCGTCAAGGTTGCTATTGACAGCCCTGACAAGACCGATGAGGAACAGCACGAGGGTGATGCTACCAACGGTCAGAAGGATGCTGCCCCTGCTACTGAGGCTACTCCTGCTGCCGCGCCCGCCCCTGCTGCTGGTGCTGAGGCTGCTGCTACCCCTGCTGCTGCCCCAGCTCCCGCTGCCGCCAAGACTGAGGCTACCCCCGCCTCTACCACTCCTGCCACTACTGCTTAAATTATGGCTTGGCACGAATTTCACGGGCATGAACTGGGTATGCCACGATGATAACACTTACGATTTGGTACGCGATTTTCACGAATTTTTCTTACGGTAGATTCTCGCTACAACGATGAAAAGAAAGAATGAGGTATTCGACTTTGCCGGGATCATGGGGACGTAAGCGAGAGCGAATCGAGCTCTCATGAATCTTGGGTGGTGTTTACTTATCAGCCTTTATCACTTTTTTCATCAAACACTTAATATTTCCATGATCGGGACACAAAAAAGCTCACAGGCCCTCTGTTATCTTGTATTTGTATCACTTTTTCTCCGTCACCCTTCTGCGGGTTGTACACTAGTTTACACCGGAGGCGGCAGGGGGGAGAGAAAAGTTTAGCGGTGTTATAAAGGGCGTTTTGATGAAGTTGAACGGGCCTACGTGATCCCAGTCGTTTGAATGTATGTTGTATATTTCTGTGATGGTGAAGGTATGTAAATTCGTTGTGATGCTTTGTGCCTGACCTCATGCTAGGGACGAGACGAGTTGATAGTAGAGTTTATCCTTCAGGATTGTGGGGATGCATGAGAAGAGGCGTCATCGCTTTGGATTACATGGTGATAACGGCATATGTCGATTTACCTAATGCATCAACGCTGTTTTGGACCGTTTGCGTGCAGAAGATTGTGTGTGCTGCAAATAAATCAGCTGAAACTTTCATGGTGAAACGTACAGACTGATGCTAGACAACACAATAGCTCACGTGGCCAAGAGCGGACATTAAGGGTTCTAGAACTGGTGCTGAATGTTGTCTTGATAGAGTGTAGCGAACGTAAGGTATGGATAAAAATGCCCCGCCAACCTTAGCCCCTTAAATGGCCGGGAGCAGTTGGGGCACCTCATGGCAACGAGCGGGAGGAGCTGGCCCCATGCTCCAGTGCATCGAGCAACTAGTCTTGGGCGCTGAGTGGTGTAAATGTAAAGGCAAGGTACCCAATGGCACTAGCGCCCTGGGATGTCTCCCTTCGTTCTGTTTCCATTTTCGGGGTGTTCCCAACTCATCATAAAGATCCATTGCACCGTACTATATCGTGCCCAACAAACACAGTTCAACATATAATCGACGCTTCAATATCTCATACCAGCACTGAACCTCTTAAGATGGCATCCAAGGGCATGTGGGAGGTCGATCCCGAGACTCGGTCCAAGGTTCGTCCACCATTCATCCCCTTTCCTACTCATCTAATCTCTCCCCATCCTCTCTGTACTTTGCGCTGCAGTCACAAATGCTGACGCCGATACTGTCGATAGCTGGCCACCCTCCAGAAGGAATCAAAGAATAATGTCTGCTGCGATTGCAATGCGCCCTCCCCCCAGTGGGCGTCTCCCAAGTTTGGCATCTTCATCTGCCTCTCGTGCGCTGGTGTGCATCGAGGCCTTGGAGTCCACATTTCTTTCGTCAGGAGTATTTCAATGGACGCCTTCAAGTCGAGCGAAATCGAACGAATGCGACTGGGCGGCAACGAGGGATGGAGGAACTTCTTCGAAGAGCATGAGCAAACTAAGATGATGGGCATCACATGGGAAGACTCGACTATTGCAGAGCGATACAGTGGTGAAGTCGGTGAGGAGTGGAAGGAGAGACTGAGCTGCAAGGTCGAGGGCCGCGAATACGTCCCTGGTGCGAAGAAGCCCGTGTCTGCGCCCACGAAACCCGCGTCGCGAACAGGAACTCCCATGAGTGGTAGCTCGCGCCGCAATGAGAGTCCTGCAGCGGGGTCAGGAGGCGGAGGCGGAGGCGGAGGCGGAGGCGGAGGCGGAGGCAAGGTCAAGGTGGACGACCAGTATTTCTCAAGACTCGGAGCCGATAACGCTGCACGACCGGATCATCTGCCACCCAGCCAGGGAGGAAAATATGCTGGATTTGGAAGTACTCCTGCGCCCAATTCTTCGGACAACGACCTCAACTTTGGTGATATACAGAAGGACGCTGTCGCGACTCTGACTAGGGGATTCGGCTGGTTCACGTCAACAGTCTCAAAGACCGCCAAGACTGTTAATGATGGCTACATTCAGCCCACTGCTAAGCAGGTATGTCACTTCTTCTTCCAGGCCATTCTGCCTATCTTGGAGTCTTATCTAACACATCACAGTTTGCTGAAGGCGACTTTGCTAAGCAAGCTCAACTGACCGCTTCCGCTTTCGCAAAGCAGGCCCAAGCAGCGGGCAAGAATGCACAGGAGGGTTTCACCAGATTTGTGGAAGGTCCTGAGAACCAGAAAAGTCGAGAAGCCCCCCTAGATGAGAGCAAGAAGAGCTTTTGGGATGAGTTCTCAAACCTGGCTGATCAAAGACAACCCGCCAACAACTCAATCGGCACAAGTGCTATGGGAATGGGCAAGAAGAGCACGGCGGCTCCTCCACCAAAGAAGCAGGATGATGCATGGGACGATTGGTGAGCGGCAGTGTAGTCTTGGCTGTTTCGAAGGATAATTTGTTGGCAATCTAAGGTACCTAGTTGGAGCATTGGAGTATAGGCGTGCCTGCTAAATGAACCAGTCTCTTTACAAAACACTCGACTTCTCTCGGATCGCTTCAGCGTCCAAACAGAATTGCCAGTAAACGCTTGCTGCTTCCAATGCCGAACTACCTGAGTAGTCACCCACAACAACAAATTCTTGAGTCCCAATCCGTCTGTGAGCTGTCGCTGATATGAAAAAGTAATACTGTACCCGCACTCGGGCTCTGTCCTGTGATCCCCCTTTCTGTCTAGGTATCTACCAACAGATATAAGTGAAGCTAAAGGTGCACAGTCAAGATAATACAATAACAGTGTTTTCGAATACAACACAATATCAGGCGTCATGCCCTACGCCCAAAAACACACGAGAACCTTAATATGAAGCCTCAACAGATCACACAGTTACTGCCCTGAACCTTAAGATTCAACTAAACAAGTGGCCTCAATCCACAAGCATAAAGAGGATGTTTCCCATGTAACACCCAACTGCTTGGCCTTCTGGATGCCATTTGCCAGCGTCCACTACCACCAACTATGGTATCCAACCCATCAACGCTCCTCCGGGGCGGTCGCTTCAAAGGTCGGTACTGCTCTGTTCACTGTTGCGACGCATGCTGACCGCGTCACCATTTAGAGAACATGAACGACCTCATGGTTACGTTCAACGAGTCGCTCCCCTTCGGCAAGGCGTTGCACGAGGCCGATGTCAGGGGCTCCATCACCTATGCCAAGGCACTGCTGCAGCTCGACCTGCTCACTGACGAGGAGCTGAGCGAGATCACCAGGGGCCTCGAAGCTGTCGAGAAGGAGTGGGCTGACGGCAAATTTGTCATCCATCCTGCTGTTGATGAGGACATCCACACGGCCAACGAGCGTCGTCTAGCTGAGCTCATCGGCCCAACCATCGCTGGCAAGCTTCATACAGGCCGTTCCCGCAACGAGCAGATCGCTACCGACCTGCGCCTTTGGGTGCGAGCCCAGCTTGATGGCCTTTCCGAACAACTGCGAGCCGCCCTCACTGTTTGCGCTGCCCGCGCCAAGGCAGAAGTCGATGTACTGATGCCCGGCTATACTCACTTCCAACACGCCCAGCCTGTCCGCTTTTCGCACTGGTTACTCTCACATGCCACCTACCTGATGGGCGACCTGCAACGGCTTCACGGAGTCCGCGACCGCACTAATTGTTGTCCCCTCGGTGTTGGTGCCCTGGCGGGGAACCCATTTGGCATCGACCGCACCTTTCTCACCAACGACCTAGACTTCTCCTCTGTCCACCCTAATAGCTTAGCGGCGGTTGGGGATCGTGACTTCGTCGCCGAGATCCTGCAGTGGTCGAGCCTGCTGATGGTGCACCTTAGCCGCCTTAGTGAAGACTTGATTCTCTATTCAACAGCCGAGTTTAGTTTCGTTCGGGTTGCCGATGCTTATAGTACCGGCAGTAGTTTGATGCCCCAGAAGAAGAACCCCGATAGCCTCGAGCTGATTCGAGGAAAGGCTGGCAGGGTTATGGGCCAGGTTCGTCTCTTTTCAACCCCCGGTTAAAGACATGAAAGGGCCGTACCCTGAGCTGACTAACTGTCGACTGGCATCGGGCTTTCATTCCACTCTCAAGAGCCTTCCCACAGCGTATAACAAGGACATCCAGGAGTCAGTGGAGCCTCTTCTCGACTGCGTCAAGACGGTTTCGCACTGTCTGCGAATCGCCGGCGGCGTCCTAAGCACGCTGCAAATTGATTCTGAGAAGATGAAGGCAGCCCCAACAGCCGACATGCTCGCCACTGACGTCGCCGACTATCTAGTCTTAAAAGGAGTGCCCTTCCGGCAGACACACCACATCGCTGGCGCTGTTGTCCGCAAGGCAGAGGAGAAGGGTGTCTCCATCGCCGAACTAGAGCTGCCCGACCTTAAGCAGATCTCACCCCAGTTCGAGGCTGACATTGTCGACGTCTTCGACTTCGAGAGGAGCGTTGAGAGGAGGACTGCCCAGGGGGGCACGAGCCGGAGCTCAGCACTAGGCCAAATCTCCGCTCTCGAGGCCTATCTTGCTGGTAATTAAACCAGACGGCCGACCAAAGCTAGGCCCGCTCTGGATAATTAAGTTGGTTTGTCTTTCGTGTACAAATATATAGTACGTCCCCCGCTACCCAGCGACAAGATATGTTAGAGCCAGAGGATCGTTGGGAGGATAAATGGGGCATGGTCACAAGAGCAGCACCTAGTTTTAAATCTAATCGTTAATCCAGTGGTCCCTTGGAGTTGGCTCTAATTTAACCATTGACGTGTTCTGCACATGCTGCCTGTTCTCTCTTTAACGGGGCGGCCCGAGCCTTGTTAGTAGCTTAATACGAGAGACCCGCTCCCAAAGAACAAAACATCAAGTCATGAATACCTTAGGTAAGTAAGATCAGCCATTAATGTTCTACAGTCTATTGTATCTACCTTGGCACCACTGAACGGCGTATCCAAGAGCTAATTTTGCCCGTAGGCATCACCAATAACCACACCCGACAATTCCTCGCTTCCGAATCTGTTTTGCGGCATGCCTGAGCAGAGGTGATCAGAAATGTGATCAAGGCCTGGCCAAGGCATATAATTTCCAGGCCACCGAGAATGTCCAAGTTGTTCTTGTCAGTAGCGGCAAAACTAAATGTATCAGCGACAACCTATTGCTTGTTCTTGATAAGCATAGGGCAGGCTTCGTATTGTTGGGTGCCCACAAGTTTATAAAAATCTACCAAGATCTATGAAAGAGGTTATAGAGCAACAGGTTGTAGAAAAGATCACCTGTTGAACGTGTTGACCAATAGACACGTCACAACTTGTGATCTCCTGACAAAAGATCGGCTTGTCTGCCCCAGCTTCCCCAACAACAAAAAAGATCTCGGTTCCTAGTAGACAAGTGAAACTAATTAGTTCAACCAGAAACCTAAATATATGACGGAGAGGATGGAGATAATAGCTATGCTCCCTACTAGCCAAGGTATTCAGGATATCAGACCCTGATGTCTTCCAATCACCCAACGGAACCCATCTCTGGAAACAACCCTATTGATATCGTCTTGAACAGAAGTAGTGTTAAGGGGGTGTCGGGGAAGACGAGAAGAAAGATAATGACCCTCTGATAGAGTGTGGCTGAGAAGCATTACCTTAGACCGAGCCTTGCGTGCTGCCGTGCAATTTCTCCCAAGACAGAGTCAAAACTGGCTGCCAGATGGAGTATAAGAGAATGTTGCTTTGGACCTCAGTTAGAGGGAAGTGATGTCTTTGAAATGATACCTTACCAAGAAGTGAGCTAGGTTTTCTTGAGAACCCACTAGGTATTTATAAGCGCAGAGTCGCCTTGTCTTGCCTCGAGATGTATTCGTTATCTAGGTAGGATATCCTCTCCATATCCATCACTCAGCCCAGGCCGCAATCACATAGCATTACGCCTACTGGGTGTACTACATCTGTGAAGCACCCGATACGTTGGAGCAAGTACGTCACGTCAAGGACCTAGCAGCTAAACCGTTGTGCGTTGCCAGCACTAACCCCTGTGTGGACGCTCGGAACCACTAGAATCCTTGCGAATCAGTGCCGCATACGTGCCTGCATCGTCAAAGGAACAAGTGATTTTGCTGCGTGGGGCCGTACTGGCGGTAGACCACCTTACCTTAGTTATATGGCTGGGCTCGGCATTTGTGTATAAGTTGCCGGTGGTTCAACACCGTCAATGGCCGATTTCCTCAAAACCTCCCCTTGTATACTTTTCAATCGAATTTTTGCAGGATTTTATCTTAAGTCCATATGCGTATGATGGGAGAAGAGAAAGATATGATGCCATTAATATATACCGCAAACCTTTCAATAGAAATAACATCAACAACACGGGTATGAATCCCGACATCGCTCGTTCATCCGGCGGATCTGTCACGTGGGCCGTCGGCCGAGGTTGGAGCTGGGACCGGCCCTAGCCGGTACCGCGCCGAGCTTTGCCATGACGACTTGGCCGGCCCTCGTGAACGTCTCGCCGCTCTAGACAACTTCAATTTCGCATTGAACAATACCCATACAACATGTCAGCCTTGCGGATCCTCGTGCCCGTCAAACGGGTCATCGACTATGCTGTAAAGAAGCCGGATCGACAATTGAGAAGCAACTGAACGCTGACAATCTTTACAGGTCAAGCCTCGAGTTAACAAGGCCCAAACGGCCGTCGAAACAGCTGGTGTCAAGCACTCAATGAACCCGTTCGATGAGCTGTCTGTCGAAGAGTCAGTGCGTATCCGAGAGAAGAAGCGTTCGCCCGGTGGTGTCGAGGATATCTGCGTTATCTCTGCTGGTCCTCCAAAGGCGCAAGACGTGCTGCGAACAGCCATGGCCATGGGCGCAGACCGAGGAATCCACGTCGAGCTTAAGGATGGAGATGAGCTAGAGCCTCTCACAGTAGCAAAGATCCTCCAGAAGGCAGTGGAACAGCAGAAGAGTAACCTAGTGATTCTGGGCAAGCAGAGCATCGACGACGATGCGGCACAGACTGGCCAGATGCTTGCAGGTCTCCTGGGGTGGCCTCAGGCTACACAGGCGAGCAAGATCGAGTTCGGTGCTGGTGATCAAGTCACAGTGACAAAGGAGGTTGACGGCGGTGTTGAGACAGTGAGCGCCAAGTTGCCCATGGTCATCACGACAGACCTGCGACTCAACGAGCCCCGCTATGCCAGCTTGCCTAATATCATGAAGGCCAAGAAGAAGAAGTTGGAGAAGACAAAGCTTGAGGATTTTGGAGTAGATGGCGTGAAGCGTCTTAAGACACTTAAGGTCATTGGTAAGTTATCATTCTCTCACATAAAATGTTCCATGGTGCTTTTACTAACATCGCCCAGAACCCCCGGCTCGCCAGGGAGGTGGTAAGGTTGAGGATGTTGGTGGTTTGGTTAGCAAGCTGAAGGAGCTTGGCGCATTGTAAATAAGAAGCAAACAGTGTTCATGATAAAGCCGAAGGCCATTAGAACTGACTAACCCTGAATGGAGTATTCTTACTATTATGAAGTGTAAAATGAAAATTACAAGAGGCAAGTCTGCATACTGTTCTCCAATTTTGCCCGAAGTTCCCATTAACACGCTCGCGACCCAAACTAGAGCTGGAATAAGTTTCTCCTTTTAATATGTATATATTTTTCCAACTTAAATAACACCTAATGCTTTTGAGCTTGCATCATTTTGTTGAGCCGCCCATTCAAGGAGAGGAGAGGAAATCGTGCGCTTCTCGAGAGATCTCATGAGATATGTTATTGAAAAGGGAAGGCATAGCAAGTAACTCCGGATATTCAAACTCAAACTAATATAGCTTATCGTTTTAATGAATTTATGAGGTTGATGTGAGAAACAACATTGCATTGCTGATATTCTCTTTTTACTTGAACTCTTTGTGTTTAGGCAAGTATGGATGAAATACCTTTGAATTAGAGAAAGGAACAGGTAAGGAAGTTACTGAAACAAAAGACAAAAATCGCAAACTCACTCCAAGGAGCGAGGTTTCGATCTCGAAGGGTCCATGTTCAGTCCAACGTATTTTCCGTTGTTCCAAAGTGTTCCACTTGAAGGCGCCGGGGTGCCATAGAATAGCTGGAACGCAACTTGCACTTATAAGGCTGGTCTGTGTGGATGTCACACAGGGAGCCTGAGATGTGCCAGGGCTCTATTTCCGTAAACAAGCACGCACGTGAGCAGTTTTCTGTCAGCGACATGACTTTCTGTTAGTAAGTTGAGGCTCAAGAGACTCTATAAAGCATTCATCATGTTGTGACACCAAGACCAGGACTTGCAAGGTTGTCTCATGATTGGATTCCGACTGCCGAACGCCGCGTGCCTGGCAGGGCCGTCGAGGGCTCCACAGACTCTTATCAGAGCGATCGACAGTGCTACGCTAGAAATACTTCTAGCTTGGCTTCCATGCTTTGACCGCCAACAGAGGAGAAAACTCAACAAGGGCGAATCAAATGACGTCTCAACATTTCCGGAGTTTGTCTGGGGACGGTGGATCTTGCATGGATTCATTGACATGATAAAGGGCATGGCTGTGCTGGAGTGCTTGACTCAGTCGTTGAATGAATACTACCTATGGCATGGGGTGCAAGAGTGATGCTGAGTTGTAGCATCTGAGACAAGATATTCAATGGTCGCGATATGCCTTCTTCTGGCGGTATATGTGGTATGAAGAAAAGATAGGCTCAATGATCGGTTCAGGTTGTGTTGTGACGTGTAATTGGTGTTGGTCAAGGACTCACACAGCGACAAGAGTCAAAAACGATATCGGAGGTTGAGAGATGTTGTCAAAGGGTTCAGTTCCTGGCAGCGGGGCTCTAATAGTGCCAATAGGCGGAGCGCTCAGGCCGCCACCACTGTTTTCTCGGCGGAAGAGCGGGCTTTTGGTTCCGCCAGGAGGAAATTTGCAGCCAGGAACCCACTCAGCTCGAAAAAGCTTGCCAATGACCAAGGCCGTGTTGTCAGGTTTCCCTATCGGGGCGGCACCTGCGGAGCGGGATCGCACCAACCTATCCTATCGTCCATCCTGTCCATGGTTGGATCCTAACTAGAGGTATCCTATCTTTTCTTCCCAGCTCCCACCCTCTTGACTCTTTTCTTCTTTTTCTTCTCCTCCAACAGAAAGAAATCCTCGCGACAAATTCACACAATCTTGACCTTCAAGCTCTGACTCAACGTTCCTGCAACACGATTGCATCTTCTCCTATAACTCTGAACTGAGCTCGTCTCTTTAATCCGCCCACATGCACGGGCGCCCATCCGTCTTCACCTCGCAGGTACGTTCACTTTTTTTTTCTTCTTATTACGTCGCGTGTGACATATACTCGATGTATCAATCCCGCCATCACTGAACACATTTTTATCGGTGGCTCTGCAACGTTCGTTGTAGGAGCTATAGATCGATGTGTATCCACCTGATGGCTCCTCTCCTCATCACCAAGACTTCCATCATATATCAATTGGCACAATGCTAACTCATTTTATAGGATTATCTCTCTGGTTCGTACTCTTCATTGGTTTTGACTCACCGCTCGAAACCATGCCTTACCTATCCGCCAGACATGAAAACTAACCTATCAACAGACCATCTCTGGAAGTCTCAGTCTTGCTAAAGAACTTTCTTCACCAACCGACTATTCTCCTTCTAAACACAACCCAAACACCGACATATACCAAAATGTTCTCCCGACTGGCTTCCTTTGCCAAACCCGCGGCCAAGTCCGCGTCGGCTTCTGGCCGAACCATGCTTCAGGTCCGATACCTGTCTGAGAAGGCTGTTGCTGGCAGCAAGGGCAGGACTATGCCCTTCTCTGCTGCTCGAGCTACTGCTCCTGCTGCTTCTCTCCCCGCCACTCTCACCATTCGAGTATGTGCTCCTGCAATGGCATCTCACTTGTCGAACCAATCTAATATGCCTATAGGATGGTCCTGTTTTCCAGGGCAAGGCTTTCGGTGCCAACGCCAACATCTCTGGTGAGGCTGTCTTCACCACCTCTCTTGTTGGCTACCCCGAGTCCATGACGGACCCCTCCTACCGAGGCCAGATCCTCGTCTTCACCCAGCCCCTCATTGGCAACTATGGCGTTCCCTCCGCTGTCCGAGACGAGTATAATCTTCTCAAGTACTTCGAGTCCCCCCACGTTCAGTGTGCTGGTATCGTTGTCTCCGATGTCGCTGTCAACTACAGCCATTGGACTGCCGTCGAGAGTCTCGGCGAGTGGTGCGCCCGTGAGGGAGTTCCCGCCATTTCTGGCGTTGATACCCGCGCCATTGTCACCCACCTCCGAGAGCAGGGCTCTTCCCTGGCTAGGATCTCCATTGGAGAAGAGTACGATGCCGACGAGGATGAGGGTTTCGTTGACCCCGGCCAGATCAACCTGGTCAAGCGTGTCACCACCAAGGCTCCCTTCGTTGTTGAGTCCCCCGGTGCTTCTCTCCACGTTGCTCTGATCGACTGCGGTGTCAAGGAGAACATCCTTCGTAGCCTGGTCAGCCGAGGTGCTTCCGTCACAGTCTTCCCCTATGACTACCCCATCCACAAGGTTTCGCAGCACTTCGATGGTGTCTTCATCTCCAACGGTCCAGGTGACCCTACTCATTGCCAGGCTACTGTCCACAATCTCGCCCGTCTGATGGAAACTTCCAACATTCCTATCATGGGTATTTGTCTCGGCCACCAGCTTCTGGCTCTTGCTGTCGGTGCTCGCACCATCAAGCTCAAGTACGGTAACCGAGCTCACAACATTCCCGCTCTCGACTTGACCACTGGTTTGTGCCACATCACCAGCCAGAACCACGGATACGCCATCGATGCCAGCACCCTTCCCAGCGACTTCAAGGAGTACTTCGTCAACCTCAACGACGGATCCAACGAGGGTATGCTCCACAAGACCCGCCCCATCTTCTCGACCCAGTTCCACCCCGAGGCCAAGGGTGGCCCTATGGACAGCTCTTATCTCTTCGACAAGTACCTCCAGAACGTCCAGCTTGCCAAGAGTAACCAGGTGGTTTTCAAGGATAACCGACCTACCCCTCTGATGCTCGATATCATGAGCCGAGAGCGCGTCGGTGTTGAGCCTACCCCTCTTGCCGCCACTGCTTGAACGACTAGTGTGAGATGATTTTGGCGTCTGGGATAGGTCGTTGGTAACGTCTGTTAGTTTCTCGGGAGCAAGGATAATGGCTGCTATTTTAATGTTATATTCAGAAACATCGGGCTTATAAGAAAGATTGTGATACCACTACTACACCTCAAGCCGCCATGTCATGTCTCCTGTGCTGAAATGTACTGACATCAATGACCCAAGCAAGTGCTGCATCCAGCTTGTAGCGTCTCATTTAGTGATGTTAATACTCATACACAAAATATGACTTGGATAAAAGCAGACTTCAGAATTAAAACGATGATTAAAATTAAAGTTACTCAATTCACTGATGTCTAAACACCTATTGTTTATTTCCTTGCCTTTTACTGTCTCAACGCCGCCCTCCATGTGATATAGCTCCTGATACTGTGCACACAATGCAAAGTTATTAATTTGAATTTACTGTCTTTTCTTCGCACCGCATAGCACATAATGCGCACCTAGCCCTCAGTCCCTCATTCGAACATCGCCGTCGTTAGACAAGGAGCCACGACGAGGACGGTGGTCGTCTCTTGGTGGAGGAAGATACCGATCACTACGCGGTCGACCGCCGCCGCCGCCGCCGCCGCGTCCACGACGTCTCCCACCACGGCGCTCACGGCCCATGGCTCGCTCGCGGTGTGGAGGCCGGATGCCTTCAAAGACCTCCTTGCCCCGGTCAACGAATGAAGTACCGTTCTCAAAGGAGTAGCGGTTAATCTCGCGGCCGACATCGCGGTTGCGATCGTTTGTGTAATAAGAGCGCATATTGTCGATGCGGCGGCGCGCAAGGTCTTCTGATACAGGTTGGTAGTCGATAACTGGGCGAGTGTTGGTTCGCTTGAATGCACCGCCTGGGTTGATAGGTGGAGGTCTTGGTCCAGGTCCAGTGCCGGGGCGAACAGGGCGTGGTCCAGTAGGAATGGCAGGGTCGCGGAGTGCTCTGGGTCCAAGAGGGATAGAATTAGTCGCCATCGTCGAGCTTGGGGGTGGTCTTGCGCTCAGTTGAGGCATCATGCGAGATGTTGATGCTGATGCTTCCTCGAGATGTGCTTCAACATCGCCGTTAGGGCCATCCTCATAAACGATTTCCCATCGAGCACCAGAGCGGCCGCGTGGACCACCGCTGGCTTGTTCTGTATCAATCCAGTCCCGGACTTTCTCAGGAGGGACAAAGTCGACCCAGAGCGCTTTGCGATTGCTCTCGTTAGGCCAGACACTGTCGTGAAGTGCAGTGCGAACGCGGGAAGCAGCAGCGGTGTTTTTGAAGATAACAAAACCATGAGTACGGATCTGGTCCAGAAAGAATTCGGTCACGATCCCGTCGTCATCGTCCGCTGCGTCCTGAGAACGTCTCGCAAGCGTGACGAGATGGGCCTTGACATCTTGAGGTCGGAGAGGGCGCATGAAGTTCTTGATGTAAAGTGCAGAAGTGGCCGGGTGCACCGCCGGTGCAACGTCTCGCTCGTAGTTCATATCCTGCGTTTTATCTCCGTCTTCACCAGAATCTTCTTGTCTGGGTGCCTCGGTCTCTGGGGCAGCTTCCTGTGAAGGTTCTTGTTGAGGCTTCTCTGCTTGGGGCTCACTATCCAGGTTCATAGGAGCAGGTTTGTTTTGAGTTTCAGGTAGCAGATCTTCCTGTCGTGCACCTAGACTATCGCCGTTTGCTGAACTCTCATCCGTGCGTGCGCGTTTGCGTGCAATCGATTCTTCGGTTGGTGGGGGTGTGAGAGAGCGGCGTTTGCGCTTTTGCTGTTCGGCAGCAGGGGTTGGTTCGAGTGAGTGAGAGGGTGTAGATTCGACAGTGGTCGTCACTGTTCCCGCTCTTGATTTCTCCTCCACCGTTGGTTCCCTTGATTGAACATCCATTTCATTCCCAGGAATTGGCACGTCCGCGACCAGATCGCCATCGTGCGCCGCTTCCTCTGATGCTCCATTCTTGACAACTTCCTCCTTGTCGGTTTCAGGGACCCCTTTATTAGTCTCCCCATCGACATTGGGCGCAGTGTTATCATCCAACTGTTTCTCTTCTAGCTCCGATATTTCTGCTGTTGGCTTTTCTTCTTCCGGTCCGTGCTGCTCGGTCGCTTCCTGGGGCTCGTTGTCTGCAAGGACTGGTTGCTGAGCCGGTGGCTCATCATTTCCCGACTTGGTGTCTGTAGGCGCATCGTCAAGCTGTTCTTGGGCCTCAGTATTCTCAGTTTCTTGATCAGATTCATCTAGTCGCGCGACAAGCTCTGTTTTGAGACCGTGCTGTGGTAGACCGCGACTTTTGAGCTCGGCCTTGAGGTCGACGACTTTGAGCTTGGCCCAGTCAGTCATGATGAAAGCAATTGACGGCGCGTGAACGTCTGACGTGTTTGAAAACGATTCTCATATGCTCTCCTTTTGCGTCTAAATGATTGATTATCCTGGAGAAGATCTGAATCTGAAAGACGAGAGTAGGTAACGAATTGGAACCTTTGAAAGCTTGAAACAGCTTTGATCATCTTCAGTCTCGTCGCAAATCTAAGTGTTAAAGGGTTGTTCATCCAATCAGGTGTCACAGAGAAGATTTCTTATGTCAGCAACTCAGCTCCACTTAGTGGCGGAGTCAAGCCACACAACTAAGACAGCCACAAGATCTAGGTTCCTAGACATCAGTTGCATTTCTTATTTTTGTTCAACGTGAACGCTGCAGAGTGTAATACGAAAGCCATGACGGTGTGCATTAAGAATTGAAGGTTTTTCGTGACTTCATCCTTACACTGATTGAGGTAACAAGCTCGGTCAATCAAAGGCTACAGTTATCCTAATGGTCACATGCAGTCTCATGATATGCAGCCGCAAGTGGGCCATGGGTTGCACAATAGAATAGGTAACGTACCCCCTCAAACTGCGATGCATTGTGGTCAATGGCAGCTGAAGGCCAACTGTCGGTCATGATAATGCAAATAAGCCGATGAGCTCTAACTTAGGGGCCATAGCCAAGACCCGATTGAGTCTATTCAGTTCATCATGACTTCAACTGCTCTCATACCTTCTTGGTCTCGATATCATGAGCTGATATCCAATTCCCTTCACCGAAATCATGTTACCCATGTCACCTTGATCGTGCTTCTCTTTTCCGATCCCTACATCCCTAGCCCATCTCAAATGCAAACGCAACTGTAATTGAGAGGGACTGACGACCGCTTCGTTGCTCGTTTCATTCATAGTATGAGGTGATGTCCCTTGCCTAGCCCACTCTGACCCCTGTTTCCCCCCCTGGTTCGTGGACATAACCATCATCACACGACCTCCAGCTTATCCCGCATCGCGACCTGGAGCTCCCCGAGCTTGTGTGGGTCCTGCTCTAACACGTCATTGCCCTTTGGCGTTTGCTCTTTGTGTTTTGGTGGCTTTTTAGTGTTACATTTTGACCTCCACCTCCGCAGTTCAACGCCGACACAGCCATAAACCCAATAAGCCCAAGATGGGCATCTGGTTATCATCAGTGATCAATTCAGTTTGACTGACTTTCTCAAACATTTTTGAAAGGCGACCAAAACAATTGAATTAAATAGAGAGCTCCTAGTCTTTTTGTTGTTTTCTTAGGGTTCCTCCCGCTCATCAGTCAAATACATTAAATACATAAATATTGGTCTCAATCAGGGCCATGCCTGAGCCCCTCGTAAACTCTTAATTCGTACAAGCCAGCAATCAATGCCGGGTATCTTAGACGTCGAGACCATCGACGACAATGCCCTTGTTCCAGGTCCACTGAAGTCTCCTGGCCACCTCCAACGCAGTAAAGTCATCAATCATAGCGCTGACAAGATACAGGGCTGCATCAATGCCAGAGCTGACACCTCCGGATGTGACCACCCGGAGACCACCAAGTCGCATAGCTGCGCGGCGTACGATGGACTCACGGCGGGTGTTGGAATCCTTGAACGACATGCTTCCCTTTCTGTGTGTCATCATAAGTCAGTTTAACTGTCTCAAACTCAATGCATGACAAAGTGGGGTATAAAGGGACCACTCTGCATGTGTTACGTACCGGGCTGCCGAAGGGCGACGTCCCTGACCAGCATCGGACTTGCGGCGGATGTATGGGCTCTCGTCCTCGCCGAGATCGAATCGAAGGTTGTTGACGACGTAGCGAGCGTCCTCAACCACGTCGGTACGTTCTTGAAGGTTCACGGTAGCAGCATCGCTGCAAATGTTCTCAAAGGTGGTGAGAAAGTCGGGGTGGGTAGTGGCAGAGAGGCCAGAGAGGATACCCTGCTTGCCAAGGAAGAGGGCACCTGTGCAGATAGAGAGGATGGTACGCTCGCGGGCAGGGTCACGCTTCTGAAGCTCCGAGAAGTCGGTGATGAGAGAGAGGGGTTGGAGCTCTTTGGCGACGACCTCCTTGGAGTTACCACCGACGACGACGAGGATGTCAAAGTCCTCAAGACGTTCGTGAGCCTCCTTGTAGGAGATCTGGGAGCCAACGACGACGCCCTGGTCGGAGATGACCTTGGGCTCAGGACCGACGATGGTGACCTCGAAGGCCTTGTTGTCTACATGAAGGGGATATGTGATCAGCGGGAGGGGTAAAGCAAATGGATGCACCGTACACCAGAACGAGGGGTATGGACTATTATACTGTGAGATAGAGGATACTTACTGTCAGGGTCCTTGAAATCGTGTGAAGCAGTAGTAAAGACCTCGAGCGCGCCGGCAAAGTCCAGAAGATCGAACTTTTCGTGAATGGCGAAGAGAACGTCAACGGGCTCCTGGTCAGCGATGGCCGAGGTCTTCTGCGCACTCATCTTAGCGGTATTGTTGGGGGTTTAGAAGAGGGTAATAGTTGAGGAAGAATTGTGACGTGTGTTGAAGCCAAGTTGTAGAAGTAGACGAGCACTAAAAGGAGATGCTAGCTACCACAAAAAAGAGGTTACTGTTGTTGTTGTTGTTGGATTGGTTTATAAAGTGATCTGGATAATGATGAGAGAGGAAGGAAAGGAGAATAAGATGAGGAAGAGCAGGAGGGCCGTCTTAAGTACACCAAGGAATGTTGTGTGGTTGCTTTGCCCTGAGTCTTTCCCCTCATCGATTGACGACTCAGGAACTGCAACCACCTCACCTCACCTCACTTCACTCAATCAAGTCCCGTCCCTTCCCTTCCTGGCCCAAAGTTGAGTGGCTCGATTTCTAGGTCAGAAGGACTCTGAGTCTGGTGTGATCATTACCCACAAAGTCATGGTACGGTCTCGTCTGCAGCTAGTATCAGGAAACTGCGGGGTTACTAGCGCGGCGGGGCATTCCCTGAGGTTCAGGGTACCGCCGTTCGGCTGTCTCCATCGAGGCCGGGCAGGTAGAGGGGACCATGTCGGGACATCAAGCTGTGACCGATCAGCTTTCTGCCGGCCCCGCTCCCTGCCGCAACCCCCCAAACTCATTTTCGCTTAGACCACTACTAAAGCGATAGCCTCTAGACGACCCCCTGTGGCTCGAGTTACAACCGCTGTTTTCAGTGAAGTCGCTGGTCGCCGAATGATTTTCCAGCGCACGGAGGCTCCACTCGTAAGCGCCACAAACTCGCACCACCTTGAGAATGGTGCAGCGAAAGGCAAGGTACCGCCACGGCCAGCCGCGCCGCGCCGTTACCCATGCCCAAAAATCAGCTGCCTGCCCTGGATACTGACTGAGCGTCACCGAATAGCTTCACCCAAATTACATCTCCGACGGCTTCAGGTCCTTGGCTCAAGATCCACACTTCTACGGGCCTCACCATCTCGGTCTGCTCACCTTGAGTCTCACGAGCTCGGATGAGGCCGTCAAGCCCGTCATGGCTTCATCGGCGTACGTCATCTCGTCCCCTGCAGAAAACTCCATCCCCAAAACGTCGCCGACTCGAGCTCCCCTCACTCAACGGCTCGTCCCTCATGATCTTCCACCCCATCTCCTCCTTTGGATCCTGCGACATTCATCTCCATACGTCAAATATTATACGCTGTCCGCTGACAATTATCTCCACTGTTTAGGTCGCTAAAGGACCTCTCCAAGGCGATCGTCGCCTTCCTCGCTGAGCCAACGGCTTCGCTGCCCGACGACTTAGAAAAGATCATTGATGCATACCTCCGTCGACACCAGAAATATGACGACGCTACGGCAGATCGCCTCCAGGAAGAGCTCCTGTCCATTTTTGACAAGCACGTCAAAGACAAACCTTCAGCCTTCGCGCCCTTTCTGAACATCCTTCGTCAACTACTTTCGATACTTCGAACTCCTGAGCGGATATTTGCATGGTGGGACTCGTGCTCTGCGCTTCTAGCCAAGTCCTCTCCCGAGAAAGGTGTTGTGGAAGCGTCACTGGCGAATATCATGGAAATCATATCAATTGCGGAAGAGGATCATGACGGTTCTGATTCTGACCTTTCCTCCAACCCACTCATTGACCGCCTGTTCACAGGATGGATGGAGAAGCTTTACCCGTCTGTCACCGAAGCGCTATCAAGCCTTGAGCCAAATGAGAGAATCACGCGGGAGGCTCTTGTGCAGTTCGGAAAGAAGCATCCCAAGGTTAGTAATATATGCCTAAATTGTATTCATCAGGGGGTTTTCTGACCTGAACAAGGAGCTTTTTACTGCGCTTGATCGCTATTTTGTGAAGAAACAGTATCGCAAGGCTGTCCTGCGCTTCTTGGGCGACTATCTTCAAAGTCAACCTCCTCATGTTCACCAGATTCTACAAACGCCACTATTTGCTGATATTTTAAAATGCCTACAACAGGATAGCTCAACGACCATAGTGTCAGCCGCGCTGACAGTTGTCATCATGTTACTTCCACAGATGCCAAGCTCACTGGTTCCGCATCTACCCACGCTGTTCAACATCTATGCAAGGCTATTATTCTGGTCACGAGAACGGGCCAGCGTAGTTGAGCCTCAGCCAGAGGATACAGATTCATCCAATTGGGAACAATGCAGTCATGAGGCAGACGTCGATGCTCACCCTGTCTATCACCTCCTGAACTACTATACCATTCTTTATGGTCTCTATCCCATCAACTTCATGGACTATATTCGCAAGCCTCAGAGATATCTACGTCACGCCAATGTTGCAAATGCCAACGATATGGAAGTTCAGCCTACCGAGATTCGAGACCAATCAGAAAGGTTCCGCCAATGCCATTTACTTCACCCAAACTTCTTCACCCTCACGATTGATTCGGAAAAGACGGATTTTGGTCGCTGGATCAAGAGCGAGGCCTCGGAGGTTGTTGCTGAGTGCATGGCTTTGTGTCTCGCGAACGATTCCAACCTGTCTTTCGGACAGCCTTTGTCTGTATCTGAAGCGTCTCCATCTAACGAAGGATTTGTCAAAGAAAATCACCCTTCTGTTCCAATGACGACGGCTGAATCCCACAGCGGCTATCGTTTGCCTACATCCGCCAGTACGGACTCGTTAGCGAGTAGTCGTCGGCCATCAGCTCTAATTCGACGGGGTTCCCAATCAAGCATCCCATCAACTCGGGATTCTATTGATGCCAGGATAAGAGAACCAAACGCCGACAGTCCGACCCTTGGTCCTCATCTCATCCAATCTTCCTCCCATACACAACTACAGGACATGATCCAATCTAACAAGGTCATCAAGTCCGGTTTGCATCAGTCTTTGGCCAACGATAGCGTGCCATCACTATCACTCAGCAATCAAGATTCTGTGGCTGATCGGCCCGGCCCATCGCTACTGGGCGCCCCGCCAACTATCAGCACGCCCCTTTCCTTGACTGAGACGAATACACAAGTGGCTCATCTGCAGCGCCAGATCCTGCTTTTGCAGAATGACCTAAACTTTGAGAGATATTTGAAACAACAACATATGGCCCATATTGGTGACTTGCGCAGACGACATATGGAGGAAGCTGTGACAGAGGCAGAAACACAGAATCTACTCATCACAAACCGTAACTTGAAGCATCGGTTCGAGGAAGCGAAGAAAGCGGAGATGCAAGTTCGGAGGGATTCTGAGAAGAGTCGTGCCCTTGCGAAGAAGTGGGAAGCTGACCTTTCCACCAAGCTTAAGAAGCTGCGTGACGAATCAAAGCGACTCAAGGCTGACTATGAAGCGCTCCAGAAGGAGCTAGATAACTCCACGGCGGAGCGTGACAAGTTGAGGGTACTACTGTGCGAGGCTGAAGTCAAGGAGGTCAACTGGAAGCAGAATATGCAGTCCATTGAAATTCACAGCGCTGAAATCGACCGGTTGAAAAGTGAAGTCGATAGATTGACAAAGGTTGAACGTGATTTCCAGGCCAAGGAACTCGAGCAACAAAGGGCAATCGCTGCCGCTGCAGGAGCAGAGAGCAAAGTTGAGGCTCTGAATCTTCAACTCGCCAGTCGAGAGAATGAAATCGAGCGTACTAGGAAACTGTTCCAGAACCAAATTGCAACTCTACAAGCGAAGTTATCCGAGGCGCAGGAGGAAAGAAGTCTACCTTCTCGGGATAGCAAGGCAGCAATTCAGGCAATGCTCGCAGCGAGTCGAGAGAAGCAAGCTGAACTACAGAAGCAGTGCGACCTGCTGATGCGCAAATACACCGCCCTGCAGTCATCGTTCCTGGATATGAAGACGGAAACGAAGCCAAGACATCTCAGGATCGAGACCTCACTAGATGGAGAGCATGATTCATCATCCATGTCAACGAGCCCCGTCATGATGAAAACGCGGCCACAGCGTGTGCTCTCAAGCCCTGACATCACAGAGGGCACTGCATACAATGTCACGCCACCTCTCGGGCACAAACCTGAAGCTGCCTTATCACCGAAGTCAGGGGGTTGGGCACATCCACCAGGGTCACCATTGGGAACAGATGCATCATCTCTATCCATGAGCCCAGATCACCAGCGATTCGGACGAAGTGATGGGGGACGATTACTTGCCAGGAGTCACTCGGACTTATTTGCCAGTGCAACACACAATCGACTCCGTAAAGATTCGAAAGACAAGGGTAAAGAGGAGGCAGGCGCGAAAAAAGACAAGAAACCATCGGCATTGAGGGGAATTCGGGGGTTCATGTATGAATGAGAAGATGATTGTGACAAGGTGAGCAATGGCGATAGTGGATATATAGGCCGGTTTTGACATATTTGCGTACATATGGCAGTCATTCTTGAATAAATCATTAGGCTCGTCGCCATCCACTTCATTTGACCAGCAGCACTGATGAATACGCAGCACTGAGTACTAAATAAAGAATCACCATGCTCTCAGTGAGATGCGAGCACGAAAGCTACCAGCGAGATTAAAGAATGAGCTACGAGTGCATGTAAGAATTGATTTCCATGTACTCACATTGATGCATACACATGGTAGCGCATTGTCAGCCTAAATATTGGTATCACGCCAGCAGCTTTCCGAGGTGGTCGATTTGAGAATGTCGATTATACCGCTGTATGAGCATCAAGCCCAGGTTGATGCTTGGTCGACATGCATGAGCTCTGTTACGAAAACGACTTTCAACAATTGGATGGCTTCCGTAGCTCAGTTGGTTAGAGCGTCGTACTAATACTTCATTCCGAGTATCCGGTAATGCGAAGGTCTCAGGTTCAAGCCCTGGCGGGAGCAATCCCAGTGCCTTCCAATTGTTACTTTTTGCATTTTCTCGCATCTCGAGCTATGTTTATGTGTTTTGCAGACATGCTGAGAAGTTGGTCCGTGGTATCCATGCCATGATATGAAGTCTGAAGAAGCTCGATGCCTTATGTAAACAGGGCTGAATGGCTAATTGCGGGATGCGGGGTCATGTCCCATATCAGGCAGGAAACAATAAATAACGATCGGGTTGTAGTGATCTTTTCCTCCTTTTTTCCTTGCCTAACGCATGGACTTCATTTCCGAAGAAAACATAATAAACGGAATGACTGCTTATTATGGTGATGTGACTCAGTTGCTCTCGGGGAGTCTCTTCTAAATAAGATCGCGATCTGGGGGCAGCTGAGCGGTCAATTCTTGTTGTGTCTCTGACTGTGTTTCGATATACGTCATTTTGTTCTGGACGTGACCATGTCTTGAGACATGTTTCTCATCTGATGATTCAGATTGAGAAGCTAAAGGTCTGATGAAGATTACTAGAACAGAAGTTAGTGTAACCCTTTGTTCTTTTGTGAAAATTGTCCTTTGAAAGAGATCAAACTCGACTCGGGCTGTTTGTGGTCCATGTTCTAATGTTGGCACACCATATCCTTTTTTAATGGGGTGGAGATTTACAGGGGATGCTGGCTTGTGTGTTTGTGGGGGAGAGATTTGATGAGGGTAGTAGATCCGTTAAACAAAGAGAATCCGGATTTTCATAATAAGAGGAGCGTGGTTTCCGGTCTGTTGAGAAAAGGGATCGTTCGGTACTCTGTACTCCTACAAGAGTCCCACGGAAAACAGTTCTCCCAGCCGAGCTGTGTCATTTCGCAATTTGACCGTGGATACGGTCATGGCCATGGCCATGGTATGCATCTGGCTGCAATGCCGATCTGGTTCGCTCCAGCCGCATGTGGATAATAACCGATGGACTCGCTTCTCGCCCAATCTGAGCAATTTTCTGGTCGACTACTGTATGTAGGCAATCGGACCCCCGCGTATTAGTGCCTATCGAGAAGCTGGTTGGCTGGTTAGTTGTCATTGAACCGCTCCCATTGTCATGTATGATGGAATAGGTGCGGGATAGCTACAGCGAGAGGCTGTGCTCGAGAGAGGTCGAGATTGGAGAGGATAGCGGTGAGGACAATTGAGCCGAGGAATGCGCACATCAGAACTGGAACTTTTGCAGATACGTCGTTTTGGTGTTTCTTTTGGTGGTACCTGAAGTCTGGTGATGATAAGACAAAACGTTCGAGTCACTCGCTACACGGCGATTGTGTGCGTTGATGGATGATATGTAGCTAAGGTACCTTAGTTATAGCTGTATTTGATCGCTGGAATTGAGAATATGGATCCTCAACTGACAATCGGACAGGGACAAAGCCGTTGACTCGTGGATAGAGATGACGTAGAGACTGTGCCACGTGAAGGCCTCTGGGCCGTTAGCGCATGTCGTCAGCGGACCTGAGGCTCCTGGAAGGCCGTGCGTTCTGGTTTCAGCGGGGTTGGTTAGCGGATTTCCAGTGGACTGGGCCTTGTAGAGGCGCCTGAACCGACAAGGGGGAAATGGCTGAGTGAGTGAATGACCTCTGGTGTTGATATCACGGATCTAAGGACAATGTCTACAGATCTCCTAAAGATCTCTGAAAAGAGACCGTTGAAATGGGTTTACTCCCTTACATTATGCCCTGTCACATCGAGTAGCTAGCTATAGGTTAATCGCATCGAGCATGATTACAAGATCTCCATTGACGCTTGCTGCCTAATATACTTGACTCATTAGATACTTGGAATTACTATTGTCATTGTTTGTTGACTTCGTTACCACTGTCAACCATTTATCGCCGGATGCCGCCGCTCAACGTCGGGTTTACTCATTCTGTGTCTCTTCCTTCAGCTCCCAGCTCTAGGCTCATGATCGATCATTCTACGCCAACTCTACCTCTCAAAAAATCGCTTCTGCATTATCGGTAATCGATGCCCTAACTTCTGCGCCCGAGATTCCCTCGATTGTCTACACGCCCCTAGGCATGAAATTCAAATAAGCATCCTTCACAATAAGAAAAGAGTTAAGCTACCTTACTATACCGACACCACCAACAAGAACCCACGACCCTCTTTTCTTTTGCGCCTATCTTTTTTACCCTTCCCTCTCTTTCAACCACATCAGCTTCTTTTCTTCTTTCCTCTCTCTCTCTCCCTTTTGCTTCTTCCCTTCTTTTTCGTGCGCCTCGGGTTTCTTTCTTCCCCCTTTCATTCTCTTCGTCCTTTTCTAAGAGGGAGGTCCCAAACCCCCCCCTCCCCCCTCTTGGCAAACGACGCGACCATCACCAATAATAATGTCGTCGCTCGAAGCCAAGATCGTCGTCCTCGGCGCCCAGGGCGTTGGGAAGACGTCTCTGGTTATGAGATACTGCAAGGGCGCATTCAACCCGGCTCAGATCACTTCTACCGTCGGCGCCAGCTTTCTCACGAAGCGCGTCGTTGACTCTGACTCCGATACCGTTGTGCGCCTTCAGATATGGGATACAGGTTGGTTTTGATAAGGATCCAATCAAGTTTTTATTCTCTTATATGCTAACGTCAACTCACAGCCGGCCAAGAACGCTTTCGTTCTATCTCCCGCCTGTACTATCGCGGCGCAAACGCCTGCATCCTCTGCTACAGCATCACAGACGCACAGTCATTCGCCGATATGGGTGTATGGCTCATGGAACTTCGACGAAACCTCCCTCACGATGTCGTTCTTCACGTGGTCGGTACAAAAGCCGACATTGTCGCCCGCGATCCCTCAGCCCGCCAGGTCCCATTCGAACGTTGTATCGCATACGTCGCTGAGAACCTTGCCCCAGGCATGGGCAGCACGCCACCTCCGACCGCAACCCCTTACCACGTACCGACGCCTATGTCAGGTGGCCAGGCGATGTCTCCCCCGTCTATGGAGCCTCGGAGCCCCAGCTCGAAGCGTAGCTCTGGTTTCTGGGCACAGGAAGTTGGCTGGGACGCCTGTCATGAAATCAGCGCCGAAACAGGAGAGGGTGTCGAGGAAGTATTTCGTGTTGTCACACGCAAGCTTGTTGAGCAGAACCGCAAGATGCAGCAGGCCCTTCTAATGGCCACTGCCATCCCTGGTACCCCAGGTTACGAAGCCGGCATGGACGGAGGCTATTTTGCGGGTGCAGACGCACGAGGGAGTTTCCGAGTAGGCCGCGATCGTCGAAGCTGGCTCTTCTCGCCAGGTTTCTCGCCCGCCGTTACGGTCGAGCAGGCGGGAACCCAGGAGCAGACACAAGCAGACGGCTGGGATCGAAAAGAGCGCAAGAAGTGCTGTTGATTTTCTTGATTGCCATTACCAAACTTGGCGAACGAAGACGATATGATGGAAAGAGATGTAGACGTTGTATGGACATAAGAAACGAGGTCATGTCTGCAACGAATTCCCCACGGCAACGACGGAAGAGGAGCTTTAGGATGGTTTCGACGACTGAGCGCACATGTTTGATACCCGGTCTTTTTTCGTGTTTCTTATTTTTTGTTTTGTCTTATAGGTCATGTTTTGCGGGTTGGTTCACAGTCGGGGTGTTTTTCGTCTTTGGTACTGGCAGCCTGGTCCCGGCTCATTTACTATTTCTGTACGCAATGCATAATTTCTTTCCTGGTTTTTCTTCTCTTCTCTTCTCTTATCTTCATTCAGTTCATGCATGGTGCATCAGGCGGGTCTTCTTTTGTTCTACTGTTTCGCAATTGGGAGTTGGACGAGAGGGTCATGAGAGGTAGATTTTTCCATTTCTGACTTAGAACATACTATGCATTGCTATTTTGTTCAAACATGACCGTCGACATCGCCGTGTCTCCTATTCATAGCCAAGGCACCTTGACTTTCTGATGTTTCCGCAGACTGATATGATTTCCACGTGCTGGCCTGTAGTGAGTGAGAGTGGCTAAGCCGGCAGCATCCGGAGAACCCCACCCCCACCTGTTCCGGTCGGAGGTCGGATGTGTCCCCCGCATCCTCCCGTTATCCGCCATCCCGCACCCGGGACTATGGAATTGAAAACTGCCGCCAACACCAGTCACTTTTTTTTACTACATACCCTCTTGACAACCTCTTAAGCCGCTAATCCTCCACTCTTTTGCCCTCTTCTCCTCACATCACCACTTGCTGGCCTCAACTTCGAAGCAATGGCTCACCCTCAAGGAAACCTCGCAAACCTTCTCCCTCCTTCATGGAAAACCTCGGTAACCGCTTGGCTAGCTGAGGATACGCCTTCGTTCGATTACGCCGGCTTCGTTGTCGGTGACGGTCCCCGTGTCGCTACCCTCTGGGGTAAATCCAGCGGCATCATCGCCGGCCGACCCTTCTTCGACGAGGTCTTTACGCAGTGCGGCTGCACCGTCGAGTGGCATGCTGAAGAGGGAACAGCTGTTGACCTGAGCAATGGCAAGCATCGAGTTGCAACAGTCAAGGGTCCTGTCCGCGGAATTCTCCTTGGTGAGCGCGTTGCTCTGAACACACTTGCACGATGCTCTGGCGTCGCTACCAAGAGCCAGCGACTTGTATCGATTGCGCGTGAGGCGGGGTATACAGGTGTGATTGCAGGAACACGAAAGACAACGCCGGGATTCCGCCTCGTTGAGAAGTACGGCATGCTAGTCGGCGGCGCGGATGCCCACAGAATGGATCTCAGCGCCATGATCATGCTCAAGGATAACCACGTCTGGAGCCGAGGCAGTATCACCGATGCTGTCAAGGCTGCCAAGTCAGTCGGTGGCTTCAGTATGAAAGTGGAGGTGGAGGTTCAGAGCGAGGCTGAGGCTGACGAGGCCATCGAGGCTGGCGCCGATGTGGTTATGTTGGATAACTTCACTGGTGATGGTGTTAAGGTTGCTTCAAGAAGTCTCAAGGAGCGATGGCAAGGGAAGAGGCATTTCCTGCTTGAGACATCTGGTGGACTTCAGGAAGATAACTTTGAGGCGTACTTGTGTAATGGTGAGTACTTGGAAGGCTTTCTGAAGAGCATGCCGATGCTAACATATTATAGATGTCGATATTTTGTCAACAAGTTCTATTCATCAGGGAGTGCCGCACATCGATTTCTCACTCAAGATCGAGCACTAGGTCAAGATAATAAAAGTATATTGATATCCACGAAAACTAAGGATCCGTTCTGTTGGTAACTCGAAGTCGAGTGCTGACTTTGTAGACTTCCATGTGTCACATGAACAACCTGATAATATTCATCTGCCTCGGAAGCATCTCCACCATCGATAGTCAAAAACCAGCCATCCTAGCTTCCATGTTTGGTCCTCTATTCCGATGGTGGCTTAAAAGATCGTCTTGCAAAGATGTCTGCTTCTCCTGTTCAGGAACTTGCGGGTGTCAGAACGTGATAACATCACGCTGCTTAAATTCCTCGTCGATAGAATATACAAAGCAGGGCTGGAGGTGAAGAAGTGAGCAAGACGAAGATGAATCTCCCTTTCGACAGGCCTGTGCCATTGTTAGCAATCTCTGATTCAAATGTCAGAGTCACCAGGCACAAACATAACTGGCCAGTCCTCAACTCTTGGGTTTGGTGACGCCAAAAGACGCCCACACCATGAGACTATTTCTTCTCCTTTACTTCCGATCTCCAATCTCTTCGGTCGTCTTTCGTTCCTTGTTCATACATGGAGATATTTCTGTGTCGTGATGTTTCAGCACAGCGTTCGAGCTTTAATCAACTCGTCATATGAGAGTTGAGTAAGAGAAATGGAGCTTTGAGCATGCCTTGGACACAGCGTGACCACGACGAGGGCCAAGACCCCGTAGCTACGCTATCCCTTGGGCTACTGTGCACTCTTCACCTTCTACAAATACTTCAAGTCTATTACATATATTCGAAGCATAATCAGTATCATCATAAACTCAGGAGGCAGATGAGTTGACGAAGCCTAATGGCATGGTCAAGTAGGCATGACTTCGCCTTGAAAGTTGTCACATCATCACAATTTTGGAATCAAACGGGAATGTCTTGGCAAAATCTTGGTGCCATTTGTGTCTATCGACATGCAACTGTCTGCAGGAGGCATTCATCAAACACCCTTTTGTAAAACCCCAAAACGGCCGTGGAAAAGAGTCAATTCATACATGACTCACTACCAGGCAATGAAAAGAAGAGACAACGCGGTTTGAAAGAACTTGCACAGGCACTCTTCGTTAATCCTCATTCCTTACGCGCCCTCAATCCCTATCTGATATCATTTTCTTAGACGCCAGGCATGTAAAGTCAAGACCATGAGAAGAAGAAAAGTTGGCCAGGTGGCCCCATGTTGAGCAAAGAAGATCGTAAAGTACGATGATGCGTAACGTACATTGAGAATCGAAATGAAGAGAAAAAGGAAACAGTTGCTGTAGACGTGGTCTAGGGGGCTACGTCTTCTGCCACCTCACTAGATACGAGTGCTTGCCAACCAAGACATGCCGGGATTCCTCATACCCGCGAACGATGTAGAAGCGTGCCATATCCGTTCATCAAAGAGCTTAGAGCTTAGACAGTAACGCGCTTCTCGCCCTTGGGCTTGAGAACGTTGTCGCCATAACGGCCGCCAAAGTTACCTGCAAAGTTAGCGATGTTTGCATCATCAGCACACGGGTGGGACTTACCCTGAGGGTTGTAGTTGCAGACGGTGTACCAAGAGGGGAAGCTGAGAACAGTTCCGGCAGGGCACTTGACAGTGGCGCAGCCGACCTTCGTGGAGTCCTTCCAGACAACCTGAGTGAAGTGGCCGTAGAGGTCAATGTTCATATCAGCAGGAGGGTTCTCCTGGCCATAGAAAGCCCAGTTGGCCATCTCGTTGTTGTACCACTGGTTGGTAATACCACCAGCAGCGGCCTTGTTCTTGAGGCCATCAATGTCGCTTGTGGCACCCCAAGAAGCGAGGTTCTGGCCGTAGCCGCCATTGCCTTGCTTCCTAAAGATATGTCAGTCATCAATTCGTTATTCACACATGTTATTGACTTACATGTCGTGCTCGAAAACACAACCGTTGGCGGTGTTCTCGGCGTAGCCGGCAAGCTCATCATCCCACTCAAGGGCAGAGGCAGAGTGGTTAAGACGGTGGATGTTGTGGTAGGCGAGCATAACAGTGTTATAGGCACCATCCAGAGAGAGGTCATCACCGCCGCTAGCAGGGACCTCAACCTTGGGCTCGGCAGCCTTGGTAGGCTTAGCGACAACCTTTTCGACGGTAGTCTTGGGCTTCTCGACGACGGGTGCGGGAGACTCATAGACGCTCTCCTTAGTAGACTCAGGCTGGGGCTCGACAGTAACGACCGTAACCTTAGGGGCCTCCTTGGTGGTTGAGGGCTTGCTGACAGGCTTCTTGACCTTCTTGGGCTTCGCAGCCTCCTTGGTGGTTGAAGGAGCTGTATACTTGGGAGCAGGGGCTTCCATAAACACAACGCCAGTGGGCTTTGTGGCCGCAGGAGCCGTGGTCTCGGGCTCGTCGCCAGCAACAACAGTGACGGTAACAACCTCGTAGACCCACTCGGTCTTCATCTCTCGCTTCTCAATCTCTCTCTTCTCGAGAGCATTTCGAATAGGGCTGGCCGAAGCCAAGATGGCGCTAGCGCCGAGGAGGAACATAGACGCCTTCATGGTGATCGGTGAACAGACACACAAGACGGAATGGGGTGAACTGGAAATAGAGTCAGTTATATAAGCTTGAGAGGTATTAGGTGTGGCTGGTTTCAGTTGAGCAAACGTCAAACCAATGCCGCTTGGCAATAGCTGTTTCCGTGTCTTTGATGAATGCGACGAGGCTAAGATGTAGCGAGGGTGGAATGGTGTTTCTTGTGGGGAATGTTTGGACGAGAACGTGTAAGACATTTGGTGTTGAGACAATTTCGTGTGAAATAAGATGAAGTAAACATCGATATATCGAGTTGAAGGGATTTCCCTTGCTGAATACTTAAAGGGACTCATTGCCGCTATCGATGGTGACAAAAGACATGGCTCTGCTTCGGCGATGTTCTGTCGAGGACAAGGCCGAGTCGGTGTTGTGAAAGGGAGGATATCGATAAAGACTCCCTCAAAGACCGGGGTTGGTGGAGAACAAGGCGAGACAAAGAGGGCGGACGCAGATAATGGATGCAGGTACAGAAATGCAGGGTTCAGACTACAGTATGCTTACCTTTTTGTGGTGGGTAGTGTCTGTAGATGGGGTTGACGTTGGATTTGATTCAGAACCAGTCTGGTGAGCGGTTGACAGCACTGCTGAAGTTGAGATTCCGTCTAGGAGTCTCGAAAAGAGTTTTGGTGTGGTTGAACAACGACTGAAGTTCAACAATTGAAGGAGTGACAGAAGGATGAACCGAAGGAAGGACGACTTGATCAACTTTGCTTTGCGATACCGAAAGGTGAGGTCAAGAAGATGAGGGAGGTCTTGGGACTATATCAACGGTTCAACCGGAGGCTTGGCTTTAAAGTTTTGGTTTTGAAGGAGTGGACTGCAATGTCGTAGACACGCAAACAAAGGAGTGGCAGGCCCTGCTATCGTTCGACGAAGACTCTTGGAGGGGGGTGAGGGAGAGGGAAGAAGAGTCGAGATGGCTTCGGAGCGGACGACGACGTTAAAAAGGAACTGCTCGGCGGGTCGCAGACGGACAGCCACTGTTAGCCCAGGGGCGATTGGCTAGATGGTGCGGTATTGATTGGATGCTTTGCAGGGGGTATCTGGGGATCTCGCGAGCCTGCAATCGAGTGTGAGCTGGGGCGTGGTGCAGGGGACGAGGCCGGGGGTGTCGTTCGAGAACGAACCTAACTTACTATCAGAGTAGAGAGCGGCAACAGCGAGAAGCTGTTAGTGCAAGACGAACGAATGAGTGTGAAATGCGAATAAAGTGAGCGTGAATAGTGGATAGTTGAAAAGAAAGAAAGCGGAGAATGAAGTTGATTTCGAGGGAAAGTGAAGGGAGGTCCCAAGAAGAGATGAGGCTGCCAATGTTTTGGCTACAATGCGGTGCGTTGCCAAGGGCCGTCGCAGTTGGCAAGCACTGACAGAGTGACTAGTTGGCACTGACAGTGACACCCGACTGCTGGCCTTCCTCCTGCCTGCGTCTCTTAGGTTGTTGTTGTTGTTGTCCCGGGCAGGGCAGCTGCTACAATGACCCCTGGAACGCGGGCTGGAATACGCTAGTGCCTCAAGCCAGTGGAGGGGTGCGTTAGGCTGGGCGCTAGAAATATGGCGGGAATGGATGCTGCAAGGCACCCAGGAACGAATCATGCATCAGCCCAGTGCCTTGAACTGGACGGGAGGCATTGATGAGCGTGGCTTTGACGTCTAGCGCTGTGATATTGAAGTCCAGCCCGAGTTGCATACATGTCCAATGGCATTGATTGACTGTCTATCATTCGAAGGGTTTGTAGAATCCTCGCTTTTGCAGCTATTGACTGAATAACTCGACGCTCACACTATTATTCACAGCGCAAAGCAATCGCCTCGAGGACGATATCTTCGGCGTACGGCAGACGCACGGGCCTCGAGCCACGATGATGAAACTCGTGGCTTACTCAATCCCCTTTTGCCTGTGTGCGCAGCATTGACGCCTCTGATGAAAGACTGGACGGTACCTGCATTTAGGTACTTCCAATACCTTACTGTGACACCGCGCATCAGTCCAACTGTCCAAGCCGACGACTGCCGCTGATCGACTATACCACAAACACCTACATCATAACTGCAACCCAGTGACTTGGTAGAAACATATCGGTTTCAATGCGACGATCACACATATCTACGTGGTATCTACGTACAAAGATTTGGCTTCTACAGGATAGCATTGCAGCATTGCATTGCAGCGCCAGCATTGACTGCATAGGCGGGCAGCTAATCAAATCAACACAGGATCCAGGATTGGGACCCTTGCTATGCTCAAACACAGTGGAAAAGAGTAATCAACTGGTTCAGATCATAACAGACCTGGCCCTGGCCCAAGGTAATTACCAGTCATCTCAGCTCTGGCAGTGTTTTCAGCTGTTGGGCGTTTGATGCTGGGTTTGACAGTGGTGAGGCAGGCTGTTGGTGTTGGTGTTGCTCATTGACGTAGCATCCATCCCCTCATCTCATATCCGGTTCTTTTCCTTTCGAGTGCCGGGCTATCCCATCCCCCGGTCTCATCATACCCTACCTAAACGAGACGATTGACTTTGCTCCTGTGTTAAAACCTTGTCGAGTTCAACAGCCCAGACTCGATTGAAGCTCGATTCTTTGCTCATCATTTCCTGTCGAAATGATCCCCACTCGTCCCCCACTGGTGATCATGCTGGAGTAGAAGGTTAGAGAATGCTTCGCAAAGCTTGGCCTGCTTGCGTGGACATGAAAGCCACCTCGGAAGCCAAAATCAAGTCTCAAGCCCCCCGGTTTTGGTCAATTTCAATTGTGAGCATTTTACCACATGCGTGTTGACCCGTAACTTTATGGGGATGTGTCTGGAGTCAATACACTTTGCACTTACACCGTAGATTTTGAGGGTCCATTGACTTCCGGATGCAGTGTCATACTAGAACCTGACGGGAAGTAATACTACCTAGATACCATCGATTGAGATCAAGATCGTGTTAACGGTGAGGGTATGTATTATGCCGGGTCGTACACCAACACTTACACATACGCACGCACGGGTTTGTATGTGATCAAACGACAATATGTCAGCATTAACAAATACGAAACGCATTCCTACCTGGCCTTAGCCTTCATCTCTCTTCGCATCCATCGCATTGATTCTGATTCTGTAAGAGGCAAGCTGAGCTGAGCAATTGGTTGATTGGAAGTACGTACCTCTCCACCCCTTTTTCACTGCCCCTTGCAGATGTCGATGTGGCGCGTGCTCTGACGATCCATCTCCGATGGACACGGCCAATCAACGTTGTGATTGTCGACCTCATCTCCATCAAACAAGCTATTCAAGGGTGGTGTAGCGGGTTGTTGTGGGGCTTCCCTGCAGCTGCATGTCCGAAAACCCGCTAATAAACCCGGCTCTCTTCTTCCCCATGCGCTTCTAGCATATCTGAAACTGAGCTAATTAGAGGTGACCTTTCTGCTCCGTTCTTCATCTCCCATCCAAGGCCTCACTTTTCCTTTCTGATATTACCAAATACTGAGAACATTTCATCGCTTGATGTTAAATTGGCAAATGCCAAGCCATCCTTGCAAGTCATTTGAAAAATCGAATATATGCTCGATTTCGCGGGCCGTCATTCTTCTGTAGCTTGGCTCGACCCAGCAGGGCCTGCTCCGTTCGTGGCCACGGACAGTTCGGCTCGTCGTTGGTTTCTCTGTATGTCACCCTGGACAGTTCCACAGTAGGAGAAGATTGGTGTGTCACAGAATGATTGCCTCTGATTCATAGTTCAGAGCTAGAGATACTCATTTGATGGCCTTGGGGAGCAAGAAACCTTCTGACATTTTAAAAAGGTGCCAAAAATAATTAGCCTAGAGACCTACCAAGTCTATCCTAAACTGGTCTAGATTTTTATATCGCTAAGGATATTGATTCTAAGTCTTCTTGCCTCCCATACAATGGACTTTAGGGTAGGTTGGGGTGACGATCGATATCCAGAACCGAACACTAGGACAACTCGAAGTTGGTAGCTACCTCCGGGCCATATCGTCGATGGCTTGCTTTCAAAACGTTGACACAATAAACTGATCGTCGTTGATCATCGGAGTCCGGCTTTGTTAACATACACATGATCCCTTGATCAGTCGTACTACTTTACTTCATGAATTATCAATCTACCTACCTCTTTCTACCTAAGTTGTACTTCTCACACCCCTCTCAGCACGTATATACTCCTCCCTTAGACACATTGAGCTCAGCCATCAACGCATTTGTCTTAAAACCATTGAGTCGATCACAGCGACTCAAGACCGACTTCCGAGCTTGGATGGCATGACACGCAATCCACAACTTCTCCATGTTCTAACAGGAAAGGGACCAGTGATTCCCATTGGAGAAAGCATCCGACACGGTGGCGCTCAACTTCATTCCTTCAGTGCACCTCGAACAACTTTATCCTCGCTTCTAAACCAAAACCATAATATTTAGTCCACTCGCGGCTCTGCTAAAGTTCGAGTACTCTGTATTACGTGGCCGATCTCCTAGAGCTGAGTCAATTAGGAAGTCCAGCCTTGTCACCGGCGGCACCGAATCGTCCATCGAGTTTCAAGCCTGTAGACGATGATGATCGGTGGTTCCGGGCCTAGGATCTGCAAGTAGAGGCCGAAGTTCTACGGTCTAACATCACTGAACTGAAGATATACGTAAGCATCGGTATAGATATCGGCAGCCTTCAAACTTTGATCCGAACAAGCAATTTAGCTGGAATTTTCAAGCCGCTTTGCTGATCGATCTTGGTCCACATGAAAGCACAGATCATTCTAGACTGACTTCTCGTTACATCCAGTACCCGATATCCTGGGTCTATCCCGGGATCTAGTCCTCAATTCTCCACATGTCTCCTTCATTCACTGTCACGCGTGATATCTTACCACTCCAGTCACCGCTTCACACAAAGGGACGAGATATCCCTTCTCGCAAGCAAGGCCCTTCCAATGTGTCCCCCTTTATCCTGCGTCTTGGGTCCAGACTTATACTCACTGTTTCATATATATTCAATGCCGCTGCTATTACCGGCGCTGTCATGGCGACCTGAGTGGCCTGCTGATCCTCCAACACAGTCAACGTGGTGGCATGGATTGAGACTTTACGTCTTGTTTATCTCATGGAGGCCACAGTGAGCACGCGCGCTCACTCTTGACGTTAAGTTCTTATTTAACTGATGTTTTCTATGATTGGTACAAGCTTCACAGAACTTCAATATGTCTTCATCCTTCTCCGAGTTGACACACCTACCCTACAGGAGACGGTCTGATTCATTCCAAATCACTGATACAATAATTACTTGCCCCAAACTAGTCTCCTTTGACTTGGGTTTTCGAGCAGGATGAAAAATAACATAGCCAGGCTCGTAAACTTAGGTGCACTAGATGATTCGGGCTCGTGAATTTTGTTTGTCGCTGCGAGTGACAAACTCTCAACAGCGTCGTCGATAGATCTCCACACTGATCGAGCTGTAATAAACCAAGGGTTCTTTGTGATACTTTGCCCATATTATCTGATCTCGCTGTCTTTCTCCCAGTTAGAAACTGGGACGGCGGAACAACACCAACCTTGGCATCATCACTTGAATCGTGATATTCGAGGTCAACTGTTCAAAGGACAGGTCGATCAAACCACCACACAAGTACACCACCAAACACAAAACCCCTAGGAATCGATGCCGCACAAAGAAAAGAAACCGTGATCCTCGGACACTGTGATACTACGTACGTCGCTTGAAGACAGGGCCGATCGATTCGGCGACATGCAACCACGACATGGTACAACCGTGCCCTGACTTCTCGAAGCAAACTCGTACAATCTCGTGAACCCCTCTAAAACGGCACCGAGAAAAAACCAAGACAAGATTCTCATAATTGTTTCTTTGTTGGCGGCCTTTATGAAGGCCAGAGGGGGTGTAGATGATGTCAGCCAACCAACAACGTGGCCCATTCTGAACATCAAACATGGGCGCTTGAAAGGCCCGTTTCTTGTTTCACGAAGCGCACAAGCGCCGAAAATCGAGAAACAAGACACCCAAAGTGTGATGATGCAAGGGTCAGCTCTGGCTCTAACTGTTATGCACTTGTGCCAAAGGTTCCTACTCTACAGAGGGAGTAGTAAGCTTACGTATGAAGCCCGTTTGAATAGACTTGAGTTTGGCCATATCAAGCTCAATTCACAGTATCAAGAGCCTAACTACTAATTTATGTGCCTCGCTTAATATACGAGCCTCTACTCAGCCAGAAAAGCAGGTTTCCGCCGTATGTCCCCTCACGGCGTGTATATGCCGGTTCCAGCTTAGGTTTCTGCCCATCACACCAAGCCAATCGTCCCCTCTGCTGATCGACTCTACTTGAAACGAAACGGCTCGTTGCATGACAACAGTTACGCTGCCTGAACGAGTCTAAATGAAGCCGAAACAAAAGCCCCGGCTAAAAGGCCAACAACACAGAAATGATCATGTGCATGGTCTGGGGCATATGTGAGGTTGTGCGACTCTGAGGACCAGTCACCGACAAGAAGGCCCTACTCTAGGGTTCAAAGTTGTAACCATCCTCATACATGCGGCTCAAGGAGCATGCTTGTTGCATATCAAATGCCTTTGGTCACTACGAGTCCGACCTCCGGCATCTCGCCAAAATCCGTGTTGGTCGCTCTAAAACGGCGTGGCGGTGACCTCGGCAGCTCCTTTAGATGTTGTCGGCCGGTCTCATGCATCGTGATCATATACCTCTGCCCATCAAATGTCGATCTCGTCATGTGGTCTTTACCAGATCACAAAAAAAGGACATACCGAATTGTGGCTCCACCGCTTAGCCGAACTGCAGTGTTGTTGGTGACTTCTCTCAAATGTCTTGGAGTGCCGTGCATCAGGCGTTCAAGGCTAGCTGCATGATGCTGCAGGTTCTGTTACGTTTGGGGACTGCAATGCTGTGACCAGTAACTTTGTTGATAAGCTTGATCTGCGTGAGGTTAGATGGTATGCTGAGAACCAGAGCTTTCATAGCGGGTTGAAAGCCGCCATAACAATATCATATGGTAGCAGCTATTGACATCGAGATACCGATTGATGTGTGAAATGTCACCGAAAGTCAATATATTGCTTGGCTTGGTGAATGGAGTGAATAAGACTGCATCGAACTTGATATGGGACCTGCAGCTTAGTAGTCAATGATATATAATACCGCATGTGAGCAAACGGATTTTGATTTGATAGCTGGTAGTTCTCTCTTTGATTCATCAACAAATATACATGACCGAACCTCGATCTTAATAGATTCCAGCGCTCTATTGTTGCGCATCCTCCTGCCCCGGAACGAAGGGCTTGCCGTCTCCAGGCCCGATGCGTACATCAGCGAAGATCTGCTTTGGTCGAAGGTGAACAGGGGTTGAGTTCGTTGGCTGATCGGGGATCTTCTTCTCGAGTTTCTATGTCTTGTATTAGAACCTTCATCTACAGTGATGGACCATGGCTGTCGTACCAGATTGTCGTAGACGCACTTGTTGAGCTTCCACTCAGCAGGACGGCACTGCCACAACTGGTGATTTCGGTCGTCGAGGCACTCCCAGTGCTTGCGGAACTCAGCCAGGCAGTGGGTGTTGATGTCCTTGATACTGTTGATCATGTCAGTGGCTGGCCCCAGCCTTGAAGCTAACTGCGCTTCAGGAAGACCACCAGACTATACGGTCTGCTGAACCTTAGATAACATACACGCTGGAGGCACATCGGGTAACTCGTCGGCCCTCCTTCAAGCACTCAAGCTCTCCTCGGCCAGGGTTCTCGTTCTTGCATTGCATATAATCGTCATTGTAGTCGCGGCATCGAGCACCGATGAAGAAGGAGGCCGAGAGGAGAGGGGCAGAACTGGCACCGACCTCCTTGACGGCGGGAATATCGGCGGGCAACGGAGTGGTGTCAATGAGCACCTGCTGGGAGAATCTGATGGATTGATTAGTTAACCAATTATCAGCTGTTATAGAACTCAATTGCATCCGCTGGGAGCTCCAGAGCATAGGCAAGAAAGTCAGCTGTCGAGTGAACATACTGGGGCCTTCGGGTAGACATGATGCCGGTATTCTGCGAAGCTCGTCGTCAAACGTTGCGGTGATTCAAGAATCCGGAAGTGGTTATGTGAGGTCGTTCGGCTAGGATTTGGTAGCGTAAGGTAGGAATTGGCTGACTGTGATTGGTGGTTCGGTGAAGCGAGGCTGGGCGCAAGGCTGCAACGGGGCCCAAGGTGAGCGTAGCTCTGTTTTCGCGTCGCTCAGCTCCAATAATTTTAAGCCGCCAAATAAACACAGCAAACAATCAAACAGTCGCATTTTCAGTCTTACAGCCCCCGATAAAACTTGACTACGACGACTATACAGTCGCACAACGGGAATTAATCTCATATTGAGCTACTAGCTACCTCTTTCGCCCGGGTTCCGTCTCGGCAAGGAATCTCATCAATCAAAGCCTAGCTTGCCGACTGACAGCTCCCGATTCTGACGTCGCAACACCATTACCAACCATGTCGCTCTTCGGACAGGCTAAGCCTTCGCTGTTTGGGCAGTCGCAGCCCGTTCAGACAACTGCGCCGACTCAGAGCACAGGATTCGGTCTAGGCCAGCCTCAACAACAGCAACAAGGCAACACACTCGGCGCATCGATCCAGCAACCACAGCCGCAACAGATGCCAGCTCTATCTCAATCGCAAGCTCAGCTTTCAAACTCGCTATGGCAGCCTGGAAAGGAAACACCGCGTATGTTGTCAAGAAAGAGCTGTTCTCCTACATCGCAAGACTGACCCCTGTATAGACCAGAAGCCGATTCTGGAGCAAATGAAGCTTGTTACCGAGAAATGGGACCCTGCGAACCCCAACTGCGTCTTCAAATACTATTTCTACAACAAGGTTGATGAGAGCCACGTTCCTTACTACAAGCCTCAACCTCACGAAGACCCTCGGGAATGGGAGGAAGCCCTGCAGAACAAGCCAGCCCCAGGGTTCATGCCCGTTCTTTGTTCCGGCTACGCTGGCGTTGCCGACCGCCTTAAAACGCAACAGCGCGCCGTTGCCGACTTCAACATTCGTCTCCACCAGATCAACGGCAGCCTGGATGCCATTCTTCAGCGCCACGAGCTCGAAACTGAGGTTCGCGCTGTCGCAGCCCGTCGACGACAGACAACAATTAGTGAAAGATGCCTAGCGCTTGCTGCACGGATACAAGTGCTCCGCAACCGTGGCTACGCACTGAGTGGTGATGAGGATGATCTGAGCAGCCGCCTGCAGACTCTGGAGCGAGAAGTTCAAGACCCTGCTGTTGGGGCAAGAGAGGAAGAACTATGGAGCCGACTTATTGTGTTGCGAGGCTATGCTGATCAGCTCAGCAAGGAGCTGGATAAGCCTACCGGTTCTGAGGGAGAGAGCATTGATCCAGAGCGAGAAGCTAAAGCAAAACGAGTAAGTGACGGATCGACCGCGATACAAACAAACCAGCTAACTCTTTTCTAGGTGCTTGAGGATTATGAGAAGCAGATCCAGCATATCAAGAAAGAGCTCGAGGCTCTATCGACAGATTATGCAGAGTGGGAGAAGACCAGGAACCCGCACTCAAAATAGATGGAACTTAATCAGGGCAGACGGTTTAGCGACAAAGGTGGTAAAGACGGAGCAACTGTCTTTTGTTAGGATGTATATTGGTGAAATAGAGTTGGAGTCAGGACTGGGTATTCATCCTAGGCGTCATAGGATACGAAACGTAACTCTTTGTAAAGTCTAAGAATAATATCGACACAGCAAGTGATACCTCTATTGGGTTTATGAACTGGGAACGGATATGGTGCATTTTGATCTCGTGAGGAATGTTGCTGCGCGGCTTTTACCACGTCTTGGGATATGTATTGTTACAGATTAATCATGACTTCCCGCCCGTCCCATCTAAACCGGTTCTATTGTACATGGCGCGGCGGAAGCACCATCGACCGCATTTCTGCAGGCTCATAACACTATCAAAGACGACACGGACAGATTCATAGTCGTAAACGGTGTTATTGGTATTTAGAAGATCTTGCCGACGAGGTCGATAGCGAAGGGAGCTAGGGAACATCGTTAGCACCACTCATGTCAAATCAAGAAAATTCATCAAACATACAGAGGTAGAGGAGGACAGCAGTGGTAATGGCACCTTGGACTGTAAAGGCAGCATCGGCCTCAAGAGCGCGGATCTCCTCCTGAGACTGCTGAGGGGGGGCGACTGCGATGGATCAGTTTTGATGTTCGACAATTCAATTGGGGTTCGACATACATCCTCCAAACATTTTGTATGTAATTTAAGCGAAGAAGAAGTGTTTGGTTGAAGGGCAACGCTCGTTGACAGCTAAATAGACTCGGGTATGATGCTATCTCGTTTCGCTGTCATGGGTCAAAGAATTTTGAACAAGCGCGGTTCAGATTCCAAAAAGCGCTGACCAATCAGACACAGCGATTGATGGATCCGAACTCGCAGCTCTTATCGATAAGCAGGCTATGTCATCACCACTGACTGATCACCTTCCCTCCCCAACGTATAATCCATCTAGACAATTATATGTTGACTTGGCTAAATAGTAGATATAACCATTCAAGACATCCATCTGCTGATCAATAAATTCATCGCATTTCATATTGTAATTCCGTTTACTATCAACGAATGCGCTCACTTATACACATGTGCAGCTACGCATCGGATTTCCTCTCTGGTCAACATGGGTATCATAATGAACCTGACCAGCCATATGCTGGGACTCAAAATTTCACAAAGTACAGGCCACCAAGCCGTAGCAACCAATATCCAGGGTATCATCCCTATTTCTATTCATTGTAATCATAAGATAGCAGAAACGACTTCCGAGTACGCTTTTCTCCTTCTATATACCATTTCCCAAAACCTTTGATTTTCCAAACACTATGCTTCAAAGACTAGAGCAACACCGTCGTCACCAGCGGTGACAATCCTCTCTCCTGTCTCGCCTTGAACAAAGCCCAAGACGCCGCCACCTTCTCCATCACCACGGTGGCCCTTCCATTCCTTTTGCAGACCAGCCTCAGCAGCTGTTGCGGGAGCGTTGGGGTTTGTGGCACCAGCACCTCGGAGGTCCCAGCGGCGTACGACACCGTCCATGCCGCAGCTGGTCAGTTGCCATGAGTTGGGGATGAACTCGAGCTTGACAATGGCATGTTCCTCATGGGCGCCAGAGATGTGCCGTCGGACGGCGAAGCGGCGGGTGGCATCGTAAACGACAATAGAGCCATCCACAGAGCCGGCTGCGAGAAGGGTGGAAGGAGGTGTGTTGGGCGTTGTGACGAGAGCAAGCGACTCGATACTCTCGGATTGGGTGTGTAGTGCGGCGAGAATTTGGCCGCCAGCGGTCGCCGTTGACTGACCAGTAGTCTTGCCTCCAGCTCGGGCACGAGCCTGGGGCTGAGGTCCGGAAGATGCAAGTCGTGGAAGAGAGACAATCTTGATGGCGCCAGTGGCACCACCGACAGCAACGAAGGCGCCCTTGGGGTCAATGGCAAGCGAGTAGAGACCACCCTCAACCTCGAAACGCTGATCCTCGGCAGTCAAAGCTACTGCAGTCATACCGTTGTCGCCAACGAGGTTCTTGGCAGTGGCCTCACCCCAAACGTCCCAGACGTACAAGCTTCCATCCTCGGAGATGGTAGCCAACAGAAGACCATCAGGCGTCCAAGCACCAGCGGTACAGGCACCAGTGTGGAGGAAGTAGGACTGAACGATCTGAAGAGGATTGGCTTTATCTGTAGGATCAACTGTGTAGACCCAAACCGAACCGTCGGAAGCGCCTAGAGCGATGGTGTTGGGGTTGGTGGAAGATGGGCATGGCGCAATCCAGTTGACCTCAGGCACCTCCTGTGCCTCACCAAGGAAGTCCATCTTGACTGAACCATCGTTCAAGATGGTTGCCTTCCAAGCGCGCAACCTTCCGTCAAGTCCACCACTGACCAGGGCCTCTCCTTGAGGCAGAGTCCATGCGAGTGTGTTAATCGAGTCTGTGTGGCCATCTAGGCTAAATAACGAGGGAAGCTGGGTGCTCTTCAGGGCGTCTGCGGCGGGGTCGCTCGAGAAACTAGCAGGAAGCGGAGGTCGCGATTGAGCAGAGGCTGTGTTGAAGACCCATCCTGCACCGGGAGCATCATCTTCCTGGCCAGCTGAACCGCCAACCGCGATGATGGAGGGGTACTTGGGGTGCTGGGCGATGGTGAAGAGAGAGTCTTTAGGTTCGTCGAAGTAACCGATGGAGTCGTTTTGGAGCAGAATCTCCTCATTGTCGGAGTCCATAGCCAGGTCCTCATCGTCGACAATCTCCTCGGCGGCATCCTCGGCGGCGAGCATATCCTCCTCGAGCTCTTCGTCGACAGGCTCTTTTTGATCGCGGGGGTTAGAAGACGACATGATGGCGGGGTAATTTTACGACGAGGGTACGACGAGTGATATTCGATGAGAGCGATAGAAAGTATAGAAAACAGGAATGAGTATTAATAAGAGAATCAGAAATATGCACTAGGTAACGCAGTTGATGGGCGCTCCCTTTCGTTTCCAGTTGTTACTTGCTTGATAAGCAGGCAAATGTTTTTTCAACTTTTTGGTGGTCGGCGAGACAAGGATTTTTTTTCCTGACTGCGGGGTGGTGGCGGTCATAGTAGTCCGCTTAGCTCCAGAACTTAATGGAATGGACCTTGAGGTATGAACTCGATGCGCTCTGATAAACGAATGAATATTAACAGCTATCTCATTAGGGTATTGCGACAGTTAAAAGAAGAATAATTGAGCCCCAGCTCAAGCGTATAAGTGTATTGAAAGTGCATGTTAGAATGAGGTTGAGGCCAAGAAATGCTCACTTACATCCTTCAATGATAAATCCTTTCAGCCGATCCCTCTTGATTGCAACAATTATAAATTTGTATGCTGTAGTTTATGGACAAGGTACAACGTTTGCATTCAGGTGCGAATGGACTTTTCCTTCATGATTTCATGATTGACAGTACATATTTGTAGTTCCTTTCATAAAAACTGCCAAACTGCTTGAGAAGGTCTCTATAATAGTGGCTTGATGGTGACATAATTAAGCACCCAACAATAAGCAGTATCCCGCGTACGCCAGCAACGCCTGAGTAGCAGCAGCTTTCAACCATCCAGAACTTCAACCCAGTTCTTTTCTGACTGCTTCCGCCTCCATCTATCCTTCGCGGCTTGGCGCATAGCCTTCTCCTCTTCTCCAACCTCATCGGCCTGTGTTGCCATCTCCCGAATTTGATGCTTGAGACCCAATGAAAGCATCTTATACCATCCGCTATGAATCTTGCAACGCTTGCGCTCACACATACCGCGAACTTCGTCGCCTTCTCCTAGAGGATCGCTCAGTTGAGACGCTTTGAAAATAGCCTCGCCTTCTGGTGACTTTGCAAACGCCTCAAAAGCGTCCCGGGCACTAATACTGTCGAGACGTTGATCGTATCCACAAATATCTTCCTTGAAGCGACCGGCAGTAATTGCAGCTTGCCGTCGTTCGTGTGCGAACTCCAAAAGGGTGAGCATTTTGTGGCAGAGAACTGTCTCCTCGGCCAAGTGGAAGCGTGCTGCGGCTGCATTTTCGAGATACTCTTTCTCCTCAGCAGAGAGGTGCATCTGATCGGGATTTTCTGTGATATTTGTTAGCCGAGTTGCGTGATAGATAGGAAACGACAGCGACATACCGTTCTCAGTTCCGTTTGTCCCATTTGACTCTGTGCCTGCAAATGGTGCCTTGACCAGCCTCCAAAGCCCTTCTTCGTCAGTTCCTGAAAGACCACCTTGAAGGAGCGCCATGAACTCCTCCTGGGTAAGCTGGTCGTTTACTCCTCCTTTCCCCTTTGCCTTGGGCAGCTTGGCTACCATGCGCTCCCACCATGTTTGTGCATGCTCGTTGGAACAGAACACGCTCTTCTCCTCCTGGGCTATTCGGGCCGCCTTTTTACATCCGCCTAAGGCGCATGTTTTCTTGTATAACGTTGTGAGGCTTTCGTTTGTGCAGAGTGGACAGATAAACTTTTCGATCAGATTCTCGCCAATCTCTTTGTTCATGTTGATACATTCTCCATGGAACCAATCCTCGCAATTTTCGCAGCATATCATCCACCGATGGTCGTCTGCTCCGCGGCATAGGCAATATGGTCCATGGTCGGACTCCTCGAGTTCGGATCCTGCCGATTCATGGGCATCTCCAGTGGAACCTGACCGCGCGGGTTTGGCTCTTTTCGCCGCCCTTGGGCCTCCCGTTTTCTTTGATCGCTTAGGCGTCTTCTTAACTGCCGAAGCGGTGCCTTTCTTCTTTGAAGCTGTGTGAGCGGCCATGTTGTAAGGTTCTGCAGATGTAGAAGGAGGATGTGAAGGTGAGTTGGAGGAGGCGGGGTGGGCATCTGACGGAGGCTGAGGGGTAGTCTCGGCAACCGTTTCGCTCTTTTTATCATTTTCAAAGGGCTCAGAGCGAGAGTCTTCGCTTTGTCCTATTGTTGGTATGGTTTGTTCCATTGTGGAGTGTTGACAGTGTTGGCAGGTATTGCCCCTTATATACAATTACTGTGGTCACTTGACACAATACGATTTATATAACAGACTGAGAAACAGGTAATGCAAGGGAAATATAAGCACCGCCAGTTTATTAAGCTAATCGAAAAAACAGAAATTGAAACTTCGGTGTAAGTGACAAGCTGTTGGGGATGGGAGAAGTGAGTGGTTGATAGGCTGAATGACTAAGGCGGAATCGATAAACCCGGTAAAAGCCCGGACCATGTATTTTTTGGAGCTTACCTAGGTTGTGACAATCGAAAGATGTAAGTTTACGTAGTAGATTCTTTAGCTTTTGCATGAGTTTATCGACTCTTGCCTAGAGTCAGTTCACCATGTCGAATTCGAGCACGACTTCAAGAGCACTGAGGGGTGTGTTCTCATCTCTCTCGACAAGACAATGCCAGCGATGTTTGTCCAGCAGCGCTCTCCAGCCCAAGCAGCTCCGACCAACCCTCACACGAGCGCCAATCCAGTCGAGACAGCCCATCACTCAGCGCCGAACGAAATACAAGACCATCGAGCAGGCCAAGAGCCGATATAGCAATGGGGTACGCATAGAAAAGTCCTGGGGAGAAATGCTATGGTGTCTGAAGAAACAATGAGCTGACAAATGCACAACAGCCCTTTTCTTGGAAGGCCGGAATTCTGTTCGTCGGTACCTGCGGCTTGCTAGTATGGTACTTTGAGTTTGAAAAGGCGCGCATGCAGCGTAAGAGAATAGCTGAGGCGGCCAAGGGCGTGGGCCGACCAAAAGTTGGAGGAACCTTTGAGTTGATCGATCAGGATGGAAAGCCATTCACTAGTGAGATGATGAAGGGCAAACACTCTTTGGTATGTCAAGGAAACGAGCTTCGCAGTTTCAAAACGAGGATGTTTCATGGCTAATTCTTACTAGGTATACTTCGGGTTCACTCGATGCCCTGATATCTGCCCCGAAGAACTCGACAAGATGGCTACCATGTTGGATATCGTCGAAGAAAAGGCCCCGGGTGCACTTCTTCCCATCTTCATCACCTGCGATCCCGCCCGTGACACCCCCAAGGCTCTCAAGGATTACCTGGGCGAGTTCCATGAGAAGTTCATCGGTTTGACCGGCACGTACGACCAAATCAAGGCGCTCTGCAAGAAATACCGCGTCTACTTCAGCACACCTCAGAACGTCAAGCCAGGACAGGACTATTTGGTGGACCACAGCATCTACTTTTACTTGATGGACCCGGATGGCGATTTCGTTGAGGCATTGGGCAGACAACACTCGCCGCAGCAGGCCGCAGCGCTTATCTTGGACCATATGAGGGACTGGGATAAGAAATAGAGCATTGACTTTTTGGCTCTACGTAAAAAGAACATCCATGGTTGGGTTGTAAGATGAGCAGATATTGCGGGTGATGTAAAAGTACTGTAACACCAGAATCATTATCTCATAGAAGGATACTGTGATATTAGGAACCACTCAATCAACTGTACATTTCCACGAACTGACATTAAAAAGGAAAAGCCCGTTTATTATCATTTTTGTGTCGTAGTCTACTGGTATTGATTTTACATATTGGTTACTGGGTTATGTTGATCCTCGGCTCGTATCAATTGTGGGTGGATATTACCGACAAGTCCTCTTATCAACCATGACTCTAACAAGTTGGCACTTAAAGCTTTACCACTAATAGTTAACTTTGAGCATTACACGTCGTCGCTGCACCTTTTATTATCCTGCCATCTCACTGAGATCTCTAATCTTGAAGCTCTGGTGTATATTTTCTCCTATACTTGATCCTTCGCGTTTCGGTAAGTATGCAACGCTTCGGTGTGGTCGGCCAATGCCGATTCGCCGCACGTCGATTGACGCAGCTATGGTCTGTCACACCGACGACGGCGGCTGTCTTGAGAGCTTCATCTATATCGCAAAGGCCATTCACTACCTCTAATGTTTATCTATCCAAGCCAAAGGGCTCACTAGGCGTCAACCCAAATCAACATGAGGAGCCCACCGACCTGGCACGAAAGCTGTTTTCCGAGTTTGCCTTTGCATTTGAGTAAGTCGGCTTCGCACAGTGTCTTGTGTACTTCCATTCAACTCGGGATATATGTTTCGCGAACACAAAATGCGTACCATAACTGACGAACGACAGTATTGACGGCGTCCTATATCAAGGCCGCAGCAGAGTGGATGGAGCCGAGAAGGTCATCAAGATGCTCAGAAGCAATGGCATCCGATATGTCTTTTTGACAAACGGCGGTTGCGTTCCTGAAGACAAAAAAGCAGAGACTCTTCAAGAAAGACTCCAGATCGCCAAGAACGACGATGTGGTAAAAGGCAGGATGATTCTGTCCCACACACCAATGAGTGGTTGGAGTGACGATGTCAAGAACAATGGCACTGTCTTAATTACAGGCTCTCATCCTGAAAAAGCTCGTCAAATTGCTCTTGAGTGCGTATTACATTCCTATGGGGAAATGTTATCTGGTAAGCTAATTGCTATAGGTACGGGTTCAAGCGTGTTGTCACCCCAGCGGATATCCTCGCTGAGTGCAAGGACGTGTTCCCCTTTGAGCATATTGAGGGCGAGATCAATGGCAAGCCGACGCCACTACCAGATGGCAAGCGAATTCCTTTGCTGAAGGACCCTTATACAACTAATGTCCCTGCGAATGCTCTCAAAATTGACCACATTTTCGTCTGGAACGATCCAAGAGACTGGTCAGTTGATATTCAGATCATCCACGACCTTTTAATATCTCATCAAGGCTACATCGGCACTGTTTCGAACCGAAATGGCAACGAGTCTCTGCCCAACAATGGCTGGCAGCAAGATGGTCAACCTGGACTATGGATCTCCAACCTTGATATGCTATGGAAAACAAACTATCCTGTGAACCGATTTGGCACGGGAGCATTCATGGAGGCACTCAAGGGAGTATGGTCAACGACGACCAACGGAACAGAACTGCAGTTCAGCGCACTCGGCAAGCCATCCAACCATACGTACAAATACGCTCATGATAGGCTGCTACGGTACTACCATGATATGGCTTGCAATCGCGGTCAAAGCCCTGGGCATGATACATCGAAATGCCACCCTCTTCGACGCGTTTACATGATTGGCGATAACCCAGAAAGTGACATCCGGGGTGCTAGCGAATTTGAAGCGGAGGATGGTACCGAGTGGGTGCCCATTCTTGTACGAACTGGCGTCTGGCGACAGACATCGACGGAGAAGGAGCCTCGATACAAACCAGCCGTCATCGTGGACGATGTTGTAGATGCTGTGGTTTGGGCGCTCAACAACGAAGGCATCAAGGCTACCAGGGAGTGGGTATTGTCTGCTCTATCGCACACGAAGGGTTACGTTAAGCTGCCGCCGCTGGAGATTGGAGATCAAGCTGGCAGCCTCAAAGATGGAGTTAAGTACCCGAGCGAGTTGGAGGCTGCTGGGGCAAGACTGTAGAAAGGGTGCAATTTTATAAGGATTCTCAACACTTGACATAGAACGCGAAGCGTTTTCATTAGAATTTAGGACAATAAATCTCCAAATACATCCGGTGGTTGCCTACTTCGAAATCTCAAGGCTGACTTTTCAGGGAAGGATATCTTTTTCCAGACCTTGTACTCCGTACCAAAGCCGAAAAGAGTTGATTGTACCTTGCTTGAAACAGGGGGGCATATGCAGGAGGAATCCTCCCAAAAGAAAGTCCGTTCCCGTTGCAGATACTGTTGGCGCCAACCAACTGAACCACAACCAACAACACCAACATGGTGTGAGACCACTCAACGAAGGAGGTCAATTGAGCTGCTCGAAGGCCAATTGGCCCAGGTAACAAGAGTTGTAAGTAATCGAGAAACAAAATTCTATTATTTTCGTATCCTCAAATCCTCCAGTTGTTGCTCATCTATCTACCACGAAGACTCGTCAATCTGGTGATAGTTCGTCTCTTTGATCTGGAGTTCTGGACCAGGGTTCACGCACATGGGGCGACACATCCTGGCTTCAGCTGCATGCGATGCAGTTCACTCGTGACCCCCCCTGACCAAGGATGGCCCAGCCTCCTCGAAGGACAAAAGCCATAAAGAGTATCAAGAAGTCTCGTCTAGGAGTGCCTCACCAATCGCTTTCCTCCTCTAACTTGTCCTTTACGCGCCCTCAACTCGACAGCTTTTATGTTTCAGTCTCCCGTGTATGACAAATCTCTGGCAATAGTTTCAAGTCTTTGAAATGAGTCGAGCTAACAGTCTTTCCGAGGCTTCCAGCAGCCTGTACAAGGCGTTAGAGATCCCACAGGGCGGGGAGATCGACTGCTTTGCTAGGGGGGATGCCCAGAGCCAAAACCTCCACAAGATTCCAAAAAAGCGAAGAAAAGATATTAATTACATTGTCCAAGCACTGGCTGTTCAAGAACCGAACGATGAAGACCAGAATGCCACAATTAAGGACTTGGCTGAGAAACTTGTCTGCTACGGACAAAAAAAGCGGCATACGGAAACACTCGTATTTGATGGAGACAGCTTTTCGAACCCTGTGGACTATGTCCATGCCTTATTGACTAGGAGGTTCTACAACTGGCTCAAGACGAAGAACAAAGAAAGGCTTTACACAGAACATCCAAGGCTGGTCCGGTATTCTCAGAAATCGTCGACTTCCCTTCGAGGACGTGGAGTAACGCCCACGAGCAAACGAACTTCGGATCAAAGTCAAAGTTTTCTCATTTACGACACAGACGACGGCGAGTACTCAGGTGACTATCTGAGCGATGATGTGATCGAATCAATTGAAGAAGACATCGATTTAAGTGATGAGGAATTCGGTTCAGAAGAAGACTCCGAAGATGAAGGGATAGGCGAATGTTCCCGTCAGACATCTACACAGCGGGAACTTCGACGCCCCAGACTTACTAGGGAGAGCCCCTTGAGTGATCGAGAGATCCCGAGGACGCCTTCAAGGAACCAAAGTTCGAGGTATCGCAACATTTATTCCAGATCACCAGGCTCGCTATCATACCCAACACCCACGGACGATGCATTCCTTACTTCACCAGGGTCTGTCACCTCGCCAGATCCCAGTGAGATCTTCACACCATATTCGACAGCCTCGACACCATATTCTATCTTTAGCACTGAGGGCTGCGAAACCCCAAGATCTTCTCGCACAAGCTTCTACAAGGAGGCGTACGCGGAGAGTCCAACGCGCAGAAAGACGCAGAGAGTTGATGATGGCTCTTCAGGTGACCCGAAGAGGGAAATGAAGCCCAATGCGGATGACTTGGTTAACAAGAGTGAGGAAGCTGAATCAGATGTGGAGTCATCACGCTCTCGTCGTTCCATGACCTTCGATGACACGGGAAAATCGCCAGTTCATAATATTATGAGTCGACTGGTAAAGCCAGTTGGGGCAAAAAACTTGTCTGGGTATATATATTGCTTCGCTGAAAGGTCAAAGCCTGGATTCCTCAAAATTGGGCACGTAGTATGTCCCGAGTCCAGCAAGTCTGATCAAAAGTCTGATCAAGTTGAAAAGAGGATGAAGGAATGGAGGCATGCCTGCAAACATGACTTGGACTTCAGATTCGAGGTCTTCATGCCCTGTTCTGTTCCGAGGATGGAGAGTTTGATTCATCAAACTTTACACAGAGAGAAACAGTATGCCTCTTGTCCGAACACAGCCTGCCTAAAGACGCACCAGGAATGGTTCAAGATAGAGGAAAATCAAGCACGCCAAGTTATCAAGGTCTGGGAACAGTTCAGCAAATTGAAACCATACGACAAAGAGGGCCGTTTGACGGATAACTGGGCGCGATACGAACTGACACAGCTGGCACAGCTGGATAACGAGTGTCTCTGGAATACCAAAAAGTGGTTAGCCACAGAGTGGTTTCGGTTGATCACCGAGGCTGTCGAGAAGGATTTGGCCCCGAAGCTAGAGAAAAGAAGAGCCGTGGAGAAACAGCTTGCGCAGATGAAGATGGATGAGAAACCTCTTCAGCAAATGCTGGTTGTGTTAAGGAAGGCTCAACAACAAATTTTGGTGTAGAAGCACAATGTGGGCATATTCGAGTTGTGAGTTTACCGGATTGGACGCTTGTTGACGGAAATGTTTAAGGTCTGACCATAGTTATCGCGCTTTGTACCAGTAAGTATTGTTTCATTAGTTAAAGAATTGGATAGTCAAGATGTGAAAGATCAAGTATTGTGATACTTATGAGTCGTCCTGTCCTACACGGGTATACCGGAGGCTATGTGAGTAAGTACTACACCCACGTACAGAGCACGAACGTGTAAATTGTCAGAATGAGGCTGTCTCGTCTCACCCTGTTGAAGATAGAACGTTGAATCTGGAGCGTGGGGGGGACACTTGAATGGATGAGATGTGTTACCTGAACTCAGGGAGCAAGGAAACTTCTGATGTTAAATCAGGGTGTCAAAGTAAACCAGTCTAAAGGCTTGCTGAGATATACTACACTTACCTAAGTCTTTTTATTACTTACCTAGAAAAGAGGTCCTAAGTTTTCTTGCCTCCCCTTGATAACAGTACCACAACCACACGAGACCTTCACTAGAGAGAAGGGAGAGGTAGGACGACGTTATGCCGAGGGTAGCCCCCCCACGGCTTCGGTGCCCGAGAGCGGGTCAATAGTGTCCGGGGCCGGCAAGATAAGTTCCGGAGAATACGAACAGACCAGCAACCGGCACGGAAGGAAGAAAAGAATTCACATCAACATCGTCAGAGGGACCCTGAAGGTCTTGGCGGTGAAGCGGGAGCATGTGAGACACTTCCCAAAACTGCCACCGAGGTCACCCTAGGGCCTAGTGCCACACTACGTCACCCTTGTAGGACCGGGTCTGGAACCACTAACGCCTCCCGACAGCCTCTGTTGATTTTACTGTACGCATCCATTGGATGTTTCCTGTTTTTCTTCGGTGACGCTTTTTGGAGTAAACTCCAGTTAAACAGCATTTGGTTGTTAAGAATTCGCCTCTTCTGGTGACGTGTAAGGATTGTTCCTGGTTCGTGAATCCTTCATTCTTCCTTGAACGTTAATGTTGCGACGTTTGGGTTATGTAAGGAAAAGAGAGCCAGTCTAATTTTACGGTCCAGATCATGTGGACTCTTTTTCTTGGTGAACCTTCCCTTTTATATAATTGGTATCGCTCTCTTATCTCGTGCTTCTATCAAATTCTATCTTGTTAACTCACCACTTATCTTCATGGTTTGTTCTCCAGACCCTTTATCTTTTTGTTTGATGATAACCATGTCATTTTAAACTTCAATCAAACGCCTCAGCTCACAAACCAGCCAATACGAATAAGTCGTTTCAATACCCCGAGTCCCTGGCTCTGCTAAGCGCACCCCCCTCTGCGTCTACCCCAGCCGCAAGCGAGAGCCCAGAGCCAGTGACCCTTGGGCCGCTTTTCTACTTTTGGGAGAGAGGGGGATCTTGCATCTGTATCCGTACCCGTACCTACGCCTCAAATCTCTACCAACTCTCCTCTCCTTGGTCCTCTCTCTTTTCTCACACCGCGACTCACCCTCACTTCCCTACTGCACTTCTTACTACGCAAACTATTCATATCATTTGTGACTCTCTTGGACAGCTCAGAATCCTACTTCAGGAAGCAGAACCTCGTCCCCCGCCATGTCTGCGGTGCCGAGCCCCACGATCCACGGCTCGTCTGCCCAGCAGCAGCCATTGCGCTCTGCCCTCAAAAATGAAGATGACGTTGATCGCCCGTGTCCCTCAAGCGGCTCTCTCAAAGGTACGTCGTAACTAGGTCCTGCTTTGCTTTGAATGGCGTTCATATTTCGCAACTCGTTTTCCTCAAAAATATATCGGATGAGGGAGAGATCACTGGTGCATCCATCATGAGCTATGACGTGGGTTCAAATGCAAGAATGCTATACCTGAACACACACAATTCGTAGCTTAGCTCCCACGATTATGTCTGCCCATACCCCAATATCTCTTCTGCTGTCCATCATAGTCTGCATGCGACCCTTGCGTTTTGTTACCAGAAGTTCCAACCAAAATGATCCAATGCTTATATACCCCAGCTGTCCAGATCGCCGAACCCGAATCCGAAATTCAAACTCTCGAGGATGACTCCCAGCCTACCAAGCAATTCCCTACCAACCTCAGGCGACGCCTGAGTGGTAAACCTCTGCCCTCTCCTCTTCCCAACAACTCCTCTAGGTCTTCCTTCAGCGACAGTCCTTCTGGCAGCCGGCCTGAAGAGACACCTCCTACTTCGAACCCTTCTTCTCACCACCACCACGGTCATGGTCATGGCCATGGCCACCGTGGTCAGTATTATAGTGAGAAACTACTCGCCCAGGTAGGAGATTGGTTAGAACATGAACGGGCCAAGGCACACGCGAGGAAGTCCAAGAAAACGCACCGCAGGCGCAAGTCCAAATCGCCAACTAAGGATACCAAGGGAGAAAGCATTGCGGAGGCCGAGCCAGAACCTCAACCCGCTCAAGCACCCGCACAAGGCAGTAATGGACGACCTCGCTCCGATTCTCTCGACTCTGACTCAAGCGATATTTCTTTTGACCGACTTCAGCGTATCCTGGAGGAATCCTTATCTCACATGGGTCTCAACTCTGTGCCTCATCTGACTCCCAGGGTATCCCGCCCTAAGCATCGAAAAGTCCCATCTCGATCTTCTCTTCGTGGCCTTTCTTCCGACACTGAATATGCCGATGGGGACGCCATTGTACCCAGCTGCGATGTCTGGCTTGACAACTCCAAGACGATGAGCTACGGAGGTGGTGCTGCGGATGATGAAGATCAGGAACCAACCGATGCCGATACCAGGGCTGACAAGGAGAAGGAGTGCTGGCTTAGCTTCAAGAACGAAATTATCCGCATCGCCCATACGTTGCGACTCAAGGGATGGAGGCGTATTCCCCTCGGTGGTGGCGACAAGATCTCCGTTGAGAGGCTTAGTGGTGCCTTGACCAACGCTGTCTACGTCGTCACGCCACCGAAGGAAATCGATGAGGCAGAGGGTAAGAGAAAGCCCAAAAAGGTCCTTCTACGCATTTATGGCCCCCAAGTCGAGCATCTCATTGATCGAGACAACGAACTATCAGTCTTGCAGAGACTGGCACGCAAGAAAATTGGACCTCGCCTGCTGGGAACTTTCAAGAATGGCCGTTTCGAGCAGTACTTTGACTCTATCACGCTTACACCGGCGGATCTTCGAGATGCCGACATGTCTCGTCAGATTGCTAAGCGAATGAGAGAGCTTCACGATGGTATTGATTTGCTCCCGCATGAGAGGGAGGGCGGACCAGCAACATGGAAGAGTTGGGATCAATGGCTCGATAATGTCGAGCGAATCGCAACTTACCTTGATAATGAGTACGAGAAAGAAGCTCAAGCTCAAAACGGTCGACGCGACTCCGTTGTGCATGCCTGGAAATCGAGAGGCTATGTATGCGGCACTCCCTGGCCTCAGTTCAGGGACATGATGACCAAGTACAGAGTCCATCTCAACAGTTTCTACAAGGGGGGCCAACGAGAGATCAAGGACAGTCTTGTCTTTGCCCATAGCGATGTAAGTTCATGACAACGCCTTAAAAGTTCTTCATTAACAAGTTTCCAGACGCAATATGGAAATATCCTCCGCATTCGCCCGGATGACGAAAAGTCACCCCTGCTTCAGGCTGCTAACAAACACAAGCAACTCATCGTCATTGACTTTGAATATGCGGGCCCTAATACCCGTGGTCTCGAGTTTGCCAATCACTTCAACGAATGGACATACAACTACCATGATGCTGCGGTGCCCTGGGCGTGCGATGTGCGACGATATCCCACCCCGGATGAGCAACGCCGTTTCATCAAGGCTTATGTCGATCACCGTCCCCGGTTCCAAGGCAGCAACTCCACCCCTCGACTGGCGCCCGCTGATAGCAACGTGTCGAGCGGCATGTCTACGCCACTTGCGACACCAACCAACCCTCCTGCGAGCAGCTCAAGCTCCATCGTCGAGTTCATGCTTGATGCGCGAGTACCACCAGGAGGATGGAGCGCCGCGGAACGGGCCAACGATGAACGAAGCGACCAGCGCGTGCGAGAGTTGTTGGAGGAGACTCGACAGTGGCGCCCGGCCAATCATGCTCACTGGATCGCGTGGGGCATCGTGCAGGCCAAGATCCCAGGTCTCGACGAAACCATCAAGGAAGAAGACCTTCTGAACCCCGATGAGTTCGATTACTTGAGCTACGCCCAGGATCGTGTCATGTTCTTCTGGGGTGACTGCGTGCGCATGGGGCTTGTCAAGCGGGAGGAGCTCCCTCCCCTGCTGCAGCAGTCTATCAAGACTGTTGAGTACTAAAGAGCGGCTATCAAGCTCTGCAATTAGAAAACATTTTGGCGGACACGGCAGACACACTAGGTGAGTGCGTTCCGACTCAAGACTGGCATAACCAGATGTCTCCTTTGACTACATCGTTCTGGAAAGCTAGAGCACGTTTTAAGACTTTCAGTGTTGGCAAGCTCGGCATGCTAGAATCTTCTTGCAATGATCTGGATTAAAGATTCCCGGCTCCTAAATTCCCACGGGTAATTTTTGAAGCTTGCGCGTTTAGCAGTTCAATCGATACCATTTTAATAAAATGCAGTTTTAGCAATGCATTCCGTCTCTTCTCGTGAATCTAATGCTTATTTTTTATGTTGTTGTATGTGAACGACAGGCCGTAACTCTTGTAAACGTGATATCTATGATCCAATCCTCTATGCATCAAGCTTGAGTCGGTCAAGCATGGCATCGATCTTGCGCTGCAGGATCTGGTAGTTGATGGCGTCTGAAACAAACTCATCCTCTGCTTCCGCTCCATCTAACGTCCTCACGGCACCTCCGCCATTGGCTTGTCCATTGCTATCCTTCTTAGTTGTGTGCTTAGTATCAGCAGAAACGCCGTCTACGGCATCTGTCGAGATCTCAGCTTGTTGTGCCATCGCAGCAGCTAATTCTGCACTGATCTCTCCCTCCTCATCCATCATGTCTTCCAGGCCTGCATCCTCAAAGCGGTATCTAAATCGGTCATCCAGGTAATACCGAATATCGTCCAGCAATTCGATAGTGTCCGTCTCTTCTCGAACAGTGATCCGTTGGGCAGACTCTGCAATGAGAGCCTGGAAGTCTTCCTCATCTATGTAGTCCTCTAGGCGATATGCAAGATAACGCGCAGCGAACTCTTCTAATCGCTGGACACGAAGATCCCACGCTGCGTGTATAACATCATATATGTTGACGGGCTCCATCTCTATCTGTTCGTCCTCTTCACCTGTCTCGCCATTTCTTTGCGCCTCACCATGAGTGCGATCTACCAACACATTGGAGGTGCCGCTACCGAGCGTGCTGATGGTCAGAGCAGCTTTGCTCTTAAGGTTATCGAGGAACAGCATGTCTGCAGCGTATAATAGATCCAAAGCGTGCTCGAGGGGGCAGCTAACAGTCTCGGTGTAGAGGTAAGTAAGGATGATTTCAAGAACGGCGGGCGTACAGTCGACGGTAATGATTCGGAGATGTTCATCCCGTTTGGACTCGACGAAATCGCCCGAAAACATCTTCTCAAAGTACTCGCTGCGAATGAGCATTGCCTTATGAGCGGGATAAAGGACTGATTTGCGTTTGATGACTGATTCTTGATCTCCGGCTGGGCCAATCGGTATAGTAGGGGCGTCTCTTGCTGGCGTTGTCTGACCAGACTTTTCATCCTCGATATCGATCGGCTCGTCGGCGCGAAGGATGACATCTGCAAACATTGAGTTGTCATATTTCCACTTGATATCTTTCACCTGGTCCGTATTAACAATCATCTTGAGTCCGAGGACATTTAATTTGAAGAAACTTTCGAACTGTCCTCGAGCTCGGTCAACTTCAGATTGATACCGTTGGCGAGCAAGTCTCCTGTCTCCGCCTGCGAGAATAGTCTCCCATAGAGATTCAACCTCGAGCTGCTTGCTGACCTTGTCTAGGCCCTTGAATACTTCTTCTTCAGAGTCAGCACCACCCACAGGTGCGATATCACGAGGAACCTCGCCCAAGTAGAGATATCTCAAGACAATGATGAAAGACTGCACAGGTACAGCGTTGGCAAGTTTCCAAGTGGTGGTATCTGGGACAGCAGCAAGCTTAGCACGGAAATAAGGTGACCGTGCTATGAGGATGAATTTGTGAAGATCAAAAGAACGGGAGCCTGAGACTAGGGTGATATCAGTTGTCTTGGGGCTTGTACGGCCAAGAAGAGTTGAGATGTGAGTTGACCAGTAGACATAAGGATCTGAGGACTTGGAGAAGTCATATTGAAGGAGAAGGTTGCGGATGCGATCATTGAGGGCGTTGTAGATGCATCGTTCCCCTTGGAAAGTATTTCGTTCCGCTAGGGCGCCTGGGGAGTGTTAGTGGATGACTGGACCCCATGACTTGTAAGTGCCAGGTTGGCAAGACATTCGTTTATGATGAAACTACAATAGTGACCAGTTGTATAAGTGTAAACTTACCAGATTCTAATAATAGCCGGACAAGCTCATAGTGTCCGCATAAACTTGCCTGCTTGTGTCAGTTCTAAGCTCTGATGACTTACATCTACCCCAACACTTACAATGATGAGAGGCGTGTAATCGAAACGATCCTTGCCATTGATGTTTACACCCTGGCTGATGAGCTCTTGACATCTCTTCAGATCGCCATGCCGACACGCCATGAGGAACTCATTGAACTCGGTGCTCTCGTCAAGAGGATTCTCCTCAAGGAGAACGCCACTCTCGATGAGCCGAGCTTCTTCGCCGAGCTTTCCCTCGAGTTCGAATTTGCGGAGAACCATTGTTGAGTAAGAATATCAGAGTAAAGCTAGAGAAAGGATAGTCTTCTTAGGTGGTCTATATGTATGAAAAGAGGTTTATTTTTGTTACTGCTTTATCTCCGAAACCCGCCCGCTCGTTTCTAGTTCATGATTATCAAAGCATGGGGATCCCCCTCCAAGGAAAAAGTCGCCATCATCACTGCGGGCTGGCATCAGCCAATGACGGGCTATATCTCTTTCGCATCGAGGTTATCACGGGATCACGTGCCCGATCCCGTTATCTTTCTATCGAGATATCGAACATGGCTTACATGCATAGCATCTAAGCCCGCTTCCTCCGAGCATTGTCATGTTGTTGACAATCATTCCTTGAGGTTGGAATTCGACGTATTTACTTGTTCGTTTTCATGTTCTTTTAATTTTCTGTTTCTTGGTCTTGCTTGATGATCTTTTTCCTGTTAACCTAGCAAAATGAGGCCTTGATTCAGTACCACCACCCACAGTCTCCTCCTGCCAAGCTTCTCACTTAGCTGGCAAATTTGGTTCTTACATTCTTCAAACTTCACTCTTTGTACAAATCGAAAACATGAGTCCCCTGAAGAAACTCATTCTTCTGATCCTGTTTATCTCTTTTATGGTGTTTGTAGCCTTTTTTGGCCGAATACCTGCTCTGAGGTTCGTCTTGCAATTGTCTCCTGTTTACCCAACTTAAGATATTGACTCGGGATAGACGGACGCCTATAGCTGCACTGCACAGGTTAATATGGATTCATATACCCAATCTGATCGCAAGAGTAGATCAGGTGCTCACTGGAGGGAGAGTATCGAGCTATCTGTCCCGGTTCAGTAACCTGATGCTACATGAGCGACACTGGACTGTTGTGGTGAGTTGTCTTGCTATCCCTTTCGAGATGGCGGCAAAATAACATGTCAGATTTTCTTCATGCTCATTATGGTTGTGGGCGAGTATATGTTTATTCCTCAAGCGTGGCCAAAGATTGGATCTTTCACGAAACTCATTGTGGTGGTTACCGTGTTTCTGCCCTACCTATTTCTCTACCTGGCATGCTCTGCTGATCCAGGCTACATTACGCCTGAAAATCACGCCTATTACATGTCGCTCTATCCTTACGACCACACACTTTTCCATCCGGGGCACATGTGTCGTACGTGCAAGCTCCTTAAGCCCGCTCGTTCCAAGCACTGCAGTCTATGCAAACGTTGTGTTGCCAAGGCTGATCATCATTGCGTCTTTATAAATTCATGTGTAGGTTACGGAAACCAGCACTGGTTCATACTGCTACTAATCTCTACTGCATTTCTGTGCACATATGGTGGCTTTCTTGGATTGTCCATTATTACGGTACGAGTTCAGAGATACACTCCTGGCTGGTCTGTATGGAAACCCCGAGGTATGACAGTCAATCAGTATTTGGCTGGTTGGGGTTGGGGCATTCAAGACAACGTCAACATGGGGGCCTCATCACTTCTTGCAGCCCTGACGTCTCCATTGGTTTGGGGGCTGCTGCTGTACACACTCTATCTCGTTTATTGTGGCACTACGACAAATGAGACCCTCAAATGGTCGGATTGGAAAGAAGATATGCGTGATGGATTTGCATTTCGCCGCTCTATGCCAGCAAATCGCCAGAAGAACGAACGGGTTGAGCCTCGCTTCACGCGCTGGCCAGTCGAGGTTCAGCAGGTCATTGTCACTACTCAGGATGGACAGTCCCCAAAGGATGAAGTTCGATATCCTGGAGAAGGCGAGTGGGAGAGGGTTTGGAACTTGAGCGATGTCGAGAACTTATACGATATGGGATTGTGGGATAATCTGGTCGATATATTTGTCCGTGACTATGGATTTGGGAACAAAAATGACGAACCCAATGCCGAGAGACGGCGCAGGCGGTGATAACCTGTATATAGAGTGAGTTGGTGCTAGTCAGCGAGCCGTACGCAGAAGGTGATCTGCAGGCTGACTGCAGGAGTGCAACCCCTGTCCATGGATATCCAGGGCTGAGCACATGGATGTCCGCCTCAATGATGTCAGTCTTCAAGAGATGCCATGATGTTTGTTTCTTTCCTGGATCACCTGCGCTTCAAGCAATTGTACAATATCCTGTCTTCGTTCATGACTGTTTTCGAGTCTCAGGCAATGACGATTATACCGTGATGGCTTTGATTCAGCCTCCTCAGGTTCGACGCCTGCAGATGCTTGGCACTCTTTCTCTGCTCGCGATTGTTATCGGCGGCTCAGTCCTTATTTTTGTTGGAACAAATGCGCTCTCCGGTCGCAAAGAAAAAGATGAACTCGGTAGGGCAAGGCCACCAGGTCAGGCACGTTTCAGTGTCGGCCATGAATGGAGCATCCAGACCTGGATAGCTATTGTTGGTGTTGCATTTGCTCTGTTATCTTATGGCTTTACAGAAGCATATGTTCATCTATTCGATACCTGGGCTAGTCGACAAGCTCAACACAGCAATGGCCTCGACTATGCTCGGTATCTCAACTCTCAACCGCGAGCACCAGTCGCCTATGGCTTCAGAGGATTTCCCTCGTTTATCACTTTGCGCTACTTTCTCCTGATTATGAGCATCATTGCGTCTGTGGGCTACAAGTTCGCTATTGTGAGCCCGGACGCCTGGATCAAGGAGAACTTTCACCCAAGATTAATCGAGTTCATCAAGAGTGAGCTTTCGGCAGTGAAGAACGGCTCTATTGTCTCGGAACCTGAGCCATGGATCAATGACTTCCCGCTTTACGATATCAACCGGGCGTTTATCCACTTCAATCAGGTCGCTCAAGAGCCTCCTTATGCTGCGAATATGTCCCTGCCACCGAATGGCTTAGCTATGGTTGGCCATGCTAATTGCTTTTCAACCAGCAGAGCTGATCAATTCTACCCTGGTGACGTTGGAACGCTTCATACTCGAGAAGTAGTTTTAGTGGCCAATGGCTCAGTGGGCAAAGGTGACTTTTATATGACCGAAGACCCAGGCGACTGGCATCGAATGGAGACAACCAGCACCAACTGGTTTGATCCGCCTCGAAGAGCCCTGGTTGAGTATCGACTCACTGAGTTTGGGAGTCTTCAAATCCAATGGGCGAAGAAACCAAACAAATCTTCAGAATCGTGGAGGATACCAGTAGAGCATCGATCCTTATACAAGATGGAGCTCGCAACCGCCGAAGTCAGGAGATACGTCAGAGACCAGAACTGCAGATTTCTGCCACAGGCGGCTCTTTCGTTCCTTTCTTTCAGCAATGACACTTTCGAAAAATCCATCGCTGCTGTGATGCCATCCTGGGGCAACATAACAGCCACAGAGCGCTTCAACATCTCGGACCTGATGCCACAATACGGCGTCTGGCTGGATGCTTTGGTAAAGAGCCCAGATACCACGCTTCTCAGCGGTGTCAGTGCAATTATCAGAGCAGTCATGGTATCTATCAAGACAACAAAGCTGCTGGACTCGGAGAACCTGAAGGCGGATTTCTTGCCTTTTGGCGAAGAAAGAGTTGGGGCTCCTGCAGAATCATTTCGTGATGCTAAGTATCCTTTCTACGTTGGATGGAGAGAAAACAAGAACACTGGGTGTCATATCAGTGCTGCCATCGTGTTTATTTTCCTCGGTTGCTTTTCCATTATGGTTGGAATATACCGTATATGGCTTGGTCCGCCAGCATTGACTTCCTGGATGGGGCAGCATGTCTTTCTGGCTGGGACCGAGAAAATGGCTCTGTCTAATAAAGTGACTGGCTTGGCGTCTGGATATACAGTGGCGGAGTCTGATCTGGGCAAACTGCGGCTTTCAACGCGAAAGGGAGGGGAAGAAGATGCCATGTTGAAACCCGGTGTATCATCTGATGGACAGCAGAGTGACTCGGAGGAAACAAAGAATAAAGGACGAACGGGACAATGAGTTTGATGTGCGAGATACTATGCCAACACGTGGCGAATTAGACATACTTCGGATGACTTATGACACGATATGGCTCTTCAGCATTGATGCATTATTTCATTTTACTTTACGTCTCTCATGATATCGTAACCACACGCTTCTAGGTCTTGTGTAGATCACCCAAGACGACCCTCGCCCTCCTCCGCCACAGCAGCGACTATGCAACCCCCCGTCACTACCCTCATCTAGAGAGCGTATTAACCTTGTATTTATCCCAACTCCACGACTCCTTAGTCTTGTAGCTTGCTTACAAAATGGTGCCGAAGCTATGCCCTCATAGTCAGTATAAGCAACCCAAGAAAAGCATCAATGGAACTTACCCGAAAGTTTGCTTGATGCTCTTGACGTAGTACTCGAGCCAGTTACGCTTGGTAACATCCTCCTGGCCGATAGGAACACCCTCCCACTTGACTCGCATAACGGTAACGTGGTCGACGTCGTTCTGGTCAAACTCGATGTGCAGCTTGGAGAAGTGACCGGCAGGCCACTGGTTCAGTCGCCAGCTCTGGGTGATCTTCTTAGGCTCTTCAAGCTCGAGATACTCGCCAGACACATTGCCACCGAACAGCTCAAACTTTCCGCCAACCTTGGCGCCATCGAAGACCTTGGGGGGAGACCGTGTGAAAGCAGCGATTCGTTGGGGGTCGACAAAGGTTTGGTACAGCTCTTCAGCAGTAGTTCGGAACTCTTCGTTGTCGGTCACGGTAGTGGTGTTTACGACACCGCCGGTCTTACTTTGAGTGCTGGAAGTGGCAGCAGGCTTAGGAGTGGAGCTCTGAGGGTGAATCTTGGGAGTCGAGAAGCCGCTCGAGGGGTTGGAGCCGGGGGCATGCTGAATATCCTTGCCATGCTCGGCGATGAGGGCGCCGGCAAGCTTCTGGAATTCCTGGCGCAGCTGAGGCACGATCTTTGATCGGACGAGATCCTTCACGGGTTGCTTCTCCTTGGACTCGGCAAAGATGTCTACGTCGAACTACGAGGGTTCTTAGCGAGGTTTATTCTACGGCAACACGGAAGGCGAAAGAGCAGGGGAGGTTTTACGTACCACGTACTCGTCTTCTTCCGTGTCGTGGGCGATCTCAGGCACAGTAATGGTACCAGAAACATCATCCTCACCGGGAGCAGATCCTGAATGGTTAGTTGTCATGTCTGCAGTCAAAGTCAAAGTCACCGCAATCCCTTACCAGAATATTGAAGCACCAGCTTGACGTCAAAGATGGTAATCACCTTGCCCTTGCGTTGGCTGACATCGACATCACCATCCATGCTCTGGATCTTATCAATCTTGGCCTTGACCTCACCCTCCTCGGCCTGAACCTTTGTGAGGCTCTCGTCAAAGTAGGACCTGGCCCATGCTGAGACGTCCTTGTTGACCCAGTGCCAGTTGTTGGGGTTGTGTAGAACCATTGTGAAGTCGGTCGAAGGGGTATACTAAATGTCTTTGAATCTGTTAGCTTCAACTCCAAACAGAAATTGAACGAGGTGAAGATGAAAGAGTAGAGTCGCAATTGGAATCAGATATGGTCTTAGACCACAGCATGTTGGTCATCAATGAAGGGAGTACAAGTCACTCTATGACTGGTGCCAGCTGGATATCTCATCATGAAAGATGCGACAATTGGTGCAAAAAAGTGTCGTATGTACTTACAGTTTAGTGAAGGAGGTATAGAGAAGATGTTGAAAGGAAAGAGAGTGAGCAGTGGTCAAAATGTCAATAAATAGCAAAGGGAAGGCAGAGAGAGAAGAGCAGAATATGAAGAGTTGAAAAGAGAGGAGAGTTTGTTGGAGAAGAATCCTCTAGAATTTTACTCGAGCCTTGTGCCCCCACCTTTTTCCAGTGTCCTAGAGCTAGCTTCAAGTGGGGCTCATTTCAGAGCAAGACCCAGCCTCGTCATTTTTATCGATAACCAAAGCAATCTTCTCTTCAGCCTCGGCAAGAATATGCTTCCCAATGGAGGACTAATGGATAACGGGGAAAGGATATATCGAAGATTTCTACGTGGAAATCAACGAGGAATTGATGATCCGCACCCTCCTGTTACGTTATGTCAACTATGATCACAAGTGCCTCGCTTGCGATGGGCATCCCAATTGACCCAAGGATACGGTTGCGTAAAGGCTTGTGGTTGAACACTTAGCGAATTGACTTTGAACATCGACAAGCTTTATGCCAAAAAGCTGGCTCAGCTGATACAGAGCATCAGTTGTAGAGAAACAATACACATCCGTCAATTTCGATAGCTTCCATATTGTTGGATTCGAACGATCAATCATGAAAGACTTCGTGCGGGTGGCCAAGAGTTATCTGGGAAACCCGATGGGCAACTGGATAGAGGTTGGCTACTGGACTTAAGTATGGCCGTCACATTATGATCATGCCTCATGCCCGCTTGGACAAGGGTACATACATACAGACCCCGGGGCGCAAGAAAACCTCCAACATTGAACCAAGGTGCCAAAAATATCTAGTCTACTAAATATATACTAAATTATGCTAAGTTTACCTAAAGACTTTTTATCACTTATGATAGAGGTCCTAAGTTTTGTTGCCTCCCCTGGACAGATTAGGTGTGATCTCAAAAAGAGTGGTGTATGGGTTAAGTCAGCCAGATCTGTGCTTCTACCTTTCCTACACCATGCTCGATCTATTCATAGAAACAGATCGTTCTGAGTTCCACCCCAGCTTAGATTTATAAGCTATTTGGTCGGTGACGTTGGCTATGGAATCAACTCCATCAAGCAATTCTTTGTTCTTAAATGGCCCATGGCAGTTGAAACTTTATTTGTTGACCGTCTTTTGCGTTGTTATTCTGTTCTCTTCGGATAACTTGGTCCCGGAGATTCCAATGGCACTCTGCAGTCTGCAAGGAGTATTCGGTTTAGCGATCAAAAGTCAACATCAGCCCACAGCATGAAGGCCCCTTGCACATGGATCTCATGCAGCAGTTCGATCCAGCCATGCAAACGTCTTTCCGGTCATGGGTCTCGAGAGTTTCAGAGAGTAGAGAAATGTGACAGGCAGCGAGGGACCTCCATTAAGCGCCGGCATCCACACTCAACCCGCATAGTCCATCCTTGTCAGCCAATAGAAGCTGAGGGATGAGTCTAAGAATAGAACCACGGCGGATGGCCCCAAACTTAGCATCTCTCCAAGTCCATCCCAACCTTTTCCACTCAGCGGGGTCGGAGGAGGAAGATCAAGCAAGTCCTTCAGCTTCCATGTGGGATATTCAACGTCTTGTATGGTGACAAACAAGCAACATGACTAGGTATTTGTTGCCGTTCTGCTTACAGCACTCACACAAAAGGCACAAATCAAGCAGCGCTCAACTGATTAGTGTCCATCCGTACTACACCAATGCATCCTCTAGGATCTACAGATACCCCAACTAGGACATATAAAGAACGCCATCTTTCAACTCTGTCAGCTGAGTTGCTCTGCAAGAAGCGGTCGAAGGTGCTCTGTCATCCCCTAGTTGAATACCCTCAAGCTTAACTAGTGCCTGATAGTGAAAGCCATGCTTGTAGAGCCATGCTTGTAGAGCCATGCTTGTAGATCCTCCGTTTCTATTGCCAATTGGCCGTGAACAAAGTTCCCACGAAGCATACCTTGCAGTATCTCTTTGTCCCACCCTCAGATAGCGTCCGTCATCCATGCAATTCTCGACCACCCCAGCAAGTCTCTCCCAAAGCAGGTACACACTGTAGGCAGGGCTTGGCTCTCCGGCAATAGACAGAAAACCGAGAATGGTTTCCAGTCTATCAACTTGAAAATGTACTTGCTTTCAGTAGGTACCTCACTCCCGCTGACACCGCCAAAAACTGAGGTGTCGTGATTTCAACATTTTACCGTAAAAGGTGACTTATGCAGGGGTCTATCGCCTGCTGCTACTCCAACTGCGACCTGTACATCCATTTCCCTTTACAGAGCCCCTCTCCCAACCACTTTCTCTCTTTTCACCTTTCACATCCAGTCCAATCCTCAATCACATCTCTGTTTCATATTTGGTTGGTTGCGCATTAGGGGACGTACTCTTCGTCCTCGCCGCAGCTACGGTGAATGGCTTGATGAGAGATATTCGTTACGTCCTTGTCAATTGACCATCTTCGACAAGCTGCAGCTTCCTTTACACACACAGAGCCTCACCTGTAACATACGTCTGTCAGGTCTCTCTTCCGGCTGTACTGTGCCGGGCCAGGTCGAGAGTCATCATAGTCATACCTATTCCTTGTCGTCTCAAAATAGTCTCGACTGCTTCGATCCTCACCTGAGCATCGACTCACTCTACTGCTGCTGCTGCTCGCACGCGCCGCCCACCCCGCGGATCCATCCAATCCCTAGCACCCCACGTACCAGAACCAACCGACCAAAGAGACAGCCCTGACACGATACCCAGCTGTTTCTAAGTTAGACTTCCCTCATCCTTTGGTGTTGTGGCTTGAAACAGGGACCCTGGACCTGGCGCTCGAGTGAATCCTTCGTCCATAGTCGCTTGGTCCCTCTGATCTTTCATCATGACTTCTCACGAAGCGGCGCGACTCCGTCAAGGCCTTCTTCCTCTCACGACAACGTCTGTAGGTGCCTTCAACAACCCTCTACATACGCCCATATCTGCCGTGTCCATGAGCTCCAGTCATTTTCACTCCGCTGTCCAAACACCTGGCAGTAGTATACAGCCATACAACCCCCAAGAATGGGTTCCCACACAGGCTGCTGTCGCCGAGCGCGCCGTTCAATATGCCGGCGAAGTCCAAGGCAAGTGACTAAGAACTAAACATCATGTTATTGCTCGCGTTCTAACATGCCTCAGTGTCGCCAATGCCGCCTCCACCATACAGCCCGCCCAGAAGTCAACAGCAGCGTCCCATGAGTACCGTCTTCGACTCTACACCAGCTGGTACTCCGACTCCGCCGCCTCGACTAAGCACAATGGTGCATCGACCTTCGCCTGAACCAGCCAATGCATCTTTTCCTCCTCCTCCGGGTGTAAATGGGCGAAATGGTTCACGAGACCGCCGCTTTCTGCCATCCTTAGGCCGCCGTAGAGATATGGACACCTCCAGTACTCCTCCACCTCAACCGCCGCCTCCTCAAGCCCATCGACAGAGCATGATCGTGCAAACTTCGTTTCATCAACCTACTCCCGAGCATGGAATGACTGGTCCTATGATTCATGGGCCGCCAGCGGCTCGAAGAGCCGTATCTGCAGGAGCCGTGGAGACACCCACATCTGCTCGCTCACGATCAGCGTCTCAAACCAGATGGGAACCAGGCATGCCTCTCCCACCTCCGCCACCAGGGCCCCCACCTGCTTCAAGCAGGTCGCAAAGCGTACAGTCAATAGATAGGAACACAGTTCCCATCATATCTCCTCCTACAAAAAGACGCCGACCACCAACCGGTGTCACAGAACTCGGACCTGTTCCTCCAACACCTGCAGATTGGAACGAGACGGGGAGTCAAGCAGGCCCCTCAAACCGAAGCCGCTCACCGGGTCTCAGGATCGACACGTCGCTACCATCCTCCCAACCTGTTGAACCTGCTCTGGGGTCCTCATCGAGTATTGGCGGGCTCAATCGGCAAAAGGCAGTTAGACATGACAAAACAATTTTGCAGCGGAGGGCTGAGAGTCGGACCCGACACAGCGTCCGTGGCTCTATAGATGAACGGACCCGACCCGATTCTATGGCCGACATTATGGTACCGAATACGACTGATCTGTCACGGACATCAATCGGTAAATCGACCCCTCTAAGTGACGCACTCGCATCGCAAGACTCTCGAAACTCGACCCCTAGAGCCCCAGCATCAGGGAAGCTGCCTCAGGAAGCGGAAACACCGCCTTTCTCTCCCAACGCTTCTAAGCAACCAATATATGCCAGCAGCTCAAAGGTTGTTGCTCCAAAGGCGCTCCCTACTCCGCCTCCCAGGTCCGGATCTGTGGCATCGGTCTCGAGGGTCCGGGAGTCTTCTCGGCCCCCTTCCGCCGGCCTATTGGTATCGAAACATTTGGTTACGACTCAAACTGCCGATCAGTTTGGAGAAGGGACTATCGATCGGTTCCGCGAATTTGCGATTAGAGAATCGAGGGCCGCTACTGACGCGGATAGGGTGCGTATGTTCGCTGACTTTGTTGTCAACGAATCAAGGATCAGACGAGAACGATATTCTGTCGCTATTGGGGCTATGGGCTCCGAGATCTTTGACCTCACCCGCGACTTATTTCGGCCGATGGTCAGCCAAAGGCGAGAGTCAGCTTCTTCACAGGATCAGTGGACCCCTGGGCTATCCGAACCAGGGCCTTCTCGTCGAGGCTCTATAGGTTCAAACTTGGGGGAAAGTCCTCAGTCTGCCTCTAAAACAGTCAATGTCCCGACGTCGCCGAGCGGGAACAACCCACCAAACGTGAATTGGTCGAGCAATTATATGCCCTCGTTATCGCCAATTTTGAGTATGAGCGTCAGCGAAAACTATGAAAATGGCAGCTCACGGGGTCGTCCTCCGAGCCGTTGGTGGGAATCAGATTCGCAAGGTGAAGCTTCCCATCTCGGACGTTCCAAGAGAGAGTCGAAGTATATGGGCGTAACCAAGACACAGTGGGTTGAGGAGGACCAGCCGTCTGTGGTATACGAGGAGCAAGGCTCTTCATCCGAGTATCCTCCTGAGAAGACGGGCTGGCATGATCAGTCGGAGCCCAACTTGACTCCTCAACAATTTGGCTTCGCCACCACGTCAAACATGGGTTCTAGTCCCTGTTCGACGATCAACCGCGACCACCTGGATGTTTCCCGCCTTGTCACCATGCCTCCTCCTTATCCAAGACACCATCCCGCTGTCAATAACAAACATCCTGAGTTGACATCCATCAGAACAGCCGTGCGAGCTCTGAGTCAACTCGATGAATTGGCCAAGACAAAGGAGCGGTTCACTGTCGAGAGCACCAAACGTCGAGAACAATTTTCCAAAGCAGCGTCTGAGCGCCGTCAAGCTTTGCGTACAAACTTGCAGAATGAGATCAATGCTGGCAGCTTGAGTTATGCTGATGCAGGAGCTATTGATGCTGATGCAAAAGCCAGCGAGATAACAAAGAAAAAGGACTTGGAAAAGTCCGAATACGAATTGTTCCAGAATCAGGTGGTACTGCCTTTGAACGAACTACTGACAGGGCGTATCTCAAGCGCCACAGAGCTGTTTGACGATCTAGCCCGACACCTATTCGATAACGGGCAGATAGACGCGGACATGCCGCAGGAAGAGGGTGATGATAGACCAGAACTTCTGGAAAAATTGACGCTGCTTAAATGGGTCTTTGAGGCACGAGAGGGTCTTTACCGGGCCATCTACGATCTTCTTTCGGATCGCAACGGCCGATACTGCGAGGTTGTACTGACTCCTTACCGACTTTCCGGAAATACTGAGAAACTCAAGTCAGCTGAGGCTTTCTTTGCTGAAGACTCGGCCAAGCGTGAATATGCGTTCGCTCACGAGGTTCTGGAACGGACCCGAGACTTCCGAGGAGTGGTTGAAAAGGCTGTGGACCACGGTGTTGCACTGCAGCTGTCGGCGTTTTGGGATATTGCGCCTCCGCTTTGTGAGCTACTGGACAATATTCCTCTCGATCTGGATGGTTTCAACATCCAGATTCCAGCATCGGAAATTGAAGAAAACCCATCCTATGTCGAGCATCCGATGCAGTATCTTTTTAGCTTGCTGCTTCACGCCGAGAAGAGCACGTACCAGTTCATCGAATCGCACACCAACCTGTTGTGTCTACTTCACGAGGTCAAAGAGGCTGTGGTTCACGCCAAAGGCAAGGTCCTCGAGACGCAGACCCAAGATGAGAACGGAAACGCAATTCCCAAGGCAGATAGCAATGCACAGGCGGTGCAAATGCGACAATCAGAAGAACGCCGACTTACCGAGGATCTGAAGGAAAAGGTCCGTCTCGTTCAAGATCAATGGAAGAGCGCATTAGGCGATAACATTACGCTCGTGAAAGAGCGCCTAGGAGGGTGGCTGTTGCAAATGGGTGGCTGGGATGAGTCGCTCGAAGATAGAGGTGTGGGCAGTGTCTAGAAGGTTAAGTGAAGTGAGTAGAAGTTGATACCCCTAAGCCAAATGGGCTTGATGATTGGAAACGATATTATTCTGTATATAATTTGTTGATCCTGGACCAAAGATGTCCTTTTATATGAGATATGATGATGAAATGGATGTTCTTCATAATCGAGTGATGCCTGGGTATTGCGTCTGTCTTTTCTGTTCCATACACTTATTCGTACACTGAAGGGTGTGGGCTGAATCTAAGCCTTTTTCTCCACCGCCATATTCTTGAGTGCTGGATGCCATCTGGCCTATTCTCCCATCTGTAGATTCGCTGTTGAAATCGCTTGGCGCTTGGTGTTTAGATTCATTCGATGGCTTGATAAGTCATGGTTCGTTTCCCTTTGATGATCCATGGTCCTTGAAGCCCTTTTCCATCCCCTTTCCCGTCTCTTTTCTCATTTTCATTTCGTCGTCAACCATTTACTTGTACTCAACTGGCAAATCCATGCCAACCCTCCTAGCAGTCAAGCGAACACGCTCCTCCTCATCCATACCCATACCAGGGTTATAACGCTCGAGTAACGTGGCATACATGCGCTGAGATCGGAGATAGGCGATGGCTTGGGCAGCAGCGTGGGCGCGGGCGTCTTGCGATGTCGCCGCTTTGGAGCTGGAAGAAAAGGAATCTCGAAGGCGGGAGTGAAGAGGAGAGCGTGGTGAGGCGAGAATGGGTCGAGGTGGTAGCTCGCGAAGGAGGGAGCGGTAGAGAGAGCGTAGTGAGGCTGGAGAAGAGGCCATTTCGGGTGACAGTGGTTGGTCGGAGGGAGACAAAGAGGATCGATCGTGTTGAATGTCAAGTTGAGATGACGCCTTGAGATTGATTGATTGCATGAACTGGGTAGAAATGATGCTTGAAAAGTCCGGCCAATCGGGTGGTTCCGCTACGAGCAGGGGAAAAACTGTTAGTGGGATGGGAGAGAGAGATGCCCCTCCTCATCGATATCGGAGTTCTGATGGCGGGGTTGGCTTAAGAGAGCTATCTTGCCATTGTAGGACTACCTTGGCAATAGAGCTTCCATTATGGATGTATATAATGATAAATCTAGGTAACTTGACTTTTCTGTTTGACATGTTTTGGCTTCTTTTGAAAATAAATCTTGATTTAATTGACGCATTCGAGCTGTATTCCGCTTCCAGTTACACCATAACTGAAACAACTCTTTTAACGTCGCAGCTTACATACTCAGACTTCAGACTTCTCAACAGCTCATCCCACTTCTTTTTCTCTTCCTCTTCGTCTCTCAGATCAATCAATCAATCCACATCCCACTCTAATTAGGCCCAATTGCCTTCATCTAGAGCCCGACGACCCGCCCGACGGCCCGAAAGAGACCAACCAGTGTCTGCTCTAAGCTCTAACACCACCATAAAAAACACAAGGACAATTGCGCCATCCCACGTTACTTAGTAGCTACTTAGCTTACATTTCGTTGCCTTGTATGCCCACTGCTACGCCAAAGTTCTTCCTCTCTAGATCCTTTATTCTTTTCTTATTGACCCTCATCCTGGCTATCCTTATTTCGCCAGCCTTCACCCCCCGTCTCCGCCAACTCTCTTCCCATCTTATCCTTCTCCAACGACCGCTCACAACCATGGCTTCTCCATCCTACGCCTCAGAGCTTCAGATCGCCCAATTGGCCGTTCAGCGTGCTACGATCCTTACCAAGCGCGTCTTCCACGAAAAGGCAAAGGGAACCGTTGACAAAAATGACAAGAGCCCTGTCACCATTGGCGACTTTGGCGCCCAGGCCCTCATCATCGCCGCTCTCCGCCACAACTTCCCCGACGACGCTATCGTCGCCGAGGAGGAGGCTGCGCAGCTCCGTGACGATGCGAACCTGAAGCAGACTATCTGGGAGCTCGTCAGCTCTACAAAGCTCGACAATGAAGATGCTGAGAAGCAACTCGGTGGTCCTATTAAGGATGTCGACGATATGTTGGAATTGATCGACAGAGGTGGCAGCCAGGGTGGTTCCAGCGGTCGTATCTGGGCAATTGATCCCATTGACGGAACAAAGGGCTTCCTCCGTGGTGGGCAATACGCTGTCTGCCTTGGTCTCATGGTTGATGGCGACGTCAAGGTCGGTGTCCTTGGCTGCCCTAACCTTCCAGTTGACGATTCAGCCCGTCTGACCTCCGACATTGGCTCTAATGCCACCGATGAGGGTCGTGGTGTTGTTTTCTCTGCTGTGCAGGGCCATGGCGCGAACAGCCGGCCTCTTACTTCTGGCGCTCTTGCTGCTGAGAAGCCTATCTCCATGCGAAGCATTGATGACCTCTCCAAGGCTACCTTCTGCGAGAGCGTTGAGGCAGGCCACTCAGCGCATGATGACCAAGCTCTTATCTCGAAGAAGCTTGGTATCACCCAGGAAAGTGTCCGCATGGACAGCCAGGCTAAGTATGGCTCTATTGCCCGCGGTGCTGGCGACATCTACCTCCGTCTGCCTGTCAAGGCCACATATCAGGAGAAGATCTGGGATCACGCTGCCGGTGATCTCATTGTTCGTGAGGCTGGTGGCCAAGTGACTGACATTCACGGAAAGCGTCTCGACTTCAGCGTAGGACGCACTCTGGCCAACAACAAGGGCGTCATTGCTGCTCCTGCTGCTGTTCACGGCAAGGTTCTCGAAGCTGTTCAGGAGGTTCTGAGCGCCAAACAGTCGTAAGGAAAAATAAATAGGAAAACAAACGGACATGACTTGAATGAAAGCGAGAATTTCAAAGCAGAAAATGTAGTTTTGTATATGCCTCGTCAAATAGTACACACAAATCTGTACATGATACTAGAATACACACGCCAGCTGCGTCCAATAGGCCAAGCCACCAAGCTGGCCAGTATAAATTCCCACATACCACCTCTCTATTTGATCTTCTTCTGCTTCAGCTTGATCGTCTGGTCGTTAATAAACACGCCCTTGCCCTTGTAAGGCTCCGGAGGACGCCACATGCGAACTCGTCCAGCAAACGACATGATGGTCTCGCGGTCAATTCCCTCAATCAGGATACGTGTAGGCGCAGGAGTTGTCACGGTCACGCCGCGAGGGATGCCCTCCTCGACAGGATGAGTAAACCCGAGCTTGAGGCACAGGAAGCGCTGCCCAGGAAATTCCTCTTTAGCACCTCGCTCTTCGACACTCGCTCTATAACCGACACCGACGAGACGGAGAATGGCCGTGTGCCCTTCCGAGACACCCATTATATAGTTCCTTAGGTAAGACCATGTTGTTCCTATCCAATTGTCAGCCCCAATGCCATCAAGCGTGATGATAACCGGTGAACATACCCCACATGGCTTTTTGGTCCTTGGCGTCAGTGTCCTGGACATTCAACGACACCACCTTGGCCTCAGGATCTTGCGTCACCTGCACATATTCCGGAACTTCCAGGTCAAGCTCTCCTAACATCGGTTAGCAATTGTTCCCCTCATTTCTACGTGCCGTTCCCTCATACCCAAAGGTCCCTTTACAGTGATGGTTTTCTTGTACACCTTCTTGTATGATGTCAAGTCCCTGCTCGCAACCGGCTCGCCAACAGATAGCTCTACGCCAGGAGGGATCGATAGAGGGGTTCTTCCCAGCTTGGATGGTCGCTTTGAGGTCGTGGAGAAGAGGGCAATGGCGGCTCGGGAAGATGCGATCTTGGGTGCTGTCGCTTGCCATGCTGGCACCAGGAAGCTAGGGAGGGTGACAGGGCCAGACGACGAGGCCGCAATGGCTCGTCCAATTGCCCTCCCCCGGCTGGGAGTAAACATGGCGGCCATTGGTGTCGAGATGGCTGCCGTGGGCGTGCAGCAGTATCGGCTCGTCGAACGAGGTTGACAAGCTGATGGAGCTCAACTTTTCGCGCTTAGTCATGGCATCACGTGCTCATACGATAACTTGCACCAAGGGTCCGTCGGTCAATGTGGTCCGATTACCGATGCTTAACTTCATGTCACAGAAACATTTCGAGAACTCGGCGAAACTGGCTTGTGACCAGTTTGAATTATTTAGTGCTAGGTTCACCATCTTTGAGAATTGAATTGGTACAATAGTACTCTTGGAATTTTATTCGGCTCATACAACTATAGTGTACTGCCACTATTGAGGATATCTTAACCCCAGAATTACAACAACTACACTCGAAAAGAAGTTGCAGGCCGGCTATACGACAAACATAACATAGCGGCCAGTTATTTCAGCACATTGTGGAGCATGTTTACTCCTCGCCCTCAGGGAGCTCCTCCTCGTACTCCTCTTCCTCCTCATCAATACCAGCATCCTGGTACTGCTGGTATTCGGAGACAAGATCATTCATGTTAGACTCGGCCTCAGTGAACTCCATCTCGTCCATACCCTCACCAGTATACCAATGCAAGAAAGCCTTGCGTCGGAACATGGCAGTGAACTGCTCACCAACACGCTTGAAGAGCTCCTGGATAGAGGTGGAGTTTCCGATGAAGGTCGAGGACATCGTAAGTCCTCGGGGAGGGATGGCACAAAGGGCTGTCTGGATGTTGTTGGGAATCCATTCAACGAAGTAAGAAGAGTTCTTGTTCTGGACGTTGCGCATCTGGTCCTCGACCTCCTTCATAGCGACACGGCCACGGCTGTATAAAGTTAGCAAATAATTTCTATGTGCAAAACCGGGTTCACTCACAAAATGGCCGAGCAGGTCAGGTAGCGACCGTTGCGGAAGTCCGAAGCGGCCATCATGTTCTTGGGGTCGAACATCTGTTGGGTCAACTCAGGAACGCTGACTGCGCGGAAAGAGTGAGCACCACGGCTGGTCAGAGGAGCAAAGCCAACCATGAAGAAGTGTAGACGAGGGAAAGGCACCATGTTGACGGCGAGCTTTCGGAGGTCGGAGTTCAGCTGACCAGGGAAACGGAGACAGGTAGTGACACCGGACATGACAGCAGAAACGAGATAGTTGAGGTCACCGTAGGAGGGGTTAGACAGCTTCAGGGTGCGCATGCAGATATCGTAGAGGGCCTCGTTATCGATACAGAAGGTCTCGTCGGAGTTCTCGACCAGCTGGTGGACGGAGAGGGTAGCATTGTAGGGCTCAACGACGGTGTCAGAGACCTTGGGGGAGGGAACGACGGAGAAGGTGGCCATCATTCGGTCGGGAAATTCCTCGCGGATCTTTGAAATGAGCAGAGTACCCATACCGGCACCGGTACCACCACCGAGAGAGTGGGTGATCTGGAAACCCTGGAGGCAATCGCAGCCCTCGGCCTCACGGCGGACGACGTCGAGGACCTGGTCGACAAGTTCGGCACCCTCAGTGTAGTGACCCTTGGCCCAGTTGTTTCCAGCACCGGACTGACCGAAAACGAAGTTGTCGGGACGGAAGAGCTGACCGAAGGGACCAGCACGGACGGCGTCCATGGTACCAGGCTCAAGATCGACGAGGACGGCTCGGGGAACATACTTGTTGCCAGAGGCCTAGTTGTGTGAGCTTGGGAATTCTTGACATTGACTGTTAATGCATACCTCGTTGAAGTAGACACTCATGCGCTCGAGCTGGAGCTCGGAGGTACCGTTGTAGACACCATTGCTGTCGAGGCCGTGCTCGCCAGAGATGGTTTGCCAGAAAGCAGCACCGATTTGGTTACCCTGATAAACATTGTGAGCATCCCCCGCATGCGACGTTGAGGAAGCGATGAGCACTTACGCACTGACCGGTCTGGAGGTGAACCTATTGTAGAGAAGAGATCTGATTAGCTTCTTGTCTTGACAGAAGGTATGGTAAAGCTGGTAGCTATCGTGCATTGTCGTTGAGCTGCCACCGCCCAGCGGGGTAGAATCAGGGGCATGATAAACTCAACGCGTGGAACAGCACAACACGAACTTAAAAAGAGATGTACTTACAATCTCACGCATGTTGATGGATGTGGATGAATGTAATCTGGAGGAGTAGAGAGAAGGAGGAGAGAAATGGGCCGAAGTCGTCGAAGAGCTGAAGTAGACCTAGCTTTGACGGAGGAGGACAAGAGTGGGTTGGAAGGAGACCAAAGGGCGATGTTGATTTTTGTTTGGAGCTGGAGAGTAGAGGGTGAAATTGTTCACCGCCACGGCTCCAGGGCCCAGCAGGGGGGGAAACAAGGGGCAGGGCGGTTCCTTCCAGGCTATTGGGCCAGTAAGCACTCTCACTTGTTTACCTCTTGGTCCGTGCACGCGTTCAGAAGGGCAAGGCGCCGCCTGAAGGGTCCCGCAGTGGCAGGCACGCCAATGAATCTGCACCTGTCACTGCCGATGGAGAGGAGGAAATAGCAGCCCGCCATTTTATCTCCAGGTGCATATTAAGAATGGAAGTGGTGAATTCTTGTAATACAGCTGAAATAAAAGAAGAAACCACCTGTAGAACTCTAACTTATATGTTTAGTAAGCTTAATTGCCCCGAATCGAGCCGTTGTTAAAGTTACAACTACGCGCCGTTGAGGCCAGCCACGCTGGCAGCCCAGTATGTGAAGTATCGCCAGATCGCCAACTGATGGAGTGCCAGCAAAACTTGCCCCACTGGTAAATTGGCGATTTGACCATCCGAGATGAACATACGTCTTCGGGCGACCAGCATTTCAAAATGAGGCGATTACACAGTAAGAGAATCTTCAAGTTTATATCTGTATGTACCAAGATACACAGTAGAAAATACCCACCAGTGAAGTAAGGCTCCAATTGCCTTGAACGCTTTCAATTTGCATCGTCTTTCTTACTTGATATCCATTGGTTCTTCAATGGCACATATTGATGTTAATCTGAACCTAGGCGCCAATCAGTCTCAGCTACAATCTGCCTACCTCGGCTAGGGGAGGCAACAAACCCCAATATCTCTATCCTAAACGACAAAAAGACTTATGTAATAGTTTTCAGCACCTTGGTTCAAGGTCAGAGGTTATCTTGTTCCCTGAGGCTTGAGTGTTCAGCCCTTGAATTACTACATATAACAGCTTACATACTCTCGCCAGCTGTCAGGTCAAGCGAACCAAAAGAGCGTAGGAAGAATCCATATGGTGTAAAAGATTAGAAACCGGACGAAAGTCTAGTTACACAACAACCAGTAGGCTACCCCTGCTTCGCCAAGTGAAGAGTAAAGAGTATTTACATATTATATGGAGTCGTTGCACATGGTAAGTGGGTGTATATCACCTAAGTCTACTGATCTGGCTCTAGGATGCTCTCCGCTAGACGGACGGTAGTAAAGTTCATGATGTGACTTCTCTTTGGAAGTCTCAGATTGTCACGAAACACATGTATTCATGCACAACTGAATGGCTCTGAGGAAGACTCCTTAGCGATGAAAGAAGAAGTCCTCCTGTAACAGGTATAATTTGAAAAGCTTGGGGGGAAACCTATTGTGCCCTCTGTAGTAGATGTTGCTCGGAGGTTCCTTTGAGGAACAACATGTCGACACCTATAAGCCACCTCTAAAATCAAATCTGATCCATTTCTCACGATTCGTAAAAGTCTGAGGCAAAAGCGACATCTCTAGCGCGCAAATGACCATGGAGTTCTCCTTCGCCTTGTATTCATGTCTTCTCTGATAGACTTCGCATACATTTGAACCATCGACATCTTTGAGCTGACCTATTCCTCCGAAGCATACTGCCAAAGCTCCTCTCCATTCTTGTTATTGACAGAGACGATCTTTGCAATCTTAGTGCCGTAGGCGTCAGTGCCATCATCTCCAATACCGCGTCGGCTCTTGCAGTCCTTGCACTGCTTGAAGTCCAGCTCGTTGTAGGAACCGCAGACGCTGCCGTCGTGAAGTGTTTGGTTGCACTTCCAGTACAGTAGATTGTCGCGGATTTGAAGTGTTGGCTTGGGCTTCTTGATATCGAACGCGGGTTTGGTTTCGTCGCGGCTTTCGTGAGGATCAGGTTCTGTGATATCCATGGCGACGACCGCCTGGGTGGCCACGACGCCTTCCATTTCTGACATGATAGGCAATGATTGAGACCGAAGATATGTGGGTGTTGAGTATTTCTTGTTAAAGCTGAGGCGCTGCACGCAGTTAAGTTTTTTGTAGGAAGGGAGTTGGAACTTTGATAAAAAATAAGATGCAGAATCCGTAGGTGCATCATTTAAAAAGGTCTTGTTTGAAACTCAGTGCGAATTGTTGCTATTGAATGCGAACTGTCGCCTATTCATCGAGGCTCTGATAGAAATCCGTCCGAGCCCATTTTATCGACATCACATGTAACACAACCTCGCATTATGCATCAGCACCATTAGGGTCGGACAATATGAGTCAAATCTTGATTGTTGTGTTTGTGAGAGGAAACTATCATCAGCTGAATAGCGAGTAGCTGAAATCAGCGACGTGAACGGCTCGTATCACACATTAGAATAGGTTATCTGGTCTCGAAGTTATCGGGCAAATCTCTCTGGACCATAAAATCAGCCTCATCAATTTGGCTACGTACTTAATGCTGCTTAACAACACCTGCTGCATTAGCTTGCGCGGCAATCCTCTTCTTGTACGCCTGAACATCGCCAGGAAACTTCTCGACAGTGCCTCCGTCACAAACCCACAGCGATTTGCACACCGTCTGCAACATTGTGACGTCGTGAGACACCATCAGCACACCACCCTGGAATTCGTTGAGCGCCTCAGCCAAGGCATCCATGGCTTCGATGTCAAGATGGTTAGAAGGTTCGTCAAGAACCAGAATGTGCGGGTTTGTAAGAGCCAGGCAAGCAAAAGCAACACGAGACTTCTGACCTCCAGAAAGCAATCCCATCTTCTGCAGGCCGGTTGTGCCGGTGATACCAAAAGCACCAAGTCGTCGACGGTATTCCTCATCTGTTCGTCCCGGATAGTTCTTTGACATGAAACCCACGGCACTGTCATTGAGGTCGAGGGCGTCAACGTGGTGCTGAGCGAAGAATCCAATTCGAAGACGAGGGTGTTGCGAGATCAGACCAGACGAAGGATCCAGTTTACCAATGAGCAGCTTCAGGATAGTTGTCTTACCCGCACCGTTGGGTCCGACGATACCAATTCGAGAATCCAGCTGGACATCCAGGTCAACATTGCGGAGCAAGATGTTGTCTTTGTTATAACCAAAAGTGACCTCAGACATCTGTACAATAGGGGGGGATAGCTTCTCGACCTCGGGGAATGTGAACTTGACGCTGTACTCAGCCTCTGGGGGTTCAAGGACCGGCATCTTCTCGAGCTTCTTGATACGTGACTGGGCTTCTGATGACTTAGCGGCGTTATACCGGAACTTGTCGATAAACGCCTGTAGATGGGCTCTCTGGACCATCTGGTTCTCGTACTCTCGTTTGGCGACTTTCTTGCGCTCCTCGCGAGTAGCATAGAAGGTATCGAAGTTGGCTCCACGGTAGTAGTCGAGACGCTGAGAGTGTTGATGAATGATATCGGTGGCGACTTCGTTGAGGAACGCTCTGTCGTGAGAGACAACGAGGACGGTGCTGGGGTATGTTTGAAGGTACTCGGACAAGAATGTAATCGAAGGAACGTCCAACATGTTAGACGGTTCGTCAAGAAGAAGCAAGTCAGGTTCACAGAACAGTGCTCGGGCAAGGGCCAGACGCATTCTCCAACCACCAGAGAAGGTCTTGGTGGCGTGCTGCTGTCGCTCTGTTGAGAAACCGAGACCAGCAAGAATACTAGCAGCTCGTGACTCGGCCTTGTCTGACTCCATTTCGGCCAACTTGGACTGAACATCTCCCAACTTGGTATCCTGGGCCTCTCTATCACGATCGATTCTGGCCGCGTCAGCAGATGTGTCGGCCAGAGAAGCACGTTGCTTCTCCAATTCTGCCAGTCGAGCCGTAATTTGCTATCATCGTTAGTAGGTGTTTGATATGACTGAAAGGCAGACTTACATCTTGCTCCTTCAAGAGAACCTTGCGCCAAACATCGGCGTCGAGAACCGCCTGGATGGCTGGGGTGTCGTCACCAGTAATCTTTCTTGTCAGCTATGGTTTTTCTTGATGTAACAGAGACTTACTTCTTGCTCAACGTGCAGAATGGAGATGTGAAGTGGAATTGCAACCTCACGGCGAGACAGAGCTCGAAGCAGTGTTGATTTACCAACACCGTTGTTACCAACCAAACCATACCGGTGGCCATAGGCGAGAGTGAGCGTTGTGTCTGTAAGAATGCGGTTTCCACTGATCGATACATCGATGTTGTCCAATTTAATATCCTTTGACTTGTTTGCGGAGCTGGAGCCCATTTGCAGAGGGTTGACAGCCATATAGAACTCTTCGTATGACTGGGTCGACTCGGGTTGGTCAAGCAGCTTGGATGCCTCATACTCGACAGTCTTGAAGGTTTTCTTCTGCTGCTTGGCGGCAATCTTTCTCTCTGCCTTCTCAAGCTTCTTGCGATCGACCTTGGATTCAACCTTCCTTGCGTTTGCAGACTCCAGGTCCACGCCACCGGTCGCCACAGCTAAGGTGGACGACATGTTGCGCTGCTGGCTCACCTGGATAGTCTGGTCTAGGCGCTTGACCGTCGAAGGTCCTCGTCTCTGGCCTCCATTGGCCTCAGTGTACTTATCGACCCATTTCTCGACCAATTGCTTGATCTTCTCCTCCAGCTCAGCATTAACTTGGCCAGATGCGGACAGTAGGAGCTCGGTGATGGTGGAAGCAGCTTCGTTCAGTGGTGACTCGCCCGATGCATCCTCCTCGTCCAAGTAGGAAGTTGACGCATGGGTCAGGTAGCCCACAGAGTACTCGGAGACTACGGGGTCGATGTGCGGCAGCACAGCTCTGATATCGGCCTCCATGATGCGCTGACTCGACGGTAGGATAGCTGGGCTAAGAACGAATGACTTGAGACCTCTTGATAATCCACGATGCGATGTACAACTTTAGTATGCTCCGCGGGCTACACAGAGTTGTCAAACTGTGACTGAATGGCTTGACAGTGTCGCTACCTTGGATGCCCCGCCAGAGATGTCGTTGAAAATTGTGGGTGTAGATACTGGATCCCCATCACGGAGGTCTGACGTCCGATCACCGACATCATCATCTCCAGGGTAGGTGTGTCTGAAAAACTACGTAGCGATAGCTAATCTACAAATTTTAATAATTGATCATGAATCACTGAAGGAATGCATGCTCATTCTTAACTTCTAGTTTGGTTCTAACTGACTCATGATGATGGTTTAATTCGGTTATAACCATGGTGAATGTGCTACAACTAACTCAGCTTGGCGTCCTGTCAAAATAGCTAAATCTGACTGTGACAACGAGTATGATATTGGTGTGCACACCAGATATGTCCAGCCGGTTTAGAATTCAAGTTGGAACTCCGACACTACTCAATATAACCGAGATGATAAAACGACTGATTTAAATAAAGTCCCGGGTTTTGCAGCAGGTGGAAAGTTGGACATAGAAGCCACTCTGCCACTCTACTCAAACCACGAAAAACTGTCCTAGTCGTAGCGACCTAACCTATAGCTAGCCACATCACGTTTGTAAGTGCCCAAGAAGATGGGAATGGGAGTCATAGCTTTCCCGAACCGGGTCATGCGGATAGCAAGAACCCAAGACACAGGAGCTCGAGCATACAAGAAAAGGGCATATTGCCGAGGGAGGCTATATCAAAATGCGAGCAGGGGCATCCATACGAGCGAAAGGTTTACCAGTCCGCCAGTATACCTCCAGACTCATTGGACCTGAAAAGAAACTTGACCTTCAGAGCTGAACCAAGCCTCATAATAAACTACAGATGTTAGATTGCAGCTATTCACTCCAAATATAGAAGGATCAGGTTATCAAACAAAGCCCAACTGGCGGTGAAGGGCCTCTAATTCAAGAATGGGATGTCGAAATACAGGTTTCTCACAAAACCTGTTCACGGGCAAATTAAACAACGGACATGCATGCATGCTGCAATTAGCATACCCGTAACCCAATACCAGCGCTGATAAGTTGCGTTTATGCAGAGAGAGACTGCATGTGTAGAGCGACTTGAGCGTTCGCAGCCCATTGAGTTCTCATCTAACCTCCAAGCCAACCTATCAACAACGACAAGACACTGCACTCGAGCAAATCTTGCTTCATTCTACAGGGCTATCCCAGCGACGATGCAGTGCCTCGGAGGTCGGTTATCAATGTGGTTGCTGACTATTGAAACCGCCGGCGTTGAATTCAGCAATAACCAGTTGCCACGAATCCTAGCTCTACGCCGGTTTCAGTAATTACAGTTTTCAGCTCCAAACCCTGAGCACCAATCACAGTGCAGAAAGCCGCTATAGCTCTGTGTATTTATTTTGTTAAGTTAAGTGAGGTAAGGTAAGAGGGGTTATTGACGCGACGCGTCAACTTCATCTCATGATGTTTTTCTTCGCCCGCTTGCACAATTCAGCCAATTGACCCTGAAATGAAACCTGGTATTTAACTCAGATCTAGGTTGTTTATGCTGACCGAGCCCTGATCTTGCGTCTGCATTGTTCTGCACAACACTGCATTGGCGATCAGATGTGATAACCATGTGCATTACTGTACATACGGGAGATCGATGCAAGGCCCTTCTGCATGAAAGCTCAAGTCACATACCCAATGCAGAGTCACGCAACAGACTTAGCTGGAGATGGAATGTTTACTGAAGAAATCAACTGATTCACTTCTGACAATATCCTCGTGTCCTCCCTCCACTGCTGTTTTTCAGGAATTCACATTCCCCACTCACATCAACAATAAACATTAGGGGCTCTGTGAGACCAATAACGTCTCTTGTCTTACCAGCGGATTGACAACCATCACCAACTTGCCCCTGGCGCCAGCCATCACCCACCAACTCGTAAAGGACATTGCTAAGTTGCTAACTAAAGGATAAACGGCGCTCCGGCAATTGTGGACGCTTGAGCCTCTAGGTGGACTTTCGGCGCCGCCGTTTCGCGAGGACACGGCCCATTCAACGTCATTTTTAACATTGCAATGCTATTGCCTCCACTTGGCTCGATGATGGCTTGACCATCAGGCCTTATCAAAACACAGCAAACTGGTTTAAATGCGGAAAAGTTAGCTCCGAGTCTAGAATCTCAGGGGCCAGGGCATCGTACGTGTATAGACATTGCTGTCCCTGATGGAAATGTGAAAGATTGCCATTGTACATGTGCGATCCCCTTGAGTCCAAGGGTGTCAATTGAGTCTTCAAAATTATAAGTGTGGCTTAACAAGACCTGCACCAACGTGTTATTCAAGCAAGACAACAAATTGATCATGTCTCAAGACGAGCACTCGTCCGCCTGTTATGATTCAATACCAATTGCGGGTATGAGATTGACTCGATAGGACAAAGTCAACTTAGCTCCATGGGAGTGACAGTGTCCCAGGCGCGTGGGCAGCTGGACGCCTCGTTGGTCATGCGCCTCCTATGCTCACGTTTGTCGAGGGCCGATATGAGACAATGGCTGAAGCAAATAACCCATCGACTCAAAAGCCACGGCGATCATGATAACTCGGAATTATTTCCTTATTCTGCGGGGAAAATCCAGCATTCCAGTCTGGAGTTGTCCATGTTGCTTGAGAGCCTAGAGAGCCTCAAGATAGGACCCTTGTCCGCCCGCGAAGAGAGCCCAGAGTTTGTTTGCCCCTTCTTCAATTTGTGGCTGTCGACAAGCACACTGCGGCTTTTGAGTTTAGGGCTATCGCTAGAAAAAGCAGTTCGTGCATTGCGTCAGCTCTGATGGTGAGCACTAGGCACATCTTTCTAGAGCCTAGCTGCCGTTTGAGGATGGTTGGTGGAAATTGGACTTGATGCTCAGAGAAAATGCATTGTGTCGACTGGCTGACGAACCCTTCAAGATGTTCGCAAGTCGGCAGGCGAGTGGGTTGCTGAATGAAAGCAATGGCAAATTGACTGGTTCACATGCTCAAGTTGCTTCCTCTTCATATCCATCCAACTGCATCTGCAGTCAGATGCTTGAGAAACACCAGAGATCAAGGGATATCCTAGTATAAGAGAACTCTGAAGGAAGTGGGAAGAAGGAACAACTCCGCTTTTCTCGACAGTCTCGTTTCAGGTATGAGTTACGAGAGTTCCTGAGATGGTTTCGGTCTCTGGAACAACCCGATGCCAATGCTCAAGGAAACAGGTTCACGAGGATCTGGGCTGAGTACATGTTTGTCAGCGTATTGGGCCAGGCAAAAGATATCCAGTGGCCACGAGCCAGCCTTATCGAGACAAGCGAGCACTAGAAGCAGGGGTGCAAGTTAAGTTTCTCTGCATCGCGGGCCATTGCCCCAACACGAGGAGGATCTGCCTTTGGCGTTCTGGGAACTTGGTGTGAGTGCAAATTCGCATCTGGAACATCTGAATGGTGCCCGCCTTGAGGCGAGAGATGCTCCAAGTCCAAGATGCCTCTAGTTCTTGAGCTGGGCCCCACTATCAGACGCAAGCGCTTCTTCGGATCTTGATCGAAAAGCTCGTCGACCGAAAAACATTCCGATACCCATGACTTTCGGCGACGGTGGAGGCATAATCTCATCAAATCAGGTCAATCGTTTCATCCGACCCCTCAGTAAATGCGAGCAAGGGGCGGCCAGCTGCTCCGCTTTCTTCAGGCAGAGCGGCAGGTTTATTCTGCAGATCATTGGGTTTTGTATGTGGTGTGGTGTTGTTGTTTTTCTTGTTGTTATTTACGTTTATCTATTTATGGTTGGTTGTGGCTAACACAATCTGTGTGGCAGGCCTCATCTTCTGACAGCCCAGTCTTCAATTTATGGTACTATTGTTGATTTCAGAGATAGTGTTGTTCTAGATCTGCAAGGGACGTTTTCTACACGTGTACCTAGTTTCTGGAATATTAAAGCAGAATTTGATATCAGAGTTTGGGTTATCTTGGTAACTTATGCTAGTACATATCAACAAACTACTAATATAAGTGCGAATAGGCTGAGACCAACTTGGAAGGGAGCGAAACATTAGCTTCGGCAACATGGACAACCAAAGTCGTGTATTGTACAGAATGGGGAGATTTCAGAGAGCCACGAAAGGTAATTGCCATGTCTACTGGTATATCGTGCTTTTCATGTATCATCGGCAAACATTTGTCTTGCAGATGCTAAGAACGGCCCGTGTACCCCGGAGCACTACCCTACCAACTTAACCATTCTGAACCATGATATTCACTTTCTTATATGCAATGATGGAACATGATGTGATCATGAAAGCCTTTGAAAAAGACAAATAGCCTTGATTGCATCCATCGGACTTTCTTCCACTTGAACCCTGCGCCACCTTGTCAATGGCAAGGTCCCTGAAGTTGGATCGACAAACTTTTTTTTTTGTTTGCTCGTCTCTGTTCTTCATGCGTCAATAGTCCTAGGTACTTGGCGTTGCACATGATAACCCAGGGCGGCCGCAGACTGATGGACGTGGGACAAAAAGGCGAGTTGCTCATGCTCACACGCAGCTTCTCATGTTCGTTTGGCCATTGAAAGAACTGCTGGCCTGCGGTTATTGAAGGCCGAGCACGCCATGGGTAATATCGAGTGCAGTCCCAAGGAGGAAAGGTGCGGAGGACAAAGCAAGCTGAAAACTGTCACTGACCTGTAATTGATACTAATTGCATGCAGGGCCACATCAAGCAATCGGGGAACTTGTTGCAGGTCTTGTCGCGAATTGGCTAGACAAGTACGCGTGAAATGGCGAACTACTCCGGAGGATCATACTGTGGTAAGGAAGTGTGTGTTACTGTCGAATGACTGGCTGGAGTTGAAGACTTGTCATTGGAGTACAGACAGCATCATCAGAAATGCCAGTCAGACAGATCTCAGGCGGTGCAATTATAAGATGCAAGATACAAAGTCAATGGGAACACAACCCCTATTTCCGTGATTGGAAATGTTATAAGAGTGCTGTCTGGTTCAGAGCAGACTTCAATGGACGTATGCTGACATGTTCTCCTCTGTAAGCCTCGCGAATTGATACCCTATTTAGCATCTATTATGCCCAGGACCCTCTTCATAATCATCAATCCCTTGAACATTTGTAAGGGTTTGTTGATAAACAGGGTCGCTGCCAGGGCCGCGCCTCCAACCCGGAACGGCCCTGTGAGACAACAGGGGGCGAGAATACATAGCTGTACACGTTGTATGATGCAGATGAGGATTGATCGTTGTATCTCATCCCCCCAGCTGCTCGATGGCGAGAGGCATACGCGGGAACATCAGTCTTGCAGGCGGACAGCGTCACCAGGGCCCTGTGACAACATCCTGGTGATACCAACCTACAGTTGTGGATAGCCTATGCTGTTATGTGGCAGAGCAAACTCCAGGGCCCTTGGCCTGTGTTGACGTTGAGCAAGCAACGGACAGGGCCCGTGTATTATGTTTCTCGGTCTCTGAGTCTACGGCAGGGATCTCGTGCTGCTTTGCTTTGTCCGTTCCGGGGAGTCTCCATCCCGTTGTGACCCCCGTCGTCGTCACCTCCGGGGCCGGGACGAGACGAAGATAGCGAGCGAGCGATTGAGCTCGAGGATCAAGGGCAGCTCGATGAGATGCCCTTTTGGTGGAGTATCTCGACTTCGATCCTGTATTTTAGCGTTGAAGATCGAATAAGCAGCTCATTCTTCGTTCAGACCACCCGCTTTCCTGCGCACCATCTGACTTTGATGCAGAAATGCCGCTGTAGGGAGAGCCCGAGATGCAACCCCCGGAGGAAGCCAAGGAATCCCCTGGTGAAGTAACCCGTCCGGAGCTCCATGTACCAGGGTTAACGGCCACAGGGCGGTCGTGTTGCCCACTCCAGTCGTAAAAAGCATACCAAACTTCATGGCCATCGATCGGATACAGGTCGAGACAATTAAAGTTGATATTCCTTGGAATGGTAAATAACGGGTGGCCAGCCCGCAGGCGCTAGATAATAAGCGTTGCATCTTTCCAGGATATTGAGATTTATGTTTGAGACTTTGAGACGTGATGGATCTCGTGTAGCTGCTACAGTAGCTACAACAAGACAATTGTAGTGGATGTTAGGTGAGCAATTGCATTTTGATCAAGATGCGCTGTGTCGAACCAATTTCACCAAACTGAAGCCGTCCCCAAGTTTAGCAAGACTATCATCCACCGGAGGATCCTCATCTTGACCTTAGATCCGATGTACTAATGCTAAGTCAGTGTCTATGATATCAGATTCAGGCCATTGAATCAACTATTGTATGCAAGTCATGTTAATGTTGGCTGCCCTCCACTCAAAATAGCAGGTCTAATCTCTCTTGCTGCTCAGCGCTTGAGACGTGCCCCAGCCCAGACCCAATCAATTCCAGGTTTCTCCAGGCACTCGCCATATCTGGGCGCAGCGCCGCAGCGGGCCACCTGCAGTCTTGCTTGCACTGGACTGCCAGGGATGAGACACGTTCAGTGGGCTTCCCGGCTTTACAGGAGCCCTGAGGCCCGCAACGGCGCTAGATGCTCAGTGGCTACGTCCGCTAAGAAGAGACAAATGCAGGACCTGGGTGCCCTGGCTTCCCGTGGAGTCGCGGTCTTGATGTGCATCCCTGCAGAGACGATCCGTCCTCACCTAAATCTCACTTGTAATCTCCAGGTTGCAGGTAATGAAAAGCGTACGATTCGAGGGGCTCAGGGCAGTCTTTTTTTATTATTATTTCCTCTCCTGTTGTAATTGCCCAGACTTTGCTTTCGCCTCGGGGCTAAATTCGACGTACAAAGCTACCACATAACTTGCTTTGCTGTAAGGGCATCCAGGAGAAAACAGAACAGGGCAAAAGAAGACGCTCCAAAGACAACGCCAAGCTTCTTTTCGACGTCAATTATTTCCAACTAAATAGTCTCTCCCTTTTCTACTGCACAAATCATTCGTTCTATAGGCTTAGGCGGTCCAGGTTCTCCATTTTCCATCTCCCCACTATCACTGGCACTAGCACTGAGGTGCACTGTCGCTAAAAGGTACCTACCTACAGAGTACAGTACCTACGCATCCGCGGCCGCAGGTGCCAGCCGAGTTTTGTTTTCGACAGTCGCTCCCGCGACCTGGGCCTAATCAACCTCAAACTCTCAGCTCAGCCCAGAAGTTTCGTCTCTCATATCCTTTTCCCAAGCCCAAGCCCTTTCCCCGTCTTTCTTTTAAACCCCCTCCAGGACGTCAGAGAGACACAAGCGACCGACTGACGCCGAGGTTCTTCGGGGAGAGAAGGCATCGATTTGCTTGCTTGCTTGCAGTCTGTTTGCTTCGCATTGTTTTGTTTGTTCGGCCAGAATCAGGTTTCGCCTAGCTTCTTCCCGACTTCGCATTGTTCTCCGGGACTACTCTTCCTTTCTCTCAAAGTCGGGGGACCTTTGGAGCGCTTGGGTGTGTGGGTTACAACGGCTTCTCCTTAAGCCTTCAGGTTTGTCGCCTCTATTGAGATCTCTCAGGTCCATGGCTTGAACGACGATGAGCATCACCTCCGTTTCCAGCACCGCCATCCTCCGCCTCTAGAATGCTAGCCGCTGCATTCTCTCTCTCGTTTGAGTAGAGCGTCGACTTCCCTCGCAATGGAAGCTACTATGCAGACCGTTCCAAGTGTAAGTTTGTTGCTAGCTTTGTCCTCCCCGCAAAACCAATCCACAATCACATCGAATCCAACCAAGGATCATCACCACCACACCAGCCATCACATGGCGCTGTTATAGACTTTAAACTATCCCACCCCAATTCTGCCCTATCCTACACTTTTCTTGGATCACCTCAAACCCTCTTTCTAAAGTGGCTTACCCACCATCTTTCCTGTTGCAGCAGTAATTGACCGTGTTTATCTATTCAGCTTGTTGGAACCGGCACTGCCATCGCTGCAGCGGCCAGTGGTTTGGTTTTCGGCCAGCCCACCACTGAACCCAACTCTTTCTCTCACCCGACTCGACGTCCTTCTCATTCCAGACGAGTCTCGATAGACCGCGAGCCAAGCAAACAATCACAATCGCCTGGCGACTTTGCTTCCACACGGCCCGCTACGAGCAACACCGCTGCCTCTGCTCTCGGCGCCTCGCACTATCACACACTCCCGCGCCCAACTACTGCCTCGAGACCTCCCCTCTCCCGTTACCAGCGACCGCCTATGCCACAGACACAGTCGACTCCCCCTCCTCTGGCTATCAGCAGGAACTCTTCGTTTGTGAGGCAGACCGACTCTCCAGCTATTATCCCCGAGTCTAGAGACTCAATCTCTTCCAATGGATCTTGGATAAGGCGTCTCTCCATTCGCCCACTGTCTCGTCACGAAAGCACAAGGTCGAGTATAGGTCCCGACGCGCCTTCCATCTTTTCCCACGGTTCAGCTGCACCCATCTTGCGCAATCCTACAACAGCAACACTCCCCCCAAACAAGCTCGTTAAGCGATCTACCTCAACCCGCATCGATCCAGATCCTTTACCGCGACGGCGTGCGAAGTCTCACTTACAGATCCTACCCGTTCTTCGCAGACCTGCTACGAGCCATCAGAGGTCTGCAACACTACAACAATTTCGACCCGATTCTGCGCTGAATACACCAACCGATTCGAACAATTTCTCGTTCGACGACCCATCACGACCCCACGAGTTCCTCGCCCCATCCCCGCTTGAGCCCCCCTCCAGATCGGCATCTGCAAGGAGCGGATGGAAGTCGTACTTTCACTCTAAAAGATTAAGTATTATCGGACGCACAGGGTCGGGTAGGTTTGGTGAGTTGAGTCCACATGGTCGAGCAATCTCCTCGAGGCGCATCTGCATTGAGAACGACGAGCGCAACAGAGTTCATCTGGTGAAACCAAGAATGGTTTCAGCGGCATCTGCCCCTCGAGGTCTATTGCCAGCTGCACAAATTCAACCAGACACTTGCACTCATCAATCTACTGCGGAAGAAAAAACTCCATCTCCTGAGGGAACTCCTTCCAGGACGCCCCGCAAGTCGATCTCAATGCCATTTGCATCTGCAGGAAACTGGGCGGTAAGGACGACGGGGAGCATCCGGCGCTCTAAGCGCGGTACTGAATCCGGGATCGGGAATAAGCGACATGTGTCGGAACCACTGACTGGCGCGCAATCTGGCGCTGAACCTCGAACCAATCCGCCGCTGGAATCAACCCTCCCCGCACCATCACCATTATCGGGCCGGCAGGGGTCATTCCTGGGTTCAGCTGCTGCTGTGCAGTTGAAAGGTCGTAAAAGGAATTCATCGTCACCAATCCCCACGGTTCCAAGACTTGCAAACTTCAATGTGGATTCGTCCCGGTTAGGGTCTTCTGCTGGAGTTTCCACTCACCAGGCTCGGCCTAACCAACCCTCCGGAAGTTCTACCAGCTCCACTGCGATGTCACAACTTAGGGCACCGCAGCACGACAGGACCTCCACCACGGAGAGCTCTGAAGGTGACACCCGGGATTGCACATCGGGGGATGACGATGACACGGATTTCAAGAGTGATACCATGTTTGACTCGCTGCGCACTGTTGGCTCCGGTCGTGCCCGTGCTGTCGAGACCCCCTTGGAGTCCATGTATGACGAGTCACCACCAAGCACCGCCGGCAATGGTACAAAGACGAAGCGTCTCTCAATCCACGAGATCCTTGGCCGGACATGGGATGAGGATGACAAGATCATGGAGGAGGACGAGAATGCACCCACACCTGTCCGCACAGTCAAGCGATCTGAGGCATCACCACGCTTCAGGCTTGAGTCGAGATTTAACTCATCGCCCTACGATGTCTTAACCACTACGACCAAGGAGTACAGCAGGCTGTCCTTGGACGACGAATTTGACGATGATTGGGCTAGGGATGATGAGTTTCCCTGTAACCCCTTATCACCTCCCTCCAAAGGGAGCTCACTGAATTCCAGAGGAATTAACCCTAATGTTCGCCTCGCCCTCGCCAATATTAGTGGTAATGGCGTTCCTGATACGAACGGCCACGATGCTACTAACGACCGCCCACTTAGCACTCTTTTCGACTGGAGCGAGCCCCCGACACACGACAAATTTGATACTGGACGGTGTTTGCGGCCAAAGACTGCTTATGCTAAGGAGATGGACTCTAGAGGTGGTCGCTCCGCCATACGCAAAGGTCCAACCCCAACTCATGTTCGAAGCCAGAGCGTCCCAGTGGTTCATGATGCCCCCGAAGATTCCAAGACTACCGGATCCAAGTATGGCACATGGGGCATGGGCACCAAGACAGTCAGCGAGGACTGGGATGACGATTTCGAATTTGGTGCTGGTCCTGTCGGCAGCAATGACAAGAATGACAAAATCTTTGCAGTACCAGAATCGATTCGTGCGACACAACCAAGTGTTAAGGCCCATTCTGGCCATATTCGAGAATTCTCGCTTCTTGTCAATGATTTGAAACGTCTGTGCCGTCACGGGCGAGATATGGATATGCTCGAAGGATCTCAGAGGCATCTCTGGAAGGAGGCTGATGGTATTATTGCTCTCGCATCCCCCGATGAAGAGTCGTTGGACGAGAACGATGATCGAAAGTCAACTTCATCTATCAACTTCGATGCATTCGATATTGACGAAACGTTCGGAGACGAAGGCTTCGATGCCCATTCCATGAATCGCCTCGATGCCGCCTTTGATGGTCACGAACCCGCTATGTCCAAAACCACTGTCGTTCGAGAACGGCACTCTCCCCGGCGAAGATCTGTCTTCTCTCCAGAAGACGATATTTTCGGTAACTGGCCTTTAAATGACAACCCCCCTTCCAACAGACCCAGTCGCCCTCGAACTCCTGAGAACAAGTACAACAAGGCTCATGATGTATCGGGGGTCGTTCGTTCTGTCATTGGGGCTATGCAACATCGTGCTCCCGAGCAAGCACCTGACAACGGCAAAGTTCACTTCGACACGAATAGCCTCAAGGCTCTGGTCAAGAGAGCCGGTGATTTACGAGATACACTGTCCGACATTGTTCGACAGGCTGATCAGATTACGCACAGCCCAATGAGAACACCCAGACATGAGCGCCAGCATGACTCGAGCCCTGCCTTTACACGGGTCTTCGACGACCCCGGTTCGAGTCCTCCTAGAAGAGTGGCGCGAAGCCGCGGCAACAATTCACTTGTGGAAGCCGCATCATCCGAAAACTCGCCATCTTCTGGCCTACCACAACGGATGCAGATGATGACTGTGAACTGACGAGTCTGCGTCTTGGTGCTCTGTTTTACCTGAGCGTGTACAAAACAATAATTACATGGAATTTTATTTGCATAGCGGTGGCCTTTGAGACTCGGGTTTATTCGCATACGTTCAAGGCTGGGAACTCGTTTCATGGACGATCTGTCTCACGCCCCGACATGAGCTCTTCCGACCGACTTGATCCATCTGGATTCTTCTCGTCTATACATATACTTTCAAGACGAACATTTGTCCATATCCTCGCTTCTGGTGAGCCCCAATGCCCACCGAAGCTAGATTTTGGACCGGATGGACCCTTGTACGAGGCAGAGCGCACTCGCCATACTATGAGCACAGCTCTTAATGACTCTTTATAAGTAATACGGTAGACGGAACACGAAACGTTGCGGCGCCTTTGCCGGTACTCGTTCGCGCGAGTATAGTTTACGAAGTGTCGGTTTTATTAACGAATTTTCTTGCGTTGTCCCTTTGTGTTTATGAGGAAACGTAATGTTTCGTTTGTTATTTTTTCCCTTTCTTTCTGCTGTTCTATTCTTGCGGCCCTGAGGCACGCTGTAATGCTTTGATGATTACTCAAACGAAGAGGGAAAACAAGCAGAGGTGGTTGCAAAACAACCTTCTTACTCGAGAGAATTCACGTCCCTTCGCTCGAGACAACAGACAGAACAATTGCTGCCTACAGAAGCTGCCTTTGAAAGGAGGAAATACCAAGCTGGACATACACGGATTAACAGCTATGAGGAAGACAAAAAGAAGAGAATCACGCAGGGGGACGCGGGACATGGGGCTGTTTGGGATACATACAGGTTCGGACAGGAAAAGAGCATATGGAGAAAAGGAGAGATGATTGAGTAAAGGCTACGTATAGCTGCTTTATTTTTTATTTTTGATGGCTTTGGAGATGTTGCATCGAGGGCGGCGTATAGTTTTCCAGCCCCAGCCTGCTGTTATGATGCATGCATGCATGGATAGAGAGGTTATAACGGACATGACGATTTACTGCCTATACTCTTGTAGTCTCAAGTTTGGTGATCCTTAGTCCATGTGATGTCTTGTGTGTGTCAATGTTGGAATTGTCAGTCGGTGGGTGGCTCAGAAGAAACACGTTGCAGAACCATGCCACAGGTGATAATGCAAGTCGTCGCGAGGGCATTTCCCTTTATATCAGCCTAAACACAAATTTATTCTTTTGAGGAACCATAATGGCATGATGGAATGGAGCTTTTCGGAAGTTGTGACATACGAAGGGCTTAAAAGTTGAGGCATATAAACACAAAATGCAAGGGGCTAGTAAGTGTATCGAGTCATTTATTGATATTTTAATCGATTTGTCATTCGAGTTCGAATGCTTAAGATACTTTTCTGAGGCTCAGGTTGACTGCGCCGTGTTGTTTGCTATTCATACAGCAGGCGTGAGCAAATGCACGCAATGAGACAAAGAAAACCCACCCGCGATGTAGAGACCTATCGCGTCCAACGCCAAACGGTTAAAACCAAATGCTAAGGCCAAGGCCAAATCAAGTCAAGCACGCTCCTATTTCCTCCAACTGACTGTTACTGCGGTTCAAATAGTAACATCATCCGCTTTGAAAGCAAGGTATAAAGCAATTTTATGCTATAGTTTCGCAAAATCATGTCCGAGAAATCTGATGATCGTAACGTCATGTCACACAACCCGACCCCAACCTAGCGGGGGTTGTCGTTGTTGCTATTTTCCATGCAGGGTTCCGTCACCACAGCTGCACGAATGACAGTCCCTTTCTAAGAGACTTGTCAATCCATGAACCGTCGTCCTTAGCCCCAGGAGCAGGAGACTGTGCGCGAACCCAAAGTCCCTGTGCACTGAAGTCGCGGGGAGTCTCGCTTGCGCCCGGGAGAAAGGCGGATGAGGACGAGCCAGGGTAGAGGGGCATCGGGGGGCGGGCCTTCTGGACCCGACCGCGCTGAGAAGTGCCAGATGCAATATGCTGCTTATCGAATTCGCTGAGTGTGGGCGTCAATTCGAGGAAGCGAGCAGTAGAGGGCTTCCAAAGCTCATCTGATGCGATGACAGGCTCACCAATGTCAGCACCAGGCTTGGACCAGAGCTGGTAGTTGTCGGAGTCAGGTGCGCAAGGATCCTCGGTGTCCATCTCTGGGGCCTTTCCAGATCCAAGTCTAATGGCCTCGTCCAAGGCAGCGAGCCACTCAGCGGGTGTAGCGGCAGGTCGGGACATCTCTGACTTGATGGAGGAAGCCCTGGTGAGAGCGGGCACGTCAGAAACGACGGATTCGCTATCAGTGAAAGACACAACCGAGGCAGTTCTCGGTCGGACTGTGGAGAGAGCAAGCCAATTGATCTCGGTAACATCCTGGCTAGATGCACGCACAGACCAGAGGCTATCTGTGTTGAGCTTCGGCAGAGATTGCTGCGAGATGCGCTGCTTGGGTCGGGTCTCGAGCGCTGCGGGGCTCTCGGACGTAGTACGGAAGTTGTTTCGGCGATGATTCAGGCTGAATAGGCCCTCCAAAACCAACGAATCAATCTCACGCTGCGACTGAACGGCGGCGGCATTGGCCTTGGAATCCCAGAGAGGGGCCATGTTCCAGAGGTGGGTAAATCCAAAATCGGGGAAGGCCTCTAGAGCTCTTCGTGGTGAGCGTTCCATACCCTGAGCAGCAGGCGCCAATTTCGTTGTGCGGTAGTCGGTGCGCCGGTGGCTGAGGCTAAACAGGCCGATCGGCTCTTCATCATCAATGGAAGCAGTAGCGGCAAGAGGCTCCCACAAGCCAAAATTGACCGCCGAGGTCTCGCTAGGTGTAGAGGGTTCGGAGCCGCTGAGCGAAGGTGCGGAGTTTGATCCGCTCCAGAGACCATCCTCGGAAACGATCTTGGAAATAACGGGGATGGCAGGAGTCCACAAGGAGGTGCTATCTACAGGTAGAGGCTCGGCCTCTCTAGGCTTTACTCGGGTAGCATCGTCCTCGACGACGAGATAGGTTGCCCAAGTTTCAGCATCAGGCTGGGGAAGACCGTAGGAGATCTTGGTGTTGAATGGCGATTGAGTCCACATGCCTGGCAGCGGTTGTGTGGTTCCCCAAAGTCCGAAGTTGTTGAAAGGCGCCTTCTTGACAGGGGCGGTCCAGAGCGAGTTGCTTTTGATAGAAGGCATGTCGGCCTTTGCAGGGAGGAGGCGTGCAGCCTCACCAGCAGGAATATAAGAGTTCCAGGTAGAGTCGTCGGGTTGAGGGAGTCCTTTGTTGGGACGTGAGACAGGGGTGCTAGGAGTCCACAGAGCCATGGAAATGTTCGGATAGTTTGTTGTTTGCTGAAGAGAAGACTGGGTGGGAATTGATGGAGGATACAACAAGTTAATAACCAAGATTTGTCGCCGGCGTGTCGGGGTTTCGGATTTGTAAATGACGAGCGGACTTAGCGGCTGCGGAGTCGGAGAGTCACAATCAAGCTTAAGGTCGGCTGGCTTAGAAATGGAATCCTCTAAGAAACGGAACAGAAGCGTTGCCTGCTGGTGGTGGTGCTGTTGCGGATGCCCTGCGCCTGGGGCGCCACGGGACTTAGACTCCCTGTCAGTGCAGGGGCCTAAGATGGATTTGGACGTCCCATGAGTGCCATTGCCGTCGGTGATTGGTGCGCCAGCCCAGTCTTGTTCATTTCGACCCACGTCCATCAATAAGCAACGAGCCATCAGCGGCACAGGCATGCTTATTGATGCAACTCGACCCCCAAATTGCGGCTGCTGGCGGACCCTGATTCGATTTTTCTCAGAGACGTGCTCCCGGAGATCCATATCCGCAATCGTCATCGCTATGGTGGTTGTTGAGGTGGGGGGAGCACCAACTGCTGTACCGGCTTTTGCGCTGTAATCTCCAGCCTGTGGGCTTTCGCTCTCGCTGTCGGCGTCTCCATCTTCGTCATACTTTACCTGGGTCTGTGTACGGAGACTTGTCCGATCATTGGCTTTGTCATCTCTGCCGCTGTCGTGCATCTGCATCTGCACATCCTTGGCATAACCATCCTCGGAAGTCTCGCAATGTTTCAAAAGCTCCGAATCTATGCCTTGTCTACAAAGAAAAATAATCAGCCTCATTCTTGACAATACCCAGGCCAAGCCAGACCAGGTCATTGTGGCCGATTTTTACTTACTCAGCAATTGACTGAGGTTTTAGTTCGTCCTCGTGAGAAGTTGATATTTTTTCAGGCGGGGCTCCGTGGAAATACGTGTCCGTTGGCTGGGGTACAGGCTGGGCCAGCTCGAAACAATCCTCATCGTCGCTATCGTACGTTTCGCTCGAATCGTAGTACTCCCCGTCATCCTGCTCGTAGTCCTCCATGTCAAACACCGAGCCGCTATGCTGCATCTGCGTCTGCATACCCCCATCCACCACAGGTTGATAAGTCATGCCAGGCATGAACATCGGTGTTATTGTCGCACAGTCTGACCGATCACCCCATGGGAATTGGAAGATCCCAAGTGTCCCGCGCCTATCAGGGAGTGGTTTTGGACTCTCCAGGATATCTGGCAGCATAGTGACACGTTTGATGCGACGCGGGGGGTTGCGGGGAGGCTTTGACTGCTGGACCTTAACTTCCACCACTTGGGTTTTGACTTGAGATACTGGCTGCCAAAGTCCGTTATTGGATACCTCGGTCTTTGATTCAGGTTTCTCCCAAAGTCTTGAGCTCTCAATCACGAGAGATCTCATGTCCTTCCTCACCGGTCCTCGAATTGACCTTCCTGGGATTTCCACTGGCGCGATTTCCCTCAGTGGCCTGCGAGCCGGGGTCCAGAGGGACGGTGCAGTGCTAGTGCTAGTAACCGCTTGCACGGAAGCTATGGGGCGCCACAGCACCATGGCCGCCTTGGCAGGACTGATCTGGGCGTGACCAATGACATCCTCATGATCTTCGGCGTATTCGCTCTCTTCATCAGTATCAGGAGGGGTAGGTGTTGCTAATGAATTCGTAAACCTGGGGTATGTCGAGCTAGCCGCCAGTTTTGTCCTGGACTTCAAGTCGGCCTGGGGGAAAAGCGCCAGAATGTCGTAGTCTGCATCCAGCTGACCTCGCTGCTGGGCAACCTTTGACAGGCGTGCACTTCCATACCCATATCGCGAATCTCGGCTAGGAGATGTTCCCACAGTTGATAGCGAATCACGAACGTGCATGGTATGGCGAATGGTTTGCCATTGGTGTTCCTGTTCGTTCAGCTCCAGTTCCAGATTTGTCAACAGTGCCAGTCTATCATTTTCCGCTATCTGATAAGATGAGCCTGGAGAACCAAAATCTTATCCACTGTTAGCGATTGCGCAATAGCAAATTCAGGTGAACTTACGGGTCCTGTCTGGGAAAATTCCCACCACATCCTCTTCAGAAAGGTCGGATTCCACGGGCGATGGCTCAGCGTAGAAACTGTCGGTCCGGCGGAGAACCAGCGGTGCTGGCGGAAGACTCCGACGCGGCTTTGTCGTGTATCCCCTGTCTGAGAAAGTTGCTGGACGGGTTTCCCCCACTTGTGATGGCCAGAAATGTTGTTTTGCGGTGAGGTGCAAGTCCTCGGCTCGTCGCAACTCCGATTCAGAGCCGACATTGGCTTCGGCAGATGGCTTGTGCACAGTCAAGGGTAAGGGCTCCTGAGGACTCTCATCGCTCGATGCTGATAGAGTCTCCGCAACTCGGAGTCCACTCTGTTGTTGATGTTTTGCCGTAACTGTTACCGTCAGGGCCCTCTGCACGTGGACCTGCATCGCAGGCGACCTGATATCCGCGTCAAGGGCAAAATCATCATCTCTAACCGTGGAAGGCGTGAGTGCGCTCAGGTCTTCAACTGGCAGAATAGGCGAAGATCGTCGACCGTATCCCTTTCCATGCGGGTCACGCCAAGATGAGCTTGTCGCAGATACTGGCTCATCATGAAGTTGAGCAGTTGTAGGCTGAGGACTCTTGGGAAATTGAATCGATGTCTCACCTAAAGTAAGGCTTGCTGGCGTCTTGGTGGGAGCGGTCAGAGTATTTGACTTGTCGATCTGTGGCTTGGCTTCATTGCGGTTCGGCTTGAACTCGATATCAGCTGGTAATATCGGTAGCTCAACCATAGATCGTGATCGTCGCCTCGTGATACGGTCGGTTTCGGTTGGTGTTGGGATGTTGGCATGTAGAACATTGGCAAATTCATTTAAACGAGATAAGTCGTAATTGATTTCAGCTGGTGTGTCATGCGGCTGTTTGAATCTCACGGAACCACACGACAGTGATCGCTTGTGGTGCTGGAGGTTTGGAGACCCTTCTGCTGGGAAGAGGGCGCGATCGATGTTCGACTTTCTTGGTATCGGGCGAGGACGATGAACCACTGACAATGTTTTTGCAGAGTCTTCTCTCTTAGCCAGAATCTCGTTCGCGTTGCTTCTGGGAATAACGGCCAAAGGTGCTGATTTCGGGGGCTGATTTCGCATTGGCTGGTACGGGCGCGGTACTCTTGCATCGACGGGCAAAGAAAAGTTCACGACAGCTTCTCCTCCGGCTTTGGTGGGTGTGCGTGCTTGCAACGTGGTGGGAGTCGTACGAGGAAAGATTGAAAGGGCTGGCGATGGCAAATGTCGAGGAGACTGCCGAGGGGATCGTCGCCGGACTTCCTCCGTCCCCGGTGACAAGAAAGCTGAAGTAGTGGCGGACGCTGTACTCTCTGAAGACAAAGAGCTGTGTTGAGATTCGGCCAGTTTGACGGTGTCGGCCCAGTTCTCCTGGCTGGAAGCTGAGGTCCTGGAATTAGAGCTAGATCCGGAGCTAGATGTGCTCAAATTTGCCTGGTGCAAGATCTGTCGAGAGCTTTCAGGTTTCGTCGAGCTTGGCAAAGTCTGAGTTCTTGGTAGAGGGAAAAGTTGGCCTAGCACGGGAACACCACCCATTCCAATGTTGGCTTGCCCAGCAGCTGGCATCGTGATCAAAGGTAGCTCTCGTTTGGGTTCTGCGGGAACTGGCCAAGGTTTAGATGCTCCTGTGAAATCAGCTGCAGATGTTCTCGCTATCTCGTCATAACTCCTCGGGCGACGGATATCCGCACTGGTTATCTGTCGTGTGCTGAAGTCTCGCGAGGCATCGAAATCATTGACGTCCGCTGATTGTATGTGCTTTGAGTTGTCGGAGAAAAGTCGATCTTGGAACAAAGTGAGTATCCCTATCGAGTCAGCTTAATTCATGAACGAATACTTGAGAGCAGACCTACCGATTAGTATCAATAGACCTACTGAAGGCACAGTTGTTCGAACAACAATGGCCATGGGCTGAATGCTCAGCATCAAAGGAGCACTAGTCTAAGCATAGTCAGTTATGATTGTGCTCATCTGTCAGTCGTCTATACTCACTCCTGTCCATATGATCAAACCCAACACAACGAGAGCAACCGCTCGAGACTGACGAGGACTGATGGCCCCTCTTTGGGTCTCCGAATAGACACCGCGAGAGATAACTCTGATGAGGAGGAAAGCGACGAAAGCAGTGTCGACAACAGAGACGGTAATCCCAACCGGTAGAATGGACGTTTGGGTCAGGCAGATAGTATTCAGCTGTGGGCGCTGAATCCCCACGAAGACTCCTCCAAGAACAAGTCGTAAGACAATAAATCCTTGCATGACGCCTATCTCAGTGAGAGATGCAAGACTGTGGGTGCTGAAGATCCATAATAGACTCTGTTGTATGGACACTCGTGCGAACTGATCGAATGTTGATGCAAAGGTAACCATGATCTGACAGCCTGGCATAGAGTTGATATTAAGTAAAAAGGCGAAGAAATCGATTTGAGCCCACAGGGCTGAAGAAATAAGGAACGCGATGAGGGCCAGCCTCGGAGCATCTCGAATGATTTTGGAAGCACGATTATTTAGAAGAAGAAAGGCACTGGCTATACCAGCATGGGCGACTAGGCCACTGTTCTCTGGTTATTCGATCAGTTCGTATCGTGGTAGGGGATGACTTACAAAGTAAAGGCCGCAACCAGGGCCTGACGGTGATTGTTCGTCATGAAAGCGACATTAGTATTAGAACGAGTGTAACGAAGAGTAGATGAGGCTAGGAAAGTGAAAGGAAAACGAATGAGATCTTGGGTCAACCAAGACGCATACTACTGCACGTAGTTCAGCGGTATGTGCGATTAGAAGAGAATAATGGCGAAAAAGGGAAAGGAGAGATGGAACGAAATGCGATGCAACGATGGGAAAGTCACCAGAGCCGTCAACAGATGGGGACAATACTTTGAAAGGCAGAGTTGCGCTTGCAACACTATATCATGCTGGGTTTCAGCCGAAGGTCTTGGGTCAAACTGGCTTTGTTCGAGCTCACTCGCGTAGTCGCTTGTTTTGTGGCGCACAATCCGACATGATTGGGTGGAATGGAGATATCATGGTGTTTCGTCAAGGCCCAATGTAGCATCTTCCGTTATGAAACTGGAGTCGTCGGAGATGGCGGCTGTTAGGGCAATACTGAGACGAGGCTCCAGACTGGACTCGGCGCTTGACACAAGCCGGTCCACTGTTGAACTATAACAGGCATAGGCAATAGCATATTGATGCCATAGGTATGAATAAGAGAGGGAGCCTGCTGGGCTATAACCGCGAGGGTTGAGCTATTCCATGGATCAGACTTATTCGGGCGTGACCGGTTTGTTGAAACATGGCGAAGGAGTTTGTTTGACTTTGGCCGGGAGATGGATGCATCAACGAAACGCTTCAACTCATGGCAATAAAAGTAATAAAAGAGAAGAGAAATAACGCTCGTCCTCTCGCGTTCAGATGAATTAACATGACATCCCATTACCCGTTCGGACAGTGACCGAGACAAGATATGGCGGGGCAAAGGGAGGCCTGCTGTTGGTTGACCAAGTCGCCGCCCAAGGCATGGCACAACTTGCAGGGTGACAGGCACCCTAGACTATGGCGCATTCTAGGAGGAAGAGGGAAGAGACGAGAATGAGGTTATTGCCGAGGACATAGTGTAGTAGTGATTATGGGAAAGCGGGCGAGTTGGAGAAATAAATGGGCATCAATACTTTCTATATTCTCTTTCTCAGTGGAGCCTCACTCTTATTCAACCCGAACACGCCCGAATGACGACAAGGAAGAGGGAGGGGCCTTGGGCCTTTCTTTCCCGAACTGGACTAAAACACGGGCACTTGGATGCAGCCCGTTGCTACCCTACGAACTTCCCCGGATTTCTTGTAATAACCTTACCCAGCGGCTAACAACCTAAAGTCTGTGGTAAACTCGATATCCATCGTTCAACGTTTTGATAAACAGACGTCGACTTGGGAGGATGGTTAGAAGTCTTCTAACTGTTGGATAGGTCGATTGTAAGAACTTATTATCCGCAGAACCAGATCAAGAATGGCCATCAATCAAGTCACTACAACACGACTGATCTGCAGTAATTGATCACCCGACCGTCGCCAGCCACCAGTCCCAAGGTGTTGAATAGAGTTCTCGTTTGTAAAACAACGTTGAGTGTAAAGTCACGCAACAATCAACCTGGACAAACCCCCAGGTAAATGTCCTGACGCCAATTAGCCATTACTAATACCAGCCAAACCTCCGCGGTCCAAGCGTTCTCATTTTGGAACAGATGCCAAGTTTGTTTGTTTGTTTGTTTGTTTGTTTGTTTGTGTATTTTTCGTCTGGGTGGCTGTAACGAAGCCAAATCTCCTACTGGAGCAAAAGACGTGCTGAGCTAGCTAGGTACAGGATACCCCGCTTCCTTCACCATCCAGCATACCAAGGCACAAAAGGCGCTGTATTTTCTCGAGCCCGTCACCCGTCAGCGGGTTCGGGGGCATACTGTCGACTTTTTCCACCGACCAGAATTCTCTCACGCATCGCTACATCTGCTGACGCAGTCCACAATCTCCAGTAACCAAGTTGTAGCTCGTAGTCGTATGTCGTGGCGGCAGGGAAAAACCTTGGGAAGGAATCAGAGGCCGGCGGTGCGGCTTGCCTTCAAAGGGGAAAAACCCATCGCAATCGGCGTCGTTGATCGGGAGGATGTCGCTACCGATGCCACGGGCACCGTCCTCCGATATCTAAGGCGTTCTGGTTCTGAGGTGCCGCCATTAGATCCGACAAAGGTGTTGTCAGAGAAGGCGAACTCTCCAAATTCCTTCTCTGAAAACTGCTGTTAGGGAGCCGATAGCGTCCCCGCAGTTTTTGTGTGGTCGCGTGGCCTGCAGAAAATCCCGCTCCTAGCACCGCACTAACAGTGCGTGCCAAGAAAGAATTTTTACAGGAGAGAGTTGAACAGATGCCAAGTTAGCTTACAATATTGATGTATAGGGTAGGACATAACGTAATGTATTAACATCAGACTGAACCTCAGCTGTTCCTTGGTCGAATATCACGTTGAGCGCATGACAAAAGCTGCATTGTGATACCCAAAAAGAGAAAAGTCGGTCCCTCTCCATTGTCCTTCCTATACCGTCCATGGCCGGTCCTCCCGGTCACCTGCAAAGAGTCACAACCGGGCCGGAAGATCAGCCTTAGACTGATATCGGCAACTTCAGCCTCAAACTCCACAGACCAGTTAGTCATTCATCCCGCAACCGCCAAATATTACTCCATCCGTTCAAAATCCTCATGGCACACCCTATCAGAACCTGGGTATAGCCAAGATTGATTCCAAATGAAAAGCTAATCATCAGCTGTCAAACTCGGGACTCAACCTGCAAGACCCCATACGCAAATGCAGCTACCGGCATACGGCATGCGGAATTACTACATTCAGATTCATGATATGTGACTCGCCAATTGGATTATACGTAATGGTCAGATGCCACAGTTAGCCGCACCACCATAACCACTGCTAGCCAGATGTGGCTGGATATCTTGAAAGTATACTGTCATGGCAGTGACATCGAGAGGCGCGCAAGTGCTCTACATTAGCTGGTATTCTTCTCACCAAGTACACTTCAAATTGCTCGGACTAATGTACCGAATAATTATATGACATGATACCGTATCTCGGCTCCGATACGACGACTCACATCTGCTTGGCTGTGGGATCTAGAATGATGTATGAGTAACACGACGTAAATCCAAGTATAAGAGGTAGAGAAATCACCACAATTAAAGGCATCGCTCATTACAGCCAAGCTCATTCCTATCTTCCACAGCATCAGTATTAGCATCAATCACAATGGGTCGATTCGATCTCGAATATCCCAAAGAGGCCATCAACACCGTCAAACGTGAAAACGACCGCGGTGTTTATGCCCTAAAGACAATTCACCACATCATCAACACTTGCCAGATCCTCCATGTCTCTTTCAACACACCCACCCAATCCTTCCCCGTCATCCTCCCAATGATCGGCCAGATGGGCTCATTTGACCGGCCTAGCGCAGATATTGGTGACCCTCTGGACCTCTATCTTCACGGATATGTGTCAAGCCGTATTATGAACTTGGGCCGTAGTGCTAGTGACGAGAAAGGCATGCCCGTCTGTGTGGCTGCATCTCATGTTGATGGGCTGGTTTTGGCTTTGTCTTCCTTCCACCATAGCTTTAACTACCGCTCAACTGTCCTATTCGGCCACGCCGTCCTTGTAGAGGACGAGGAGGAGAGGATGTATGCCATGGAGCTCATCACTAATAGTGTGGTGCCTGATCGTTGGCGACACACCCGTCTCCCGCCGACCAAAGCTGAGCTTCAAAGCACTGGCATACTTAAAGTCAAGATCGCATCGGGAAGTGCCAAGATCAATACCGGTGGTCCCAGTGATGACAAAAGGGACATGGAGGATGAGTCGATCAAGGACCAAGTCTGGACAGGTGTCTTACCTATTCACGCAACCATGGGTGAACCAGTGGCTGGTCCTTACAACAGGGTAGATGTGCCAGACCACATTGCCGAATTCTCCAAGGATTTCAATGAGGACAATCAACAGTATGCGTTGAATGCTGCAAGGGACCCCAAAAAGTAGGCCGATAGAGTGGACAATTCAAATGTCTATTATGTGATATATCCAGGAACAAGTTGTACCTAAAAAGGCATCTAAGTAGAAATATACACAATGATACGAAATATGTGCAATCAGAACATATACAACATAGATATGTGTCTACCACTGCTCCCAGATCGTTCCAGGTAGCACAGATCGCATGATCTTCCAGTGTCCAGCAGCGCTGTCCTGGTGCCACTTGGTAACCTTGCTCGTTTCGTTCTTGTTGAGGACATCCGTAGCCTCATCTTCAAGGAAGACCTGCTCCTTAATCTCATACTTGGGCAATAGCAAAGCCTGCCGAACTTGGCTTCGGAGGAAATCCTTTTGCTTGGGATTGCGGAAGGTGACCTCTCCGGGGGTCTTGCGGCAGAAGATGACCATGTTGGTGAAGTCGCTTCCCCACTTCTCGACGTTGGCCTCGTCTCGTGGGCTCTCACGGAAGATACGGCAGGAGGGGAAAACCTTCTTGATGGTGCGGTAGATGAGCTGAGGTGTAGGAAGGCCAAAGTCACCAGCATAGTTCTAAGGGTAATGTCAGTGCATGGCTTAAGTTAATGCTCACTTTACTTACAATAGCAATGACTCCATCATCCTTCAGCAAGTCTCCCAATCCTTGGAGGAACTCGAGAGTAAAGAGGTCAACAGGCTCAGCACCACCAGTGAACACGTCGTGAACAATGTAGTCATAGGTCTTGGATTGCTTCACCAAGTCAGCTGTATAAGAGACAGCATCGGCGACGGCAGCAGGGTGGTTCTCCCGAAGATCAAAGTATTTTTGAGCGAACTCATAAACCACTGGATCAATCTCAACCACGGTAGTGTCAATGCCGTGAGAAACAAAGGCAGAAGGGGTAGTTCCAATACCAAGGCCACTATGTCATGTTAGTGAGTAATGACGAAGCACAAGAACGGGGACTTACATAACAAGGGCGCTAGCTTCGCTGTCAGGCAGGGGAGCCTCCCGCTCAACAAGACGGACAGCTTCGAGCATGACGAAAACACCGTAAATCGGCTCGGACACTCTTCGACCATTGAGCTGAACCCACTGACCTCCAAGAAGACTATGATCACAGCGCATTACACGGTAACCTCTCTCCAGGCTCTCGATGACTGACACATAGCCAGTCAACGACTCGCGGCGCTCCAACAGTGTCCAATTCTGAGCTGTCAAGGTACTGTTAAGAGCTTCGGTAGCCATGGGTGTCATAACGTGGGTGTTTAAGACTGCCGTGTGTAATAGCGCAGGGATAGCCAAAACGAGATACTTGGATGGTGCCATAATAGCATAAATGGCTCCCAAGACAAGCTCAATACCGACACGAGTAAACACAAAGGTACTCCCAACAACACCCTGCAGCTTCTCCATGGACTGGTTCTCAGCAAGTCTAAACAGACCCCACGAGACAATGCCAGGCGCCGCATCTGCGACGAATTTGGGCAGTGCGCTCAGGTCAGCGTCCTCAAGAACATCGGCCACGGAGGCTGCCGAAACGATGGCCAGGGGGAACAAGGTGAAACCCTCGATAATGAGAGGACCCCACCAAGAGCCAAGACGGTCAGTGAAGGTCCCGAGAAGAAACTGGATAGCCGGGATATTAAGGGCGATGACTGGGAGAAGCTGAGAAGTCGACATAGGAAGAACCATGCGGAGCATCAAATTGCCGGCCCAACCGATAAAGCAAGCCGCCTTGAGCGCAGTTGTGTGCGTGACAGCAGAAGGGATGGACCCAAAGATAGGGGACAGGTTGAGCTGCGACGCGCTCGACGCGACACCTAACAAACCGAGAAGCAAAAGAGTCTGTAAGTAAACAAGCGCTTGACCCATGAACCGCTTCGCAAAAGTATCTTCCTTGGCCTTGGTCGCAAGTTCCTTGAGTTCCTTTTCAAACCGTTCTGGCGTGAAGCCTTCAGGCGCGCCAGTCGCCTTGGCCGATTGGCCGTCCTTTTTGGGAGCCATTATGAGATACGAGGGCAATTGGTAGACAAGAATGTACAGGAAATACAAATCAAGATATGAATAAAGAAGGGAAATAGGCAAGAACGGTCTGACCCGGCGGTTCAAATGGCCTGCACTTGAAGCTCGTTGACAGTTGGTTGGTTACAGATGAAATCAAGCTCAATTAAGGTTGACGTGGCGGGAAACCGTTTTCTTTATTTGGATTCTTTGTGGCTGGTGCAGTGGCTCAATTGAAGTGTGGGACCACGTTGACTGGTATCTGGAGAGCATAGGCTTCAAAACCAGTGTATCAACAATTCTTCTTATACACGTAATAACCTTCTGTCTACTTAATTTGCACTTATATGATATACACTCATACTCAAAGTCGTGTCCCACCACTTCACCTCATGGTAGTATCTATCTAAACATTTACTATCTTGCATGCACAATGTGACATTAGCCACTCGCATAGCAATCCCCTCGGATTGAAGCTGTCACTACTACAATTACCGTGCTAAGTATACTTATATGGCTGTTATAGTTGACGAGATGAGACGAGACGATACAACATTCTCTGGAGCCAAATTATGAGACTCAACGTAACTCAACTGCTAGTGTTGCCATTCCTCGTATTATACGTAATTCATAAAAGTCCAATCCAATCTAACTGATCATGCACACCTTGCTTTATGCAACTCTGAGTTCTCAATGCTCGTATCCCCAGTATAATGCGCCCTCATGCTATTCCGTCATGTCCCGAGCCCCTCCAGAGGGGCCCCGAACCAAGGTATCATTCATCAAACCAAGCCCAAATGATCAGAAAGAAAAAATAACCATAATAAGGCCCAAAAGGATGACAATATACCCATGCCAACTCCTCAGCCCTACCAAATCGCAATGCAGCAACGACAGAAACGCCTGAACGATGCAAGCCGTGGCAATATGTTCCATAACAACACCTCTGATCGTTCCTCGACCATGGTAGTTGTCTGAATCTCGGGAACTTCCTCTTTTAAGTGTATCTTGTTCCCGTATCTCCCCCAATCCTTACATCCGTGTAGGATAGTCTTCCATGTCATCGTCACTGCTGTCTATCTCCTCCTCTTCTTCCTCATCATCCGTCCGTGGACTATACATGGCGCTCATTTCTGGCGCACTGGGCCTGGTGCCCAAGCTGTCAAGAATGCCACCACTGAAAATGGGTGGCGCGGAAACCGAAAGGTCCGCATGACTCCCATTCCTACTCATGGAGGGTTTTTCGGGGAGCTGCTTGAGCAGGCCCGTGGAGATATCCAACATTGTCATGGCAAACTCAGTCAAACCCTTGCCTTCCCCAGGTTTCGAGCTAACTGAGAGAGTCCATCTATACTCTCCCAAACGTCTTCGATACCAATCCGCTTCCTCGCGCCCAGGTGATGTTGCCCAAAGGAGAGATCCAAATGTGCCAATCAATGCAAAGTTAGTCTTGGAAGCGAAGTACCAAAACGAACGCAAATGGTTGGGTCCAAGTCTGTTGACAAAGTCCATGGCAGAGATGAGGCGTGCTTTGGCGGCACTGCGACAGATGTGCTGCACGTATGAGTCGACAGAGCTAGACGGAGAAGCCAATGATCGGATGATTCGTCTATGGAGCGTAATTTCGGCCGCAAAGTATGCCAGATGGAGATATCCAATACTCGACAACCTGTTTGATGAAGGGTTAAGAGAAGAGTACGAAGAGTCGAGGCGAATCAATTGCGGTAGGCCTCCGTACCACTCCTTCAATTTGAGCTGAATGGGTTTCGCAAGCGACAAAACTAGCTGCGTCCCTTGTTTACCTGCATTTGCAACCGTGTTCATGGCTTGCAGAGTATAGAAAGTGTCCAGAATTTCGGAGAGTATTTCCGAAAGTTGTACCACTCGTGTAAACAACACCCTTCCCTTCTCAATATCGAGCTTCTCCTCCGGGTCGTTCTCGTCCCATTCGACGTCAGGAAAGTCATTTGCTGTTAGAGGCTGAACGCCCCAGTTAGTAGCAAAAATGTGTGATGGCCGCCCGTGAACGAGGGCACCCCATTTGTCCTGCATGTAAAGTGCCCAAGCCAATCGTTTTCTCAGGCCCTTCTCCCACGGTGGTATTTTCCAACCAGTACAATCCAAGTGCAACCCCAATTCATGACCAAGTGCAACAAGTTGGGCGGTAGGGGCCCACTGGTCACCCTCGGGCCTCTGGGAAAGAAGTAGACCGGCCTGAATAGTTGAAAGCTTGGGTCGAAAAGTGGCTTCATCAAGAGTTGTACGGACGATGCTCTCGAGCTCTCTAACATTGGGTCGTGGCAAACCAGCCAGTTCCTCACTTTGGTCCCACCAATTGATGGCAAGGATGTACACAGCTGCTAGTAATGGTGGTGAAAACTCTCGGTAAGATCTTTCATACTTTTCCATGAAGACATGTTTTTGGATGATAGGAAATCCTGGGTGCACGACTCGAAAGTATATGTCGATGAGACGTCTGCCGTGGGGTGCCACGATGGATTCGACATGATCGGCGTCTTGCGTCACATGTTCGTGTCCTGGAGTGCTGGAGTCAGGAAGCATCAAGAAAGTATCGTGTTCGCTGACTTTGCGAAGAGTGCCTCTTGATAGTAGACTTTCGTCATGGGGATCAAAGGAGGAGAGGTTGATGAGTGAAGGTTCAAAGTCTGTAGTAGGACCAATGTACTGGCTGTAGCGATCATCCTGGAGGCCGAGCGTACGTTTAAGCATGGTCGGGCCGCCAACATTGGCCATCTCCTCCAGGAACGAACTGCTAGCGGCGGTGCTGGAAAGGCTTGAGTTATGGTTTCGTCGCCTAGATGCGAGACCCGGTGAACTGTACGAGGCCAATCATATGTCAGACAAAGGCATGCAAGGAGGAACACGAGTAAGGTGGAAGGTTATCAGAGAAAGGGAAAGAGTGTAGAAGGAAACGATAGACGCATGGGAAAGGCACGGGGCCTGGTGGAGCATTCAAGCCAGGATGAGTGTGGAGGACTCGGCGGCATGAATATGGAGAAGAATATGGATATGGAGAATGAGATGGGGATATCGGAATTGATCTGACCTTCTTTTCCCGATAATATCGTCACTAGCCTCACCATGAAGCTTCCTTTTTCGGGACTGAGGGCTGGATGAAAGGGAACATTCGGAGCCCGCAGCTTGGCACTGGATGCAACAGTCGTCGTCGTCGTTAAGGATGCAGTTGACGCGAGAGTACCGACATGATAGACAAGGTGGGATGGAGGAGGCGTTGAAGGATGAACCCTCAACGGGTGCAGAGCTGGCGACTCCGTGACCCATCTCGAGCCTATGGAAGCTGTCCTGGCGATAAGCAGATGGCTCTGGCCGAGGAGGTTTAGGAGCAATGGCGATAGGCGCCGTCCTCTGGACCGGGGCTGAGGACTGGGGAGACATGGTGGGAGAAGTACGGATAGATCCAGAACAATGTATGGAACCTCGATAACGCCGCAGGTCTGCCTGCTATCAGCAGAGCAAAACACCTACAAACAGAGGGTGTGTTGCTGTCAGGGCACAACCTAGGGCTTGAATTGTGCTACACCAGAATACCTTACAGGCGCCCGTTGCCCTGCAATAAACGGGCGCAAGAAGGTTGAGCCTCAGTGGCTCTTTGAGTTGTCAGCCTCCCGTCTCGGGGGTACAATGCAGCCCGGTCAATGCCAGTGCAGCAAGATTTCCGATATGGGTGGTGGTGACGATAGAGAGATAGTTTTTTTTTGGGATGCGATAAAGCCCCACGGGGTCGACAGTGACGCAATGCGGTTAGAGCTACGACCACTGAGAAGCGAGATGATAGGTAACGATAGCTAATAGAACCACGTTATCCAAATCGAGTTGATTGAGTTGATTAGAGTCACACACACGACACGAGTCAATGGTTGGTGTGAGATAAGAATCTGGGGAAACGGAAGACGGGATGTGATGGGATGGGAGGCGAGGTGATGCAAGGAAGATGAGAAGAAGGAGAAGGGAAAAAGATAAGAAAATGCCCGAGCGAGCAAACAAAGTGTGTAAGTGGTTGGCGAAGGAAGACGGGAACCAGCGCGAGCGAGGGCAAAGAGTGGGATCCAAGATGCTGGGATCCAATGTCAGGGACTTGCTGGGATGATTGGGATGGCGGGCGCAGATGGGCGCCGATGGAGTCGAGTCGGTCGACAGCGAAGAAGTGACAGTGACAGTGACAGAAACAGAAACAGAAACAGCCCAGACCAGGGGTGTTTTTTGGTTTATCTGATAAGGCTTCTGCAAGCGGGGAGAGGGTATTGACTAAGAGAACGATAATCAGGTTGAGAAATACCGAACTCGGTCCTTATTGTTGAGTCAATTCTCCTCTCTTTTCCCCCGTTTCCCTCTTGTCTTGCCTAGTCTTGTCCTGCTGTCCTCTCTTCGCCTACCCTCTCTGCAACCAATATTAGATGTATATATGTAGGTTGTAGAAGCGATAGCCCGGAAATTGTACGGCGATGATGCGGTGCGACACAACAAGCGAAAGCCTAGACAGACAGGACAGAGCACGATCAAGTACAGTACTGTTCAGATCGTCGGCGACGGCGATAACAGGTCGGCACAAAAGAAACAAAGCAAATTGAATGACAAAGTTGCTTGCCTTGGTACGCCCGTTGTGAGCTGTCAGCTGTGCTCTGGCTGGCTGATTTGGTGCTCCCACAGCCAAAATGTCTTGACTCTTGCAGGCGGGGGATCAAAGCCTGGGGAACCGGGGATTAGATTAGACTGGGTTTGGTTGGAATGCAGATGCAAATGCAAATGCAAATGCAAATGTAGGGCCAGGGTAGCGTCCTGAATCTCAATGCGCCGTCAAGTTACCCTCTGCTGTGACCTGATTCGATCCAGTATCGGCTTCTCTGTTTGGAGAAGAGATAATCCGGAGAAGCTGTGTGTAACAACCAACTGATATTGATAACAACGATGATAAGGATGCGCAGAGGCCAGTGGTAGACGGTAGAACCTGGGCTGGAGGCTTTGCCCTTGTCCTTTTTTTCTCTCAGGTAAATGCGAGATAAGCTAACAGACCTATCAGATTCGACGTCATCAATAAAAAAACGACCGACTGGGCCAAAATCAGCTACCTAGTCGCCCGACAGTGGCGCGATGGCCGGTTTCGCAGCCGTGAATAACTTATTTATATCAAAGTATAATTAAGAGGTGCGATAGCCGTCCGCTGCCTGAACTGTGTCTTTTGTGGCTGGGCAGTACCCGAAAGTGAATGAGGAGAGAAAAAGGAAGAAGAAGGGGAAAAAGGCAAAGAGGAGCAGAAAAATAGCAGAGTTGCTGCTACTGTACTAAATGATCATGGAGGGTTTTGGAGAAGGGACATGAAAGTGCAAAAAGACAGGCATGTGAGAAGGACGAAAAGAGAAAGAGTACATCCGGCTTGATGGTATTCCCCGCAACGCCAAAAGTACCTGACCAGGACTTCTCCCGTCAAAGGGTCCCGTTCTCCAGATCCAATCCCCAAGTTCCCCTCCGTCAACTTCGGGACAAGCCTTGTCAATTGGTGTCTAAGAGGCGTCCCCCCAAATTCGAAGCCCCCGGAGCATGTGCCGAATCAGGAATCTCGAACTTGGGGAACATGGCCCAGGAAGGGAGGTACTGAACTTCAATACAGATATTTCGTATCTCGACATCAAACGACCAAAGGGAACGCATCATCTGGGGACATTCGTGTTTCTGCTTGTGCACTTGGGCTGTCATACCCTCAACTTGAGTGGCTCTTTGCTTGTCCTCGCACGCAAATATACTAGGGGCGTAGTAATCAATGACTCAACAGACTGAAACATCAAACCTTAAGCCCTCTCATGAAGAGATATCCACTTGCTGCAAATCATATCCCCCAATATCAAGTCGCTTCCAATTTCCGACATGTCAAAGAGAGACACACGGACGGTACTTGGCGGGAACACAGCCTTGCCTGAATCATGGCCAATGCTGAGCCGTTACATGGCCCCAGTCATGTAGACGAAGACCAGCGTGAGCAATGGGGGATTTTCTCGGCAGCGGCGTCGTTGTCAAATGCCCAGGCAAAGACCAGCTCACTTTTTTCCTCGGCCGAGGAAAGAAATGGGCCACATCATGAACAACCCTGGGGTCCAGAGTCTAGGTCCGGGTCTGGTGTTGCTGTGTACTGTACATCCGAGCGAGTGAGGATGAAGGCAGTGAGAGTTGAATGGATGAGCAAGCTTATCTCTAGAAAAGCAGAGGAGATAGAAATACATAATGGCAAAAGATAAGTTAAATCAAGAAAAGAGGAACCCCCCAGCCTTCAGAGACATTTTTCTGCACAACCACATATGCCAGCTTTGAACACCATCTTGAGAGGAAACCTTGAGCTTGAAAAGTACAGTATACACAGAATCACCATGGAAATACACTTAGAAGTCGAGTATCTCATACCAGCTGACCAAGGGCGTTCCTCTGAGCCCATTACCAAATGGAAAACTATGTGTGAGCTTGTCTTGCCTCATTCTGCATGGTCCGGCAGTTGTTTTAACGTAATGGCTCGTCCGGGGTTGATTTACCGCTGCAGTCAAACAAGACGTCGTTACCCTCTCACTGCGTATGTATGTTAGCGGCTAAAATAACCTTTTGTCTCATTGGCAAAATTCCCGAGGTTCCTTACTGTTGGATTCCCGCGTCGTGATATGCCTCATCAGCTCCCAAAACACCGCAAATCTCCCCTATCTGCTCACTTTTGGCACCACCGGCTATATATCAGACCCGGTGCCGCCGCCGGCTACTTGGACTAGTCCGAATTACTCCGATGTTCGGTTCACAGCATGTAAACTCGGTGAAGCGTTTGCCAAAATTAACCTGTCATCAGTCAGTTATCTCCGGTTGCCAAGTGATGATCTTCTCGTCCCTCTTTGATGGCAACAATTCATGGAACAAGAAAACATTAGTCATATGGTCCCCAGTTTCATTCCACCAAACCTTTACACAGACTTTGGAAAGACGTTGAGATGGGCCCCGCACGCGACAGTTTCTTCCTAGATCTATCAGCTCAGAGTTATCAACAGATAACTTCAGATCCCTTGGAACAAATACGCTCTCTATGATTGGTCCATAGAAAGCCCTCCCATCACGATCCGAAAATGCCCCTTGTCCTGTCCCTGATCTTGGCTCAACAGAGACTCTACCCCTGTGCCGTGGGGGCTACAGGGGAATGTTGCCGGTCCTGTCCCGGCCCATCGCTACGCACGGGCCAATTTGTCGAGATCCATCAAACACTGATTCTAGAGCGAGCGATATCTAGAGCAAGAGCGTCATTGTTGGGTCCGGAGCTTCTGTCATGTTGGCCGTGACTTTTGTTGATGTGATGCCGACGAAATGCACGACCAGCTATACTATGTGACCGGCTATACCGTCCGATAACGGTCCAAACCTCTCCGTCCAGTCCGAAGCTCTGCTTTGACTTACAACCTCCGTTGATGTCATGTTGGAGATGTTGAGTCAAAGCTCAGCGTTAAATTACCCTTAACGTTTTGCCACGTGAGTGTGGGGACGATTAGCGACAACGTTGTGGCCTCGTCGGTGTAACTCTTTATGGCTTTCAGTCTCGTGCCCAAACCATAACTCTCTCTTCATAGTATTCAGTTGGTTCATCTGAGCCACGAGCTGGGAGCACCATATTTAGCTCTTCTCGTATCTGGAAGCCTAGTTTTCGGTAAAACGAGACCGCATTCATGGTAGCCTCGAGAATAACTGGTGCATTCTCCTTGGAGGCCTCAGCCTGCACTCGACGAAGCAAAGTTGACGCAGCCCCTCGGCCATTGAATTTGGGATCTGTGCAGAGATATGTCACGTCTAGGAAACGTTAGTGCCGAGTGACACATGGCCAAGGTAGCTTCGACCAAAATCCCCAACTCCATAGGTATATAGCGGTCAAGGTTTGGTCGTCGATATTCCGGCCTCCACTCAGCAGCAAATAACTCACGGTAATAAGTCTTGTCGCCCAGGACCTTGTCTCTCTTACTCTTAGTAAGATCCGCGTAGGGGCCAAGGTATTGACGACGGCAGAAGTCTGGGAACTCATCATCATCGGCTTCTTCTTCCATCTCTCGCGACCGCGGTTGCCGCTGAACGTTCCACTTAGCGAAACTCGCTATTTTCCCGGTCTCTGGGTCGCGTGCAACGAGGACACCCTTGTCGACGCTTTTGACATGATCCATAGTATCTCTGAAAAGCCAGCCTCGGAAAAACTCCTTGCTCTCAGGGTTGGGAAATTGTGCGTGCATCAACAAGTTGATGTCCATGGCGGCAAAGAAGGTGTCGGTGACACCAGGGGCCTCTCTCTCAGAAGGAACTAAGATTTCGAATGACATCTTTACTACGTGAAGTGACGTAGAGTTTGCTTAAAGAAAGGGGAAGTGAAGTATAGTAAGTAGAAAGTTGTGAAGTCGAAATTGGCCAACCAGAAACCTCACGATATCACGTTTGTGGCCTAGACCTGGGGCACGTGACAGTTTGGGTAAGTTTCTTGATCTTGATATCTCAGAGCTCTTGAATCTAGAATTTTAATTCTTCGAAGTCTACCGAACAGTGTCGGTTGTATTCCGGGTGTTGGGTTTCTATCGCTATAGCTTGAAATCAGGTGTGACACAATACTCGAGCCTCAGTTATTAATAAGACTAGCTCTGTATAAGGGACTACCCGCTCGATAGTCTCGAATGTATCTTTATTGTTAAGTTACGGCCATTAAGAAGCTATTCACGTATTCCGGGGCGTAAAATAGTACAGCTGTGCCCCAAGTTGACTTATAGACTCTTCTAGTAGGCAGTTGTCCTATAGCTTGGCCTGTATGCACTATCTACCAGTAGAACGGCAACAAAAAAGGCAACGGTTTTGTATTATAACTTGTAATCTAACCCTTCTTGAGATTCGGGGCGTCGCAACTCTTCTTGTGCCTTTCAACTAATACTGTTTCTCAATGTTGGAGCTGCACCTCATCGGTAGGTACGATGCCGGGTTGAAAGAGCTGCTAGGCAAAGTCTTCTATTTCATTAAAACCAGTGCTGTATACTGGCTTATACGTTCCTTCTAGCTTCCATTGTATTGAGACGAGTCTATCGCGATATCCTATTGATCTAAATAAAGAAGCGGCCCGCCGCTTAGAGCCAGGGGTGACAGCTCGTTCGCACAGCTCGGGCAATATCTCTCCAGTCCTTGCCTATCCAGTTTCATTTTCATGGCAACTACTTTGTTTGCCCTCTTCTTTCAAGTAAAATACACGACTGTTCACCCCTGTATAAAAATTTCCGAATTTGCCATCGCTGGAAGCCGATGCTATCAGGTTTCGTCTTGAGAGAGCAACTCAGCAAACATTTCCTGCAATGGTCTCGAAACATATAATTCAAATCTTTGAAGGTTTTCAAAACATGGAAATCTTCTGAGCTCGTTCTTTTACCTCATGAGCTGGGAAGGAATCAAATCATAAACTTGCGATGGGCGGGTCTCGACCAGATAGCAATGCTATAGGCATACAGCTACTTCAGGGGCAGAAGTTGATTGAGATCCTTGAATCATTGTTGATTTCTATCACTAGTACTCTATGAGAATAACAGTTACTGGCCTCTATAAAGCTTTGATTGCACATGTCATAATAGTACCACCAGTCCCTAGTATTAAGGGTCGGCCCGGCAAGCTTTACCTCAAATTCAGAAGACATTAATTTTGTAAATCATGTTACATGACTTGACAATAGTAAAAGCAACACTACGAGAGCTCGAGTGAAAGAATCAGTCAATAAGAACACGGAAGTTCAATCAGGACAACAATCTCGAAGTTGGAGGGATTGACGCTTCAAGATTATTGGGCAACCATACCACGACCTAAGCTGGGGGCCCCTGAATGACTTCATGCTGGAGGAGCAGTCAAGTAGCCGGTTGACCATCTTGCAAAATTTTTACATGAGAAGTAAAAAGGCATGAACCATCTGTTCGTATAGGCCCCAGGTCAAGTTACATCCCTGACAGTTAGGCTTTCCTGCGGTAACGAATGCAAGTGGCTTGTGACAAATTTTTGTACCACTTCACATGGTCTTCTAGACTCTATTTTATAAATACTTGGTACGATTTGTTATTCAGTGATGTAGCTTGGAGAGGATTTCTTTATGTTAAGAACTTCAGACCTCCTAATACACTAGTTAGGTTTGTTCTTAACAGATATCGTAACATCACATCACGCATATGGAACGAATTCAAGATGTACAAGACAAAGGGGCCGCTATATGGCAACTATAGACCTAGTCTGGCGAAAAAATACAATCGTGACTCCCCGAGTCTGCCAGGGATTAAAATTACTTAAAAGAATTTGTGCGGTTTGCTAGTGGTCCCTTTATGAGCCGCGGTCGAGTATGCTAGCCCGCCGACGGCAGATATGATAAAATGAAACGCCGATGATGGCCGGGTATTTAGACAGGAGGGTTGAAAGAAGGAAGCTTGTTGGCACAAGCGCTGACAGCCTTGAGGGCCTTGGCGTTGGTAAGGGCAACAGCCTTGGCGGGCTGGGTGCGAGGAGTGCCGTAGACGGGGAGGTCATCCTCAGCGGCAGGAGGGGTGTAGGCAACATCGTCGAGGCTGAGCTTCAAGCTGGGGACAGTGCTGATGTCAATCTTGGAGCCGTCGAGCTTGACAATCTCAACCTGGAGGCCGCTGGTGACGGCATCGGCAACCTTGGTAGGAGAGCAGGCAGCAAGAAGCTGAGGGGCATCGGCAGCCTGGTCAGCGGAGAAAGAACCGTGGATGATACCCTCAGCAGGCTGTCGCATAACGACGAGACCACCAACGAGCTTTCCAGAGACGTAGACGTTGACTTGGGCAGGTCGCTCAACCTCGGTGACATCGAGCTGGACGTTGGCAAAGTAACGGGTGGTGTTGGCACCAGCACGCTCCTCAATGAGGCCACGCTCCTCAACATCACGACGGCGGGAAGAACCGCTGCCATAGAGACGGTTGATGGTGGTTCTGGCGGAGCTGGAGAGCTGGCTGGCAGACATGTGCCAGTACTCGAGTCCAGCGTAGGTGTAACCGAAACCCTTGATGCTCTTAACAGTGTCAGAGGTGTGGAAGTTACCCCTGGATCGGTAGAAGGGGTTGAGAGGAGAGCTGGGAGTGATGCGGGTGCCCTGGGGAGTAGAGTAACGGGCACCACCAGAGTAAGAGCCGGTGAAGGTAGACTGGCTAGGGTGCATGGCCTGCCAGTAAGCCCAGAGACGGTCGACGTTGGCGTGGTGCAACCAGAAGATGGGGTCGAAGCCAGAGAACTCGGTGGCGAGGAACTGACCGGCGCAAGAAGCATCCCAGTGAATGGCGTTGTGAATCTGCTCGAGAGAAGCACCGTTGGCACCGGTGGAAGCGAACTGGTTGAAGGTGGTAGGTCGGGTCATGACATCGTAGACCCATTGCTTGTAAGGTCGCTGGCGGAGGAGTTTGTTGGCACTTGAAGGGAAGCTATCGGGAGCGGGGCAGTGGTAGATGCGAACGCGGTGCTCGTCGTCCCATGATCCGTACTTGTTGTTGAGGGCGTCCTTGGGGAAGTTGTAAGTGTAAAGAGGGTTCTTCATGTTGATGGTCTTGAGGCCGCTGCCGTTGGGAACCTTGACGTTGACATTCTGCTGGGTGAGGATAGCGGGAATGCCATCGAGGGCCCAATCCCAGTAGGCGGCACGCAGGCTGTTGGCTGCATCAACGTACTGCTTGCGGTACTTGGAAGGGTAGAGGTTGGCCAGGCGCTTGGCATGCTCGACGAGGATCTGCTCGTAGAGCAGGACATAGGGACGGTGCCATGTCAGGAAGATGCTCTCACCGTGAGGGCAGTATCCGGGCCAGCCATTGCCGCTTCGACCACCACCACCGTTCCACTGAATGAAGGGCTTTCCGTGAATACCACCAACCTGGAAGTAAGACTTCCAGTCAGTCTCCTTAGCATCGTACATGGAGCGGACGGCTCGCATGTAAAGGTCCCTGGTGTTGAAATTAGCATTGGTTGTGTTAGCAACCACACGGCAGACTTACCAGGCGGGGCCGCCAGCCTTCTGCATGTCATTGATGCTCTTTCGAGCAGGAACAGCAGCTCCACCAGTGACAGGGACACCAGTAACGAAGATGTTCTGCTGCTGAGCCTCGACGGGGTTGACACCGCCGACGACCGCGAGAGCGGCTACTAGGAACTTGCCCAGCATGATGATTGTCCTGAAAAATAAAACGAATGTATTCGAACAGAAGTCGTGCGTCAATGTACGACTTTGCTTGCTCAAGAAAAAGGACAAGATCGGAGAGGGAAGTGGTTAAGAGTGTGGGAAAGCGTCCGAGATATAGTCAACCCTGAGCCATGACCACGGCAACAAGACGGGGGGTGTGCAAGAGAGGGCTGATGGCAATGGCTCTGGGAATAGGTCATGATCCCTTCTCCGCATCCGAACCTCCGTCCCAGCTGTCAATCATCGTCAAAGGGGTTCGTAACGCCCCTCTTAGCGGCCCTAGATGACAAGGGGGAGGGGGTGCACAGGTAGGGCAAAGATCGATACTCCATGGGATGTGTCCACTGACGAGGAGTTGAAAGTTGCAAGGAGCAGTGAGCAATGAGCTAGGAAGGTGTGGGTGAAATTGGGATATGACCCATGCACATGGACAAGCCAGGGTCATGTATCCAATGTTGCTTTTCTCTCATCTTTTCTGTGCTTAGTAGCTTGTTCGCTCGTAACGCCACATTGGATGGATCAACGTCTGTGTCCCTAGCGATTGCTTAGGCCTATCAAATTGCCTACGCGTCAATTGTCCAGACATTAGTCGAGACATTAACAAGGAGAAAGAAGGTAATCTTTCAGTGAGATCCAGTGCTGATGGTAAGAAACTTGTCCGTCCTATGGCACGTCGTATTCGATGGTTGTGAAGAGACCAGAAGACAACAGGGGGGCAGGATCCAGGCCAGCCCAGGCGAGCGGTACTTTGACCACAGCCCTGCTTCTGGGCTCTTCCAGCGATTGGGGAAGCTGGAAGTTGGAGTTGTTTGTGCCTGGTGAGTGGGCCAGGCTAAGGCAAAGGTGGTAGTGGGCCTGTCGCTCAGCGGCACGACACGACACGACACGATACCCAGAGGACAAAGGGATTGTTGTGGTTAGCAGGTACTTTGCTCGGACACCTTGTATAGGTGAGATGCCGAGGTACCGAATGTAAATTGCAATCTCAGACAATATGTAGCGTAGCGCCCAAATGGGCTCCCCTGGCGCGCTTAGAGCCTGTACCTGAAATTCTAACATGGCTTGCATGCCTAAATTGGTCCCGCCTGCGGATGAATGCTGTGAGGATTGGATGTGAAGAATCACGAGCAAATGTGAATTATTGCCTGAAAGAGCTGAGCTCTACGGCGACAGTCCTAGACGCCCAGCTCAATGAGGCCATAATCATAGCCACAACTACTACATACATACATACATACAAACAACCACGGGTGACTCCAGGCCTATCGCTAAACTGTCAACAACGTAGCATCCAGGGACTCAAATTAAATTGATGCCAAGAGTGAAGCCGCCCCTACCTAGCAGAGTCTACTCCTTACTGGCAGGCTAGGTACAGGCCGGCACCCGGCACCACGAGCACACCCAGGTTATGACATGATGTTCGGAAGATACTAAAAAAGGATCACCAGCGCGATGCGCTCTGACATAACAGCCTATCGCAGGTGCAGCTGAAGTTGCGTTTGGAATTGATGATTGGCACAAGGAGGGCATCAGCCGCTTTCCGGGAACAACTCACGATGCGTCAAAACTACGTCAGGCACTATTGATTATTATTCCGAACAATTATTAATATCCATAGCACAATGATCAACGTTGGTGTTGAGGGTAACAGATCCTCTCTGGCTGGCAGGCAGGGATTGTGGTCCTGTGCAGAGAGAGGAAACCTGGACGCCCCGGATCTAGACGGAGATGCCGATTCGATCGGTACAGAGACGAGCGTGTAGCAAGCAGTAGGAAACAATCGGCTCAGTTATACGAGGCTCTCATCTGTGGTGCGTATACGGTATGGTTCGTATACGGTATGGTTCGGTATACCTGATACATGATAAACTGGTGTGCATGTCCAAGAAGGAAACAAACGGAGGAATTATCTCTTCGGTAAGATCAGATCAGAATCAGATGCAACCACAAAAAGCCCTTTTGCTTCTTCAGGCCAGCCCAGGCCAGCTCAGTTCAGCTCGTTTGTCTGTTTGTCTACCTGAGGCAGTCCATCACATCCATATTTGGCCCTCCTGTTAGACTTGTTGGACATTGATGAAAAGCCTTTTGGCCTTTTTTTAGCATCATTGCGGGTTAATTACGGCCTCGGTCCTCGTGGTTCGTCCTCACCGTTTAAGCTAGACCCAATCTCCCTCAAGCGGCTTCTGCTGAGATGCGAGCCTTGGGAAATCCACCCAGTCATGAAACAGCCACCCGCTCGATTCGTGCATAATTGCCTGCCCCTAGACTCGCAATAGTCTAGACGGCTGAAGGAACTAGTAGCTAGTCTTTTGCACTGGCCAAGGGGCGGAGGCGACAGCCTTTAGTCCCTCAGCAGGCTCACCAGAGCCATGGGCCGTTGTCCGTGAAAGCCATGTCTCAGTAAGGGGCAATTTTGCACTAAGGGAGAATTAAATTCATTAAATCCCCTCCCTCCAGCTTCTAGCCCGTCTCTAGCTCGCCGTGCCTCTACGCGTGATTCCGCTTCTCTTGGGTCCGTTTCAATTAGAACTATTGATTATGCTACTGTAGGATTGGAATTGCATCTCTTCCAGTAATAGCTATTCGCTTGGCAATGTTGTTTCTCCATACTAACAAACAAAAAAAGATGGTGTTCTGCCGTAAGCCTCCATGCATGGATCTTCTCTTCAACCACTTATATCCTGACAAGCCCACGTCGACAAACAACATGCATTTAGCTGCAGCCAATCCCGTATTTCTATGTCTGTAAGCTTCCGCCTCATGTAACTCGATGCATTCATGATTGGGACTATATCCTGCTGTTAAGCTTGAAAACCTCGTGTTAACCTACACACCGCCGATGAGGTATGGCCCGCCTGCATGAGGCTTCGATCCATTTTAACTTGCCGATACGAGCCCTACAGGTTCCAGCCAAGCAGAGCTGTAGGATGCCCAACTCGATATCCAAATATGGCATCTCGAGATGCTGATGCCAAGTTGGGCTGATCAGATCAGAGTTTGGACCGTTTACTAGGCGTTTGCCTCGTGCCTCCCCGCGTCCCAACGGACGAATTCGGCGCCGATACCGTTGTCAGATGTAGGGATGTGTGTTGTGGTTATAACCTCAATGGCTTGATGGCAGATGATGAGGCTACTGAAGCATCTATAAATCACTTGACACTGACAGGAGGCTCTTGGAAGCAACCACTGACAGTTCCCATGCTGGGTAGAAGCTTGTATTCGACACGGGATAGTGACCGAGCTGAAAGTTATTTTTTAGCTTATTCTCAGTAAGTTTACTGGCACAACCTCCAGAGTCACCTCGCGGCTGACCCCGTAACGTAACGTAAGGTAGACATAGACTAGTCATGCATCACAGTCGCATCCTCTCATAAGATCCAATCTAATGATGTGATGAATGAGGGGAATCCATGCAAGTCTCGATTGAATCTGAGATGGATGTGCCAACTTGCCAAGGACGAGCAAGACCAATGCTTACGGCTGATTTATCTACATTACTATTTTCAATCGATGTATGGATGCCATTGCCAACAAATTCAATAATTCATTACAAGTCCCTTGACAGACTTGGCAAAAGATCAGCTCGTTATGCGACAAGGTTGTTGTGCTCAACTTTTGCTTACAGCGTCTGCTCTTGAGGAATCGAGATCCTCTCCTTGTTTCTACAGAAAACTCTGCTGCTCCGATTTATTTGCTGATCACTTCAACGGTCCGGTTACATGTCGACCGTGCTTTGTCATGGCATCTTAGCATTGTCGATTTCCAATCTGGGACTGAAACACGATGTGATTGTCATGCCATCTGCCAAAAGGAGTCTTTCTGGGTTCCTGTAGATCGGCTTGGCAATTAAGGGTTGACCCTTGTAAGATACCTAGATATGTTACACTGAACCAAAAAAAAAACACCATCGAAGAACTAACAACTACGGAGGATAGATCCAAGACAGTATTGCGCGTCAGCCATGCTCACAGACACAATACAATGCCTCTTGTCCACAAAATGTCTCATTGAATAGGGCAAATATGTATAGATACAGTATCACTTTTATGGCGCAACGCTAAAAGCAGTCATTGCACAATGCCACGCCTTGTGAACCACCCATCGCCTCAATACGATGCTGACCACGCCCCCTCCAGCTTCCGACTCATGCAGGTCCCGGGATATACACTCTTAACTCTGTGTGAAGGCATCATAGGATACTCTTGCTGCTTACTCCGATCCACTTATGGAAAGAATACGACACGATACAAAGTGTATCGTGCTATCAGAGCTCCCTCATCCATGCCAAGTTGTAAGATATCCTCCACTTCTTTTGCTTTGGTGTGACACTCGTGGCCGGTCCTTCATGATCACCGTCTCAGACTTACAGTACACTCGGGCTTAGAGTGATCTCTCCAGCATCACAAGGTCCCGAAAACCTTCCCTCCACCGCTTCGTTTGCTCTGTGTCTGGCCTCGGCAGTGGACTTCGTGCAAAGCCTCCGTAACCCATCCAAGCCTGTAGTCCAGCCTTGACACCAACCACGCCGCCCTGGATCGCCGTCCAGTCGCCTTGTGAGACCACTTCCTGCATCTTTTGTGCTTCGGAAACATTGCCTTGAAGATAGAGTTCCATGGTCTTGATGCATGCCCTCGGGGCAATGTTGGCCAAGCCTGCCAGGATGCCGTGACCACCTCCGGCCAGAGAAGGGATCAGAAAGTCGGCGGAACCTGCGAGGACTAGGAAGTCGGGCTCCTTTGGGTTGTATTTTGAAGGCTTGCGGGTTGCCGCGGCTACCCTGTTCAGTTTTCCCGTGTTGCCGCATGTCAACTTCACGCCTACAATATTTGGATGTCGTGCAAGAGTGATGATCATGTCCGATGACATATCCATGCCCCCCACAGCACCAGGAAAGTTGTAGATTATGATCGGTATGGGAGACTTGTCTGCGACTCTTGTGAAATACTCCAGGATGGTTTCCGAGGCCGGGGCAAATAACGTGGCATAGTAGGACGGGGGTAGGACGAGCGCATAGTCACCGCCAGCCTCCCAAGCCTCATGGCAGTATTGTACGGTCTCGCGCGTGCTCTGGCTTCCACATCCCACGATCACGGGCACATGCGAGAAGCCGCCGTCATTCAGGGCGGCTCTTGTAGTGGCGGTGACCAGCTGCCGCTCCGAGTGGGAGAGATGAACGGCCTCTCCGTTGGAACCCTGCGTCGCAAGGCCTGTTACACCAGCCTGAGCGAGTCGCACAGCATGAGCGGCAATTGCAGCGGTGTCGACGTCTTCTGTATCTGGATCGAAGAAGCACATGGTTGGAACATAGACGCCAGGTGTTAGAGGGCGTTTTATATGCTGCACGTCATCCAAGCGATTGTCTGCAGAAGCGCTTGATGAAGAATCAGATATGAAGTTGTTATTTCCATTGCTTGAGTGCCATTGGCTGTGGTTGTATAGCTGGGAGCTGAAGGACCCTGCTGGTGAGGGAGCGTCACTATGAGGAGGCATGATATAGCTTGATACTGTAGGGATTGTCTGAAGTTTGGTTGGGATCAATGGTAAAGGTATTCAATAGGATTTATCAGTGTAATGGGCGATAGTGTAAGCTCTTATTTGGATATCAAGTCGGAGGAGACTTGGCTTTTATATCATCTCCTGGGTATTGATGTTCTTCAACACAAACCCATATATGGCGGCTCAAAGGACTCTCCAGTTACGAACCTGCAACTTGATCACTCATAACTTCTCGTTACTTCATGGCGGGGCCATAATAAGTCAAATGATACAATCCATCAACTCCGAGAGGACGATTGAACCGGTCAGAGAATCGGGCAGCTCAAAGATTGGTAGGCTCGAATAAAGACTCCGCTCGTATGCATCTTGCTATGAGGGGAAGTGCTCACGGGAGTCGCTTCTTGGGGTTATTCATGCAGAAAATCCGGGGTCGACGAGACTACGATTCAGGGTCTAAGAGTCGCTTGACGAGTCTGGAGCGTGGGGGTTTGTTTAAGCCTTTTGAGGCCAGTCAACGTTCCATTGGAGCCATTAGTACGGAGTGCTGAGAGGCTTCTAGGGTGTACAGTACATTATAATCGCGGAAAAGTTTAAGGAGATGAAAGGATCATGGCATGGTGACTGCGCCTCGACAGCGTATCATTCAAGAGCAAGAGTCCGGCGAATCTAACTGAAATAAGCCGGCTTTAACATGGCTCTTTCGAAGTCCGAGCCATTGGCCGCGAACAAAAGAATGTTTCTCTTTATATGACTCTATACTTGATAAACAATAAATGCTCGAACGTTTTCAATTCTGTAGTGCGTCTTTGACGGACCAGCGGATATCTTGCCAGCTTAGAAGTCATCACGATGCTAAATAACTACTCACCAGTAACAATTGCTTGTGTAACCATCCCAAGCATCGTGGCATGTCTTTCCATAAACCACGTTGGTCCAAATGGGCGTCATTCTTTAGTCAACTCAATTTCAGCTGTCAGCTTTGACGACCCGTGATGCGTGAGGTGTTCTCGACAGAACAAGTTTATCCAACATAAGGTCTTCGCAAAGAGTTCACAATTGCGTCAAAACTAACATTTTCAGCCATTGCAACCCAACCGTAGTCCTCCGTAGGGAATCAGGTTAGCGAAGCAATATATGCATAAAACGCCAAGCTGCTACGGGATGTCAGTGTTTAGGTCGGTAACAAGAGAGCTTATTACTTGGTAGCCGACGGCCATTGCTTACCCTACAGCGACATATTAAGTCGTATTATCTAGAAGCTAGAATGAAACCAGAAGATCGCAGAATGCGCCAATAATAAATAAAGAGTTTTGACACCGTAGCATTGGCCGTTGGTGGGAGGTGGGAGTATAGTTAACAAAAACTAACTTTGGTGTTGACTTAGCTGAACATAAAGAAAATTGCATGGTAGTATCCCCTAAAAATGATAATATGACGAGCTTCAACGCCTCATTTTTCACAATCGGACTATATAGCTCTCTTAACAGACACAGGAATTAAAGGACACTCGCGTGTTCTTCATGCAACCAGCCAAAGACTGCCGACAGAGGGACTGACCACACTTTACTCTGCCCCTGATGTCTTGCCCTCGCATTATGCCCACTACACAATGCGGAAACTCAACGATGACCGCAGAAAGGCACGTTGTTACGGAGATTCTGAACGCTTCTGTTGGTCAATAAGACAAGCACCAAAGGGGAAAGGTTAAAGAGGATCATATTTCCCACTCCATCACTTCGTAGCCGCCGATATACACAGCTCAGTTATGTTATGCACTACGCCGCCGGAATACCGCGACCACGCACATCATCATCGCTTACAGCTTTTCCTCGCAGTGCGTGCAATACGTGCAAGTGGGGGAGGCTATGCTAATCTCGAGGCACATTGGGGGTTAGAAGATGGCATGTTGTTGACGTCTTGCCTTTGAACCGACCAAGCACATAAGCCTCGGTCACATGTAGGGAGCATATGGTGTCATCTAAGTTGATTCTATCAATAAGACCTGCCTTGATTCAAGCGATATGAGGTAACCCTGACCAAAATCGTTCCTTCGTAAACATGTCCGAAGCATCTGCAATAACGCCAAAAACCACAGCCTCATGCTCGCCAGTACGCCATATAAGTGCCCAATGGAGAAAGAAGTGAATATTTTATACAATAACCAAGTCGTCATCGTCATCGTCGAGCATGATCTGCCGACCGTGGAGCTCGTCACCTAGACTCTCCCTACCGGCTTCACGGATACCCTTATCTGTCACAAAGCGAGTCTTTTTCCGCACTGGAGGTTGTTCATCTTTGCGTAGCTTTTCCCCCTCCTTCATTTTTGAAAGCTTATCCTTTAGATTGCTCCCCCAGCCGAAAGCCGTTGGGCCGCTGCTTATGGCTGAACCTGCTTGAGAGCTGGCTTGAGAGCTGTCTGGGCGTTTCCGTTTCACAGGGCTCAGATGAATGGCAGAATCCTTCCCCAGTAGGCCCAGTGACTTTGCGTCTGGCCTGTAAACTTCCTCTGACGCCTGTGCAGAGCTCGAGGGTTGGGTGGAAGTGCCCGCAGCGGGCAGTGCCGCTTTCGAACCAGCTTGTCGCATGTATTCCCTTCCAGCTGCGCTGCCAACCTGACCAAGCTTCTTCATCATTTCACGTTCTTTCTCCTTTGCCTCCAGATCTCTTTTCAGGAATTCTGCTCTCTCTTTTCGATCGTTCGGTGTTCTGTCCTTCCCATCAATCAGGTCTGCTGCGCTCATGGAACGTGAAGCGAACCAATGCGTCTTTGTTTCCCAGTCATATTTCCTGGATGCCTCCTTTTTCTTCTCGGCGCCCCAGCCAATGACTTCTCTAGAGTTATTCTTCCTGGCGCCGAAACTGCTTCCATTTACTTCCATTCGTGTTGAACGCTGTTTGCGAAGGGCTTCATTGGAGTGGAATTCGCAGTGATGAGTACGCTTCTTATTGATCCAAACGCCACATAAATCTCCATCCTTCTTGACTGATTGACAACCTCCAAGATCACGAGATGTGCCAACCTCAATAATCGAGTCATCATCTGAATTGATGACAAGACTGAACTTGCCAGTATCATGTCTTCCGGGTGGGGGTGGCATTATAGTGGGATTGAGTATCGCAATGACAGTCCCTTCTGTGAGCTTCCAGTATTTTGTGAAGCCAGAGTTGAAGAGAAAAAGGTCCAGTTCCCATTCTAGATCGACTAGGGTCATAACCATGTACTTCCCCCTATCCTCCGTCTTTCCATTCTTTTGCGTTGGCTTGTGTGCGCGAGGCTCTGATTTCTTTGCCAAGATACCGAACACCACGATGTCTTGTTCAACATCTGGCAAAGCAAAGTCTGGTGCTTTAACAACTTTCAGTATATCCTTAATTGTGTATACTTGCTTGCCGGAAACGTGCCGAGCAAGGACGCCATGTGGTAAAATTCTCTTGGACAAGTGGAAGCTAGAGTATGGCTCAAAACCAGCCACCTGTTCTTCAGAGACTTCGCCATGGGGTGACTTTTTCTTCCGAACCAAAGCTGTAGAAGTTGGTGCCGGAGCCTTCTTTTCGGGAGCCTGAACGTTAGGCACGGTGTAACTTCGTTGCAAGCCAACAGGTTTTGTTGTCCCTATGATCTCCTCCCTTGAGAAGGACGGAGCCTTCAATGGCTCATCTGGTATCTCAATAGCTTTCTTCTTATACTGCTCCATCTCATCCTGGCTGATACTAAATGCATTTGATCTTAGCTTTTGAATGTCCTTTTGCCGCTGAGCACGAGCAGCCTCATCTGTCCTCGCGGAAACAAGCCGTTCATTGAAACTCATTGGGCGCGTCTCTGATGAGAAAGAAGAATTGCCGCTCCCTGTAGTTTTCGACCTTGATCTTCGCAAATAGCCCGTTTGTCCAATTTCAGTCGATGTTTGCGAATCCCGGTAGCTGGGCGCACGCTTCAAGGAGATATCCCGAGCCTTAAGGCCCTTATCAATACCCAGCAACACTCTACTTGGCGATGTTTGCACCGAGGGCTCTTGAACCCTCCTGACGGGTGACGCAGGCACTTCCACATGGTTTTGTTGTCGAGCTAGTGGTTCCCGAGTTGGAGTGGTTGCGCGCCTCGATCGACTTGGAACTTGTGTTGATATCACGAGCTCCGAGGTCGTGGCATGTAATTGCTCAACGCTTTCTTCTGACTTTTTCGACTTCGCAGCCTGTAGCTTTTTCAACTTGAGCCGCGCCTGGATCTCTTGAAGCTTCAGCTGCAGGGTTTCCTCGTCCTCATCGTCATCGTCGTTCTCAATCTCGGCCATGAGATTCATCGAGGGTAAGTTGCGAGCTCTTTTCGACGGTGAAGGTGAAGGCGATGTCATCATCTGTCGGTATCGCTCTCGTCCACGCGGCGTACTAAGCAGAGCTTCATGCGGAGATCTTGGGGGCCATTGGGCTTCGGTTCCTTGTTTTGCTGGAGAAGCTGTGGCATGGAGGGTCAGTGGATTGTCACATGAAAGAACAGTTCAGCAATTATTGTGGTCTCACCTGGAGCCATGACGATACCTGGGACAGAAAGTAATTTTCAAGCGGGTGGCCCAGAAACCAGTCCCCGTCGGTATGCGGCCACTTAGAAGGGTTTGGATATAAGTGTTCGTCCTATAGCATAGAGCATATTCCCAATCGATTAGGGCGGTAGGTATAGCCTTGGGAGGGCGGCAGCCATTCAGCTGGATCGGTCGAGAGTCGTTGGTGAGGGTAAGATGCTGAAGATACGAATTTTTAGTTGTTGATGCAGGGAATGCTTGTTTCAGCGGTTGAAGACGACATCCACACCCAATGCGTCAACCAATACTGACTGGGAGGGCGCAAAGCTATTTGTGCTTTGCGCTGGCTAGGTTGGTCTTGGCGCCGGCCACTATACTTGAATATCCACTAACCTAAATACGGTAAGTCTCTCTCATATGTAGCCCCTGCAACCGTCGCGTACAAACGCGTCTCAGCGTGTTTAATTCACTATTACATTGTCTGTAGCACGAGTATCATTTCTTTTAGCTTTTCTACCAGACCACATAATTGTCTTTGGAGAGCATCAACGCATCTGTCTTGGTACATTTTCTCCTTTGGATTCTATAAACGAGTAGCTTTGCGCATATTCATATTCCTTTTTAATTATTTTCCATACAATCTTGCAATGGCAAGGACAAGATCAACCAAAGCTGCTGCAGCTGATACGAAAGCCTCAGAACCTAAATCTACTTCATCCAAGTTCAGTCTGTCGTCTCGGGTAGAGAACCCCTCGAAAATCTTCATACTTCCCTCAAAAGCGACCCCCGAAGCGCGCATAGTCACTCTTCCCAATCCTAGACATGGTCGACCAGCGAGATACCTCGTGTGTCCAGAGACAGGCATATACGAATTCACCAAAGTTGCGATACCAAACACGACTCCTCGAAGCTGGCTGATCGAGACTTCATCAGACTCTTCTACGGATAGCGTCAAGAAGACTGGAGTATCCATGGGCCAGGATCTCTTTCTAGCGACTTCAATCGACCCCCTATTTCTGGTCCTCCCAGCGTTGACGGAAACCCAGTCAAAGAGCTCAGAAGGAAAGCGGCTGTTTCTTTCCAGTGACGACTACTTTGACAAGCTACCACAAGGGTCGTCACATCTATCTGAAATCGTGCGATGCGACAAGACACGGAAGCTCATCGAGAGCCGAATGGCCGAGGTTTGCGATACTGTTGAAGCAGGAGATGAGAACATGTTCCGAATAAATGAGAGTAAACTCGTCAAGGTCGTCCTAGACAAAGCAAAGAGAATGCGCGAGGGCGGACTTGCTCCAAGCATGGAGGAGAAGTTCGTGAAGAAGGCTTTGGAAGCACCTATACTCGTACAGAGGCGAGAAACGACAGAGATTACAACAACAAGGACAGAATCGCAGACATCTAATTCGGAATCTGCCGATTCCCAATCGACTGCTGCAACGACAGAAACAGAAGTATCTGAAACCTCTACCGCAGCCACCTCTTTGACTGCAGAGACAACCACAGAAAATATTGTCAGTGCTATTGAGGCATCTCCTGAGATAATAAATCTTCAGAGATTACGGATTGCTTTTAATTTCATCTGCTCAGGCTACATTGCCCCATCTCTTACAGCTCAACTAGAGGACATGCTGAAAAGGGAGACTATTGTGGACTTCTCGCCTCTGGACGAGTACCTGGCTAAGCTTAGCAAATTGCGCGCCGAAGCCATGGCTGCTCACTCTATCGACTACTCTCGCAAGCGTGGTTTGGACGAGGAAGAGGACGAGGCTTTTGTCAAGAAGAGAAAGATGGAGGAGGAAAAGAAAAAGAAATCGCTTGAGAGCAGGGGAGTTCGGGATCTCAAGAAAGTCAACACCAAGGGCATGAAAAAGATGAGTGACTTTTTCAAGAAGAAGTAATAATAAGAATATCTATTGGGTATCTGTCATTAAAACGTGAGATGAACCTGTTCTGGCTTATCTAGTCCCCCTCGCTCGGCGCGCACCAAATCCTCGACCAATGTTTGAGGCACCGCGAGTGCTCGGTATGCTCGACGTAGTGCTTTCGGATGTATAGCTAGAGCTAACACTCCTCGTGGTGGCGGCTCGGCCTCGTGCTCTCGTGGTACCCCTGAGCCCTCTAGTTCCTCTGGTTCCTCGTGCAGGTGCAGTTGCGGCCAGCCTTCGTCTCTCCTCTTCTTCTTCCCGGCGCTGCCGCAACTCCTCGCGCCTTTGTTCCTCTTCGGCAGCTCTTCGCTCAGCAGCCTGCTGTTTCTGAATGGCTTCAGCCTCTTGTTCAGCAATATCCTCTGTTGCGCCTTTCCATGCAGGGTTTAGAATTAGTCGCTGGTTATGCTCGGTTTGGGATAGTATCCGTGTCCAGGTGTTGAGAAGAACGGAAGCATTATTCACTGTGCTCAATACAGTCTGTAGGTGGTTAGTATATACACACTTGACGATGCAATGAGAAACATACGTTCATATTACCCCCTGCACGTTCCAATGTTGAGATGACACCCTCAATGGACTCGTTTATGCTCCGGACACCTTCAAGCTCTTTGCGCAATGCGGCCTCATGGTCGATGGGCTCTGGGCGCTCTTGTGTCGGCGTTTTGGGGGTTTTGGGAGTTCTGGGAGTTCTGGGTCGAGAGGTCGGTGGGCCATCATCATTTCCGGGAGACTCCCAGATATTGGATTCTGTATATTCAGTTGTATCGTCAGCCATTATGGCAGACAGCTATGGCATCCAATCCAGTAGACGCAGGCCCAGCTTATTGAGAATAGTATCAGTGACCGACTACGTTGGAAGCGCCGGTCTATGGTCGCAGTGAGGTTGTGTGTTTCGAGACGTCCACGTTTCAAATATCGTGTACAAGACGTTGTGGCGTACCTATGCAGGGTCACTGTGCTCCGTAGGCGCTTGCTGAATTGATTGTCATGGGTTGCTATGGAATGGCAGCTTTTGTTTAATTCATGAGGGGCACCGCTATTGTTCCCACCATTGATTTAAACTCATAGCTCGTGGCTGCATATTGATTGGCCGTAATCTGTCGCGTAACAGACGCGTCAGGGAGGGGTTGCTGACACGACGGACGCGGTTAGGTTGCAAGTGGACCTATATTTTAGTGGGTAAAACCTGGTCGCACAACCAGAGAATAGGGAGGCTGGGAGGCTGGTGCACACTCCAGGGTAGTTTTGTCCCAGCCACTTCTCTCATCTTGATTCTTCTTCCTATTCAAATGTAAACATCTTACCCTACAAACTCTCATCTCTAAATCTGCCATTATCATCAATTAGCAAGCGACCTCCATCATTGAGCTCTTCTGTTGCTATACCCAAAGACTATATACCTCCTTTCAAGACGACAGCTGTAATTCCCGAGTCAACTGCGCTGTTTATCACGTCAGTCAACGAGGCCAATTCGAAGCAATCCTATCGGGTAGACCTGGCAGCCATCGAGACCAAGCTCCTAGTATTAAGTCAAGACTATCCTTCGAGGGATAAGCTTAATATTCCAGCAACGCCCCTCAACTGTTTTAATCGATAGTCAACACCGACTGCCACTGCCTCTCACTGCCCATCAAAATGGCCGACCATCACGGCTCTACTACTCCTCCACCGCCCACCCGCATCCGCACTCCGCCAACTCCTCGTCTCGGATACCAGGACAACTGGGAACCTTTTACTCCTCGCAAATCTGCACGAATTTCATCACGACGAACAAGGTCTCCATCACCCGGCGCATCACATCGTCAAATTCAATCACCGCATACTGCCAAAAAATCAAGCAAGCATTTGAGCGCTGCCATCGCCTCTCCCTTGCCGCATAAGAAGCGCATGCCTGCTAGTGATTTCGTTCGCCGTGCAACAGAAAACATGCAGGCGGAAACTTCTCGCGATGGTGCGAGCCGTCGCACTCATGGGCGATCTACCTCTTTTGTTGCTGGTGCCACTGGCATGCTTCCCACACCATCAAAGACTCCCCAAAAACCACCCACAGAAAAGAAAACCGCACACATCAAATCAGTCGCCCGCAACCTTTTTAGTTCCGATGCCGATGAAGCGACTTTGACTCCTAGGAAACGAGCTTCCAAGAAGTACACCGGCATCTCGATGGAGAGCTTTTCCGTGGAAGAGGTTGAGGAGCCTATTGAGATCTTCACCGATACCCGGGATCGAGTACCTGTTCGTGACGAGAGCCAAGAGAATCCTTTCCTCACATCGGAAAACCCATTCTTCAGCGATACACCGCGACCTGAGACTACTAAACGTCACGACAAGCGCAAGGTCAAGGTTCCTGGAGAAGGCATCAAGACAGTCGATGATCTTGCTGATCGCAAGGATGGCATGGTGTACACATTGTAAGTTTTGTTTGACCCAATTATTTAATATGCAAACGCTAATTCGAACAGCCGTGGAAAGAGATTCTTCCGCAAGTGGTCGGAGCAAGAGATGGATGATTGGGATGAGCGTCAAGCCGCAGAAGAGGATCCTGAGGCTCATCTCAACCGCCCATTAACTCGAAGTTCCATTAAACCTCGTCTTTTGTTCCACAATGATAAGACGGATGAGCAGATTGAGGAAGAGGAGGCTGTGACTGACGTCGAGGAGAATGATGAGGAGCTACATGTCCCAGAAACTCCATCTGCGTCTAAGCCAGAACGCGCTTGCACTCCTGAAGCACCCAGGTTTGCTCCCGCTTCACCACCGTCTACTCGACGAGTCACTCGATCCACCAACAAATTGCCTGACGAAGGTACTCCTGTCAAGCCGCCTGGAAAGCGAAGCCCCTTCGACTCTTGGCGACGAACCAAGGAAGGTGTCGTTAAATCACCATCGCGCAAACGCTCCGCAGACAGCGTCGACACTAGGGAGTCTAAGCGTACCCGCATCTAAGGAAATCCCTCTCCGTGCATAGGCGTCGCATTTGCTTTCCACTACGGTGTCACATCTCGGTCAAGTGGCTGCCCCATGAACTTCAATAATTCTGCATATGGTTTAATCCTACTTATTGCCTTTCAAAGGAACTTCGGACCGGTTTTGGCGTTGGACGGTATTGGCGCGTTAAAAGGACTAATAGGCCGACAGGGTCGATGGCATGTATTGCATTGAGAGACAGCGTTTATTGTTGATACCTGCCCTCGAAAAAGGAAGAGAGGATGGAAGGCCAAGTCTGTTTCGGTTTATTATATTTGAGAAGGTTCGGTACGGCTGGTCTGGTTCGCTAAGGGGTTTCCCTCTGGAAGTATTCGATTCTGTGAGCCCCGGTTTTTAGGTAGATTATTTTTTTTCATGATGTAGTCGAATAAAAGAAAAGACAAGTTCATGATAATTACATGAGTCCCCCCCCCCTGACACCCGTGCCTGTGAACATTAAGCCCAATTGGAAGTCATGCTGTGACGTACTGACGTGCTTAGCGCTCTCTCTGACTCTGCATGCCTGCCCCACGTGCCCCTCATTGCGATTTCACCCTGACATTGATTTCATCAAATACTCTACGTATCTCACGGGCATTGCAATCTAGTGAGTCCTTTCTCTCTCTTCTCTGCGTATTCTTTAGAAAAGAGACATACTGACTACTAGACCAGATTGTAAGGACCCTGTGACACCTTCTCTGTAGGTCAAGATGCATATCCTCGTCACGAATGACGATGGGCCGCCATCACCACACTCCTCTCCCTACGTTCACTGTCTCATTCAGCAGCTCCAGCAAGCCGGCCACGCCGTCTCAGTCTGCTTGCCTCATACCCAGAGATCATGGATCGGGAAGGCACATATGATTGGGCAGACTCTCAAGCCTCTGTACTACCGCCCTTCAAAAGTTATCCACGGTGAGGACTCTCCGGGCACCACTCACCATCGACCCTCCCCCTCAGGAGATGTCGAGGAATGGATTTTGATTGATGGAACGCCGGCTTCCTGCGTTCAGATTGGTCTTCATCACTTTTTCCAAGATCGAGGGCCTATCGACCTTGTTGTTAGTGGGCCTAACTACGGCAGAAACACCACAGCAGTCTTTGCCCTTAGCTCGGGGACGCTGGGTGCTGCTCTAGAGGCGGCTGTTTGCCAGAAGAAATCAATTGCGCTAAGCTTCGCCTTCTTCACTCGAAACCATGACCCAGTTATCATCGAGGCAGCTTGCCGGCGCAGCGTCAAGGTCATCGAAACACTTTACAATCAATGGCCCACAGATGGCAGTGCAGACCTCTACAGCGTTAATGTGCCCTTGGTAGAGGGGCTGGAGAACAACAAGGCTATATGGACCAACGTTTTGCAGAACTACTGGAGAGAAGGTGGCTGCTTCCAAGAGATCGAAGGCGAGGCTGGAGACGAGAACGAAGAAGAGGAGAGGATACGTGAGGGTGTTGGGGGTGAGGTGGATGATGCCGCCCGGCCTAGCTCACGAAAAGGGCATACCCATAAGCACTTCAAGTGGGCGCCAAAGTTCACTGATGTTTACAAGAGTGTGGAAGAGTCCGGCCCGGGCAACGACGGATGGACTGTGAAGGAGGGATTGACAAGGTACGTCGTTTGCTACGAGAAAAATTCCATTATTGACTATTTTAGTATCACACCTCTTAAGGCAAACTTCATGCATGGTCCTGGAGAATGGAACCAGCAGGAACTCAAACTGTAAGTGTCCTCGATCGAATGATATGTGGTGGGCAGAGCTAGGAGAGAAGCACAATGCCTGTATTCTACCAAGACCACAAATAGACATATTCTTACTGTTGATAAAGGGACTCAGGTTCAGAGGCAAGCCAAATCAAGCAAGAGGTGGCATTGAGGCAAAAGAGCCCCTCGATTCAAGCTGTCATCTCCTACGAAGACTCTTACGTACAACCACTCATTCTCTCCGCCCTCAACTCACTGTTCCCCGAAGGCATATTCAATGTAATCACTGAAGTACCGGAGTCTGATGAGCCAGCTCTTGCGAAGATCGTCCTCTCAGAAGGAAATATTTTACAGATCGTGGCGTACGAGACCATCGACTTTGAGTATGCCGCCAGCCATGAGCGTACGACTCTAATCAACAGCTATATGATTCGAAAGGCTCTGATCCGAAAACACTTTCTGTCCACTACCGTCGATCACTGGGTGGCAAAGCACCCCGAGTCCGTCTTGGCGTCTCACATCAAGCGCAGTGAAGCCTTCGAAGTCGACTTCGCCGAGTTTCTAGACGATGCTCTAGTGGAAGCTTTTGACCTCCGAGAGAGTATGGAACGCAACGAACAACAGTCAAATCCCAAGGATAAGGAGTGGTGGATCCTGAAGCCAGGAATGAGTGATCGCGGCCAAGGTATTCGACTCTTCAGCTCCATGGATGAGCTTCAGAATATCTTTGACCTCTGGGAGGAGGACCAGCCTGACACTGATGATGAAGAGGAGGATGTTGCTGGGCAGGATGACGACGGCGACAACATCATGACCTCGCATCTGCGACACTTTGTTGCGCAGCCGTATATTCACCCGCCACTTCTTGTCGACGACGAGAAGCGCAAGTTCCACATTCGCACCTACGTGATGTGCACAGGAAGCCTCGATGTCTGGGTTTACAAGCACATGCTGGCACTCTTTGCTGGAAAGCCCTATGCTGCGCCGTCAGATGCACCAGAGGATATCGAGTCTTTCCTTACAAACACATGTCTTCAAGATTCACCAAACGAAAACACTGTGCGCCGTTTCTGGGACTTGCCCTTGTCAGGCGATATGCGCGATGATATCTTCCACCAGATTTGCGAGGTAACTGGAGAGATCTTCGAGGCTGCAGCAAAGGCTATGCCTATCCACTTCCAGGCGCTGCCCAATGCCTTCGAGGTATATGGCCTAGATTTCCTTGTGGATGCCCAAGGAACTGCTTGGCTGCTTGAGATTAATGCGTTCCCCGACTTTAAGCAGACTGGAGGCGACTTGAAAGAGATTGTGTCTGGGTTCTGGAAAGGTGTACTGAGACATGGAGTTGCACCCTTCTTTGGAGTTGAGAATTCGATCAAGGACCAAGAGGGCGCCGAGGACATGGTCCCTGTCCGTAAGGTGGATTTGGGACGACGA